ACTGGAGTAGCGTTGAAAGCCCTAATGGAGATGGTGCATGTGTGAGGAATTTGCGATTTGACTGTTGCTTCTGATGTAAAAGTTCGCGAGAAACACGATGGTGCCACCGGTTTTCTCTGAAATCAACTCCCAAGCTCAAAAAAAGCTCTCAAGTTGAGGCCAAAATGGAGGGGATATCCCACACTATCCTGAGAGTCCACCTCTACATCAAGACAGACTCTCCATGCAAAGATAGGGAGCAAATACATTAGCAGTGATGCCGTGTTTTCAGTTTTGGAGTCCCCAAATAAAGTGGCAGCCCTGTCAATGTATTTGCTCCCTATCTTTGCATGGAGAGTCTGTCTTGATGTAGAGGTGGACTCTCAGGATAGCGTGGGATATCCCCTCCATTTTGCCCTCAACTTGAGTGCTTTTTTTGAGCTTGGGAGTTGATTTCAGAGAAAACCGGTGGCACCATCGTGTTTCTCGCGAACTTTTACATCAGAAGCAACAGTCAAACCGCAAATTCCTCACACATACAATGTCTCCTCCATTATGACGTATCTCTGCCCTTTATACAGCGTCCAGTCCACCTTCGAACTAGGGGCTTCTAAGAGGCTCATCGATAGAACTGTTGACTGTTAATTGCCTTAGTGCAGTTTGTCAGTATAAAGGGACTCTAGTCTCAACTCAAGCTCGGCTCAGCCGCTGAGGCAACTTGTCGCGCCAACTTCTCGTCGCCCGCGCTTTGTGGAACCGCGGCTCGAGCCATAACCTCTGAGCTCCACAGCGGAAACCACGACCTCCCGATTCCACGACAATACGTGACCACCATCGCCGAATATCCGACGTGACGTCACGGGCTTGTGTAACGAGGGAGCGGACGGAGGCGTTCAATTATCGCTCGGCCTCCCGAAATCCTAGAAAACAAAGCTCGGTGTGATCTGCGCGTGCGTCCGGTCGTGCCCTCGCCTACGAAAAACCGCGCAAATTCCCTGGAGATCCCTATGAAGATATCGGATTTTTGCCGAGCACGGCGGCTATCTAATCGGCGTTTCGGGATTACGACAATGCCGGATTGATAACCCTTAGGAGGTTTTGGTCACCTCTTTGTTACTTCTGCTTTTGTTTTTTCTTTCACTCTGAGACTCCGCCTCCAGAGACAATATATTTTAGAGGCCCCGCGCTAACTATCTAATTTTTGTAAGCAAGCTCGGAGATCAACGCTATTTTCCTCCTAATGATGATTGATGAGGAATTTGTTCAACTTGAAATTGAACCAGGTTTGCCACTATCAGGGAATACCGGGAAATGTCAGGGATTTTTAAAAAGTCAGGGAAAACCGGGAAATGTTAGGGGAAATGACGAAAATGTCAGGGAAAATTTGTTAAATCACCTTTGTTTGCTCTGTAGACTGAGTTTGAGGTTTTGAACTACAAATTTTGCCTCAAAACTATTTTCAATTATGTCTTAACCATCTGTCATTTTCTACAATTGTCAGAGAATTGCGCCAAAATATGTCAGGGAAATCAGGGAAATGTCGGGGAATTTCATTTTCTAGGTTTGGTAACAACCCTCTTGAACGGGTTATTTAAAAGAGTATAACCGCCAAATTTTCAGACAACAGGTAACACAAGAATACAAATATTTCTATCAGTAGCCGTGGCAATGTCCCATTCAAAATATATCACTCATCCTGTGTCAATACATATGCAAAGCTTCTTTTACGTAGCCTCTCAGGTTTCCTCCGAAACTCGTCAGCTCTCCAGGATTCTGTTTTTCCCGGTCTGTTTGCACGGAGAAAAAAACTTCGTGCGTGGGACCCGAAGTTTAGATCATATGAATCTCTTAAGTTTTCGGATTGAGCGTTCGAACACTTAAGGTCCAGCTGCTGAGGTTTGGATCACACATCTGAAACTTCAGTTCTCACGTCTAAAGTACTTTGGTTTTCACATCCGAAGAACTTCGATTCTCACTGGCCTAAACTTCGGGTCCCACGCACGAGGTTTTTCTCTCCGTGTGGCAATGTCCCATTCAAAATATATCACTCATCCTGTGTCAATACATATGTAAAGCTTCTTTTACGTAGCCTCCCAGGTTTCCTCTGAAACTCGTCAGCTCTGCTGGATTCTGTTCCTTTTTTCCCCGGTCTGTTTGCGACGTAGGTCAGGTACATTCTCTTCTGAAGAGAGCCATAAACTGGACGGATGTGCGAATGCAAGAGGAGACTGCACTGCGTCGTAGACTCATCGTAGAGCCGACCGCCGCGCGATGATGGCGCGGCGAAAGTAGTAAACCGGTTGGCGGTCGCGGGGCATGAACTTCGTACGCGGATACTTTTTTCGGTCAAGGTTAAGGCACTGCGCCGCCACTGACCCCCCCTCCCCCCTTCGACGGCCCCCCGTACGCTACAAGCTGCAAGAGCGCCGCACGTTTCGACTGTGGAAGATAGCGACTTGAGTCTCTTGTAGGAATGCAGGAAGTCCAGGATTCGGATTGGGAACGGGGCTCCTATTATCTGATTGGCTGAGAGGAGACCCTGTCGAGGAAGGGAAATCCGAAATGTGCACCGCGTACGTTCCGCTGTGAAGTGGCCTCAATGGCTCCGTTTCGTAAAATCTCACCGGGGAAAAAGTCTTTCAGATCCCGAGTCCAGACTCTGAAAAAGTTTGACAGGAAAAAATACTCGGAAATCTGCTTAAATTAAGTCTTGGCTCTCGATTCAAGCAAACATCCGATTGAATCAAAGGTATTTTTTCTTGTCAAACATTGGACAGAAAATTCTCTTCAGAAATACGAAATGTGTACCGTGCACGTTCCACTGTGAAGTGGCCTCAATGGCGCAGTTTCGTAAAATTTCACCGGAGAAAAAAGTCTTTTAGACCCCGAGTCCAGATTCTGAAAGAGTTTGACAAGAAAAAATACTCATTATCCAGTCGGGGTTTTGCTTGATTCAAAAGGAAATCCGCTTAAATTAAGTCTTGACTCTCGATTCAAGCAAAAATCCGATTGAATCAAAGGTATTTTTTCTTGTCAAACATTGGACAGGAAATTCTCTCAGGTCCAGACTCTTAAAAAACGTGACCGAAAAAATTACTCTTGATTCAGTCTGATTTTTGCTCGAATCAAAACAGTCCAACGTTTGTGTCCAAAACATCTTCTGATAAACTCGGGACACAAGTTTCGACCACTTATAAATCGATAGCCTTACATACAATAACGTGGAAAGTGTTCGTCGGCCACGCTGTAGTGCTTGCCAACTCGTGGCAGACAACAATATTTCGTATCAGTTCAGATTTAAAGGGCCAAAACTTGTGTCCTGAATTTGTCACAAAATATCGTAGGGCGTTCGGACTAAAATTAAAGGCAAGGAAATGAAATTAATGACCTCATGAATTGATTTTTGTGTTGAATTTTTTTATAAGGCACAAGACAAAGGAATAATTGAGCGTTGCATGATTAGCGCAACGAGCGCGCAGCGCGAGAGTTGCTGTCTTGATGCTGGGTAATTCGGCGACTAACCGTGGAAAAATCGCCTGCAAATCGCGTGAACGCAACTTGTAGTACGAGCACCACGGGTGCAGAGCGAATGCACTTGACACGCTCAACAACTTGAATCCATGCTAGAGTTTTGAAACTTGATACTTCGTTCTCTCGTTGCACTCTGTTCAAAAGTGTCCTTTCACTCCTTCCCTCGCCGCGAACTTCAATTGAACTGCATTTTACAACAAGGAACTACAATTTCTTGCTCATCAATAAAAAAAATCCATCTACACAAGGAAAATAATGGCACATGTGAAGCGCTGCGTACTACAAAAGGGGCATTCCTTGGTTGCGGTGTCTCAGGATCTTCGTCAAAGATTCATCCACTATAATTAAAGAAAACGCTTAGAATCCGTTAAAACTTTTACTGAATTTTCTGAAATTTTTATTTTACAATGCTGAAAAATGAAAAATTCAGAAAATTCACCTCACAGTTTCCTCTCTAAAACATAAATTAGGAGTGGATATTCTGAATCACCGCAACCAAGGAATGCCCTTCCTGCATCCAGTGTCTCATATGCTGTTTCTAAAATATGTCAGACACTGTAGTCCCTAATTGCAAAATGTAGTCCAATTGACCTGCTTCAGAAATACTTGTCTGGTAGGTTTTTTAACTAACAGTGTTGTTACTTTCTCACTTCCGTCGTGGGTAGAGGAATTCGTCATCTTTCGGCGAAAGTATCACAAGCGCCACGCGACGTTTCAAAATTGCCGCCACCATTTTATTTTTTTTAGAGAAATTGTTGGTTGAATCTGTTTGAAAGTTTCACTGAATTTTATCGGCAGCACGAAGAAAATTCAGTGAAATTTTCGGACAGCCTCGTCGAACAATTTCTTTGTAAAAAAATAAAACTGCGGTGAAAATTTGCAAAACTCGCATGGTGCTTGTAATGGAGATGTTGCATGAGTGAGGAATTTGTGATTTGACTGTTGACTCTTATGTAAAAGTTCGTGAGAAACACGATGGTGCCACTGGTTTTCTCTGAAATAATCTTCCAAGCTCAAAAGAAGCTCTCAAGTTGAGGCCAAAATGGAGGAGATATCCCACGCTATCCTGAGAGTCCATCTCTACATCAAAACAAACTCTCCATGCAAAGATAGGGAGCAAATACATTAGGAGGGTTGCCGTGATTTCAGTTTTAGAGTCCCCAAATAAAGTGGCAACCCTGCTAATGCATTTGCTTCCTATCTTTGCATGGAGAGTTCGTCTTGATGTAGACGCGGAATCTAAGGATAGCGTGGGATATCCCCTCCATTTTGGCCTCACTTTGAGAGCTTTTTTTGAGCTTGGGAGATGATTTCAGAGAAAACCAGTGGCACCATCGTGTTTCTCGCGAACTTTTACTTAAGAATCAACAGTCAAATCGCAAATTCCTCACATATGCAACATCTCCATTCTGTGGCCTGAATGTGACGAAGTATCGTCATTCAAAAAAAAAAAAAAACAACTTGAATTTTCGTTTTGTTTTCTGTTTCAGCCCCCCGGAACTACCTAGTCCTGAGCAATCGGTCGCACGCCCTGTGTGTGATCGGCAGGTGTCAGGAGGCCCTGTCCGACGCCGACGAGGTGGTGAGACTGCGACCTTCCTGGGGAAAAGTAAGTTAATACCCAATACGTTCGCTCATCCTCCCGTAATCTTGACCTCATTCCCAACCCCCATTCATCCGAATCCAGCTCGCCGCTCGCCACTCGCCTCGCTCCGCTTTCTTCCTCGTTCGCAAGCTCGCGCTCGCGTTTGGCTTCGCCGACGCCGCACAGTAGATCGAGTCAATTAGAAAGATCGGACATGAAATTTTTTACTTATTCTGCAAGTTTGTATGTTTATGTCGTCACATTTTACATTCCTATATAGGGGTGCTTGTCAAAGAGAACTTCACGAGGAAACCAATGAAACCACTTTTAGAACCAAATTTTGTCCGACCTTTCCTATAGACTTGATCCACTGTGCGCCGCCCAGTGGATCGAGTCGATCGGAGAGGTCGGACAAAATTTGGATACTTCAAAAGCCCATAACTACGTTTATACAAAATTTTGAGGTTGCCGGCCAGGTTAACCGAGCGGTCAGCACGTCTGACTTTAGACCAATTTAGGTCCCGGGTTCGAATCCCGGCGGTGGCGATAAATTCTCACGGAACTGAAGAGTGGATCTGCAGAAAAAGATTCTACTTGGCCTGATGCCGCAATCACACGCTGCGTGTGGGAGCTGAATGTGGTTTGTATATGGAAGTCATCGACCCGATGCCTGAATTTTGAATTGCCGGATATTATCGGATTCGTCAAAACTATTCGAATATATTTGATACACATTTGTATAAAAATAACTCGAATTTGAGAAATTTCCGCTGTTGAGCGCTGACTGTCGGCTACCACATTCAGCTGTCAAATTCAGCGTGTGATTGCGGCATTAATCCCTGAAAATTGAAAAAGCCGGGGCCTGGATGTGCCAAAATTCCCCTGATGTCTACTGACAATAAAAAATAATTTCTACGTCAAACTCTTGTCTACAGATGGCTGTAGATTCCTAAACTGGAATAAAAGCCAAATCAACTGAGGGGGAAAAAAATTGAGGTTCTGAAAGTGGCTCCATTGGTTTCCTCGTGAAATGTTCCCTCAGAAATACCCCTTTAAATTTAATATGTGACGAAACAACATTTTCGTTTTAGTAAAAAAATTCATGTCGACCTCTCTAATTGACTCGATCCACTGTGTGCAGTCTTTCGCGCGCTGAATACTCGCGCGAGTCAAACGCGCGTTTAGTCGGGCGAGAGCGATCCTGTCATGATAGCGAAGAGAGCAGTAAGTGTCAAATTTTCGAAATCGAGTTTCCTTCAAAATTCGTCTAATCTATTTAGATGAAATCACTGAAATAGCTAAAACAGCAAAATTCATCTTACTTGTATGGAAACGAGACGTATGAGAAAGCCGTAAGTGCGCAAAAATGACGTAGTTTCAGGCGAAATAGCAGTAAGCGACATTACTCCTCCAGAGAGACAATGAAAGCAGTGCTTTCAATTACAGGCCCCCCCCCCGCCCCCTCCTCTGCCAACTTAACCTAAGAATGTGTTTGTTGTGTGTCCAAGACGCAAGCACGAAAGCATAAAGAAGGTAGCACTTACGGCTGTCTTACATAACACTAGCCTAATATAGAAATGAATAATACCCTTATTTTCATGTAATTGAAATAAAATCGGTCGTTTTTTAATCATCCAAACGATCTCTATGAGTCTTTCGGATGATCACTGGCAATTTGACAGAGAACAGAGGCTTCTTTCAATTAAAATTGCGCTCAAATCAGTCGCTTATGAGCCCGTTTTTTCTTAACTTCATTTTTGCACTTCCTGCTCTCTTCCCTATCACGGCCGATTCGAGCGGGCGAGTGTAGAAAAGATGGTTGGGGCGAAACACTCGATACAAATATTTTGACTTCCAAAATGATGAAGTTGCATATCTACAAAGTGAAAGAGAACGTAAACTCTTTTCGACTGACTCGGAGACTTCAACGCGAAGTAGAAAAGTTGAATGGGGCGAAACACGTGATATTAATATTTTAACTTCAAAAACATAAAGTACCCTCCATTTTATATGTAATCTCTGTGTGTCTACAAATCCGGAATTGCCAGAAAGTCCGGAAATAGTACTGATTTTACAAGAGCGGTCCGGAAGTACTGTAAAGGTGCGGAAATTCCGCAAAAGGTCCGGAATTTTTTTCATTTTTTGGTAATTTTTGTCTTAAATTGAGCGAGAAATTCAAATTTTTGAAATTTTTCGAATTTCGTCAAATGGAGGCACTGAAAAAGTACTGAATGTTTGTATTGAGGAGGTACTGAATTTTTTGGGAATGTACTGCACTGGAGAAAAAACACATTGGATCTAGAGTCCAGACTCTTGAAAACATTGACAAGAAAAAATACTCTTGATTCTATCGGATTTTTGCTTGAATCAAAACGAAATCCGCTTAAATTAAGATGCTTGGTTCTTGATTTAAGCTAGATTCTGATTGAATCAAGAGAACTTTTTCTTGTCGATATTTTTAAGAGTCTGGACTCTAGATCCAATGTGGTTTTTTTTCCAGTGTGAAAAAGTACAGTAGAGGTACTGATTTGTGGCCCACCTGTCTTAGTAGACACCCTGTAAATTAATATTTTAACCTCAAAAAGATAAAATACCCCCCCCCCCTCCTTTTATATGTGATCTAGTTTTTTTCTGTTTTCCTTGCCAATGTCGTTTATGTGTATTATTCTGTGTTTTAGGGGCACCATCGGAGAGCAATGGCGTTGTTGAGTTTAGGTCGTTACGAAGAATCCCTCGTGGCGTTCGCCGTGTGCGCAGCCCTAGATAGGAATACGCATGCCGTCCGTCTTGAAGCAGCCAAAGTAAGTCCTCAGCCGTCATTTTCTTATTTTAAGACAATTTACACGCTTAACTCGTCTTGAAAACAGCGGCCTTTTAGAGTTGAATCGTCTTGTGTGGAGGTCCTGGAAAGCCGGGTTTCTACATGTTCGGAAAGTCCGGAAATAGTACTGATTTTTAAGGGGGTATGGAAGCACTGAAATAGTGCCAAAATTCCGCAAGAAGGTCCGGATTTTTTTCCATTTTTCGTCATTTTGGTCGCAATTCAAGCGAGAAATGCTTATGTTAGAAATTTTCCAAACGTTAATTCGCGGTACTGAAAAAGTACTGAATTTTCCTGCTGAAGAGGTACTGAATTTCTTGGGTATGTGCTGAAAAAGTACTGTAAAAGTACTGATTTTTGGTCAGCCTGTTTTTATAGACACCCTGCTTGAAAACAGCGGCTTTAGAGTTGAATTCTCTTGTGTGGAGGTCTGGGAAAGCCAAATTGGGCTGAAGAATTGCTGATGAACGCTTATTTTGTCTGGATCCTGGAGGCTTTTCCCCCGGTGTTTTGCAAAAGAGGAATCAGTATTTGTGGATCATACACAAAGACGCGTTTATTCTTAAAGAATTCATTCGGTTCCTGCCTGGCTTTGTGCTTTGTCCTGATTCAGTTCTGTGGTCTCAATGTAATGTAGACGAACGTACGATCTACACGTTCCATCTTAAAGTCCTGCATAAAAGTAGCTTATAAGAAATATGAGATTATGGGAAATTTTGATTTAATTCAGCAGAAAGGTCATTGCTACGCCAACGGGACGGGTTAATATCACCGAGAGTCAAGACCTCTCGCACTTTTATGTTGTACCCATAATGATATGATCATATTATTATGTAAATGTAATCTGCCGTACTGAGCTAAAACGCCCTATGGAAATTCGGAAATGTGGCAACGTTGGATGCTCATACGATGTTTTTCCCGCAACCCGGCAGCAATCCAGACGTGACTCACAGTAATTCCAGACGTTATTCATACGTTAGCAAGTTGGAAATCAAGTATTCAAATCCTCGCACACCTCCAAACCTCAACTAACAATAAGTTCTACACTCGAGGCTTTTATGATTAGTTCATTGCCATCTCAGCATGAGAGGTTATGCGAATTTCAACAGCTCAACATCCAGTTTTGCATCCGAGTTGTTACGTAGATTTTTTTTTTTTTTTGCTACATCGGAGGAGCCATTCGTCTCAAATTTTAGAGCGTTTCATCGAGGAAACCGGTTCTTTCATCTGAATTTTTTTTCCACCTCGCTCGATCATTTTCGATTCGGCTTAAATGAAGAATTGAGCTGCGTTAAGTAGAAAGGAACCAAGTCACATCAGCCATTGCCAAATTTCATCGAACATTTTATATTACACTGAAAAAAAATATCGGTGTATTTACTAAGAAAAGGGTATAATTACCAAGAATTAAGGGTTCTATTTGATCCCAGTTTTTTCTTGGTAAAATTACCATCTATGGAATTGGTAATTTTCCGAGAAATCTCGGTAAAATTATTGAACTTTCTCGGTAATTTTACTGTACCTTGGTAAAAACGCCAATATTTTTTATCGACTGTGGTAGAATTACCGAGATAAAATGGAAAAGTTACCGGGAATTGATTACCAATAAAAGTGGTATTATTACCTGAAAAAATAGTAAAAATACCGGTTCTTAGGTAAGCTTACCAGTCTGTCTTGGTAAAATTACCAATAATTGGTAAAAAAAGTGAGATGGTAAAGGTACCAACGGACCTTGATAAAAACGCCGAGAATTTTTTTTCAGTGCATGTCATTCTGCAAATGATAGCAGCGCAGCATGCCATAGAGCTCCGTTTCACCCGAAACGATTCGATTTTGTGGCTCGATTTAAGTTCTTCTCAAGAAATAGAATTAAGAAAGAGGTGCTTAAAATTCGCACTCGCCTCCGCCTCTCGACGATTTCACGAGACGTTAGTAATTCATGGATAGCTGATAAGCGTCTCTAAGGTCGTTTTGCATCGGCATTGCCAGTTTTCAATGAAAATTTGTGTCTTTCTCAAAAACGACTATTGAGTGGTGTTCGCTGAATTTCGCGAAATTCTTTTTTTCGAAAAGGAAAGAAACATGACACATGAGAAGAAGCAATGCAACGTAAAATGGATGTATTTCTATCAAACGGAATTATGTGTGTCAAGACATGAGCCCTGAGACCCGTAAGAATACACGCATGACAGGGCTCACGTCATAATGCACATAGCTCCCTTTGACAGAAATACGTCCGAATGCAGTTAGGCGTATAGGCCAATGTTCGAATACATCTAATTCACCAGCATGCCCAAAAAAAGTTTAGTCTTGCCAGATACTCATCAGAGTTCATTTCTTTTTCATTTAGTTGAAAATTCGTAGAATTTTTTGCCTTGATTTCTCCCAGAATAGTGTGGACCCATCACAAAGTCAATTTTTTTTCTTTTTTTGTTCAACTTAAAATGTTAACGTGCAGTAACTTAGATTGACAAGTGTAATCTGAAATTATTTGCCAGTAATTCTTCTTGTTATTCCATCATCCAGTTTTAGTGTGTTTCCCGGAGGAAATATACTATTTTAGTCTTTTGCGGTGCCCTGGGAGTTGGAAAAAGTGACTTTTGTGCTCTTTTCAATCCTACATATTCTTAGTGTACAAGAACATTGCGAAACTCATTAAGGGTTTCAACTAGTTGCCTCTAAAGTTGGCAACACTTTTTTCCCTCCATTTAAATGTATGTAAAACGATCGATTCCTGGTGAGGCAGCTCGCCTCGCCTAAAATCGATATTTTCAATGTATTTAAATGGAGGAAAAGCAGTGTTGCCAACTTGCAAAATCGTCGTTGCCCCGAAGCAATTACACCGATATCGCGTCTCACGCCGGCGCGGTTTTTTTTCTCCCCTTCGATTGACCGCGCTAAACTGTTTAACTGCCACTTCATTCTCAGACTGTCACTCGTGGCGAGACACCGTTTTTGCCAAAAAGTGCTGAATAATTGCACTTTTCCCTCGCTTAAACCCATGTTAAATAACCACATTTTATCGCACAATCCAGCAACATTGCGAGACATCTTAGTCTTCAAGGACGCATTTTTCGGCGACGATCCCAGTCGACCACTAATTGACTGATGACGTCACTGAAGTACGCTCGAGGCAGAAAAGCTCTGAAAAATCCGCGCCCACTAATGCCACGCGCACCTCAATTTTTTTACCCGTCGAGTATGCTGCCGCTGCCGTGCTAAGGAAAAACGCCTTATGAACCATCAGGCGTTGCCATATTTCCCTTAACAACTAACGAATTTACTGGGAAAATTGTGAATATTTTTCTTCCAAATTTTCAGACAATTTCGTGCCCAATTTAATCTACAACATCTGAAAATTTCAAGGAAAAACATGCATGAATTTCGTCAAAAATACATGTTTTATCCGGGGTAATTTGGCAACTCTCGAATGTTCATACGGCGTTCTTCCTTAGCACGGCAGTGTAACGCCGTGCTGAAGAAGAACGACGTATGAGCATTCGAACTTTGCTAAATCTTCCACAATAAGAAATTTATTTTTGAGGGAAGTATTATAAAATTGGGCTGCATTTTGCAATCGGCAACTACAATGTCTGGCTCACAATCGGTTTAGAAACGATGTATGTACCACTAGTTTTCCTATATAAATGAGTGTTGTTACGGACGGGGTAGGAATTGTAGTTCTTAATTGCAAAATGTGGTCCAATTATTCATCCTTTACATTTTCAAATATTTTCAACGATATTGCGAATCAGGGCCGGATTTACCTACTTGCCGCCCATGGGCTGCCTATATTTTGCCGCCCCCTTCTCATTCGTTTTGAAACATCAATAAAAACCATCAAGTGAACGTGCCGGAGGGGGAGGGGTGCATAATAAAAGACGCGTTTACCTACACGTGGGATACATTTTTTTGCGGAAGCCCTGTCAACACTTCTAGCAAAGTTTCACGGAACTTGACGCGAAAGTTATGTTCCGTAAACCTATCTCTGTGTGGACAAGATCCTCCATTTATAAGAAATGAACCAAAAAATTATGAAAGAGAAAGAACAAACAGAAATGTGGTTTAATAATTTTAACTTCCGTCGCTGCGCCGCGCCGCGCTGATCGCACTATGTTTGGCGCAATGCGTGAAGTATTCCTGCAGTCTTGTAGGCACTATGCGTTTCACGCCAACCGTTCCTGACCGCGTGACCGCACTGTGTTTGGCGCAATGGGTGAAGTATTCATGCAGTCTTGTAGGCGCTAATATGTGTTACATGCTGACCGCCGCGCCGAGGGCTTGTCCTCGTCATCACTCCTCTCTGCGCTGAACTCCGGGCAAAATTGCGTGTTTAGTTCCTCTCTTAACTCGACAAATTAAAGATGCTGTCTCTTATATCACCGAAAAACGACAAAATTAGAAATTACTATACTCTCAGGGAAAAGAGATTTTGTCTCCTTTTCTTATTTATTCTGAATCCGATTTTTTTTATACCTACTTTTAAAAAAATTGCAAAATTTGCCGCCATGGGCCGCGGCCCATGTGGCCACCCCCTTAATCCGACCCTATTGGGCTGTTGCGAATGCGATTCTCTGAAATACAAATGATGCATGATGCAAAATCGAACGCATCGAAGTCAAAATCTTCTCTGTGTCCGCACTCCGTTCTCAAAGGATGGTGTCTCGCCTTCAAATCCCATAGGCAAAATCGGGCACTCAGTAGTCGCAATAGTTGTATGGAATTACTATCCTTGAATCGGAGATGAGGAAGTCCTTCTTAAAGTACCTGGAGCTCTGACCGCTACGCGACCCAGCCTCCGACAAGTGCTTTGCGTGCCTTTTTATAGGCGCCTTGCAGTATTGAGAAAACTGTGGGTCAGAATTCGAAAGTGTGAAGATAACAAGTTTCAAGGTAAAAAAAAGGACACATTTAAGTAATATAACTCCGGAAACTATTCCAGTCTACTAATATTGTTGCTTTTTTGTCTGTTTCAGTCGTTACAAAAAATTCTTAGCACAAGTAAATACTGTTCAAAGAGCGCTTCTCAAAGGTCCTCGCTGAATAGCAGAAGTAGTCTGAAAAAATACCACTCCCGCACATCTCCCCTCCAACCTGTTTCTTGGGTCTACGTCTCCTCTTTTAATTCAAATAGTGACTGTGATGATAATTCCTCTGGGGACGAGGACTCCAAACAACCATTTTACTCTGTAAGTAATGCCCCCATCACATATTTTTGTCTCTCTTTAAATTTAGGTAAAACATCAAGTTTCTTAAGAATTTACCATGATTACCAAAAAAGAATTACTCATGCTACCCTTAAGTTAAGCCGCTTGTTAAGTTGTTTTTATACACTTCTTGCGGGTTTTTTAAGGAAGGATTAACGAAATGCATTACAATAAGATTTCTTTTTTCTTATTTGTTACGTAAAGAATTAAATATTTTAAAAAATTACTCGAGCAAAAAGAAAGCTTATAAACTAAGAGCCAATTAGTTTTACAGTGGGAGAATTGCAAGTATCAGAGAGGTACTACCTAACACTCAATAGATTGAGGTCATACTGAAGGAGCGGAGACTAATTTTATTTTCTATTCATTCATTATAAATGTCTGAATTTTCTTAGGGGCGTTAAGGAAGATAATTTAAAACAAAGTCTGATTATTTACAGGTAAAGAAAGCCTCCTCTTCCTTTGAAAATTAATTTTAAATCTCTATATTTCTCAATCTCATAACCATGAAAAAACTAAAGAAGATGCTCATATATCAATCCCTAAAATTGAAGATTGTCGCACCCTTCTATGTGTAAATATTAGCACATACCTACGGTTTGTCCAAGTTCTTATGGTTTTTATATACTCCTTTATCCAGTTTTACCACTCATTTAATCACTCCATTTCACTATCTTTTGTCTGCAGGATCGTAGGTACACATACTCTTCACCTGTTCCCCAAGACTCAAGAAGACTACCTGTTCTCATGGAAAAAGCCTTTCAGGAAATCGAATCGATTAGATGTAAGTTATCGTTTCATCGTATTCTGTTTAATAAAAGTTCTTTTTATTTTATTCATGTACTTAATTGTTCCTTCACCTTGGTTACATGAAAACTAAATATGGCGATTCTCACAAAGCTAATCCTGTATTTTTTTTCCGTTTCATCAAACGATGCAGAGATACCAACCACTATATGCCAGAGTGAGGGAATTGTAGCAAGTCAATTTTTTTTCTAAGACTGTCCTTAAGTTTTTGCCATAGAATCTGAAGAAGTTTTCTGTATGTAAAAAAAAGAGAGAAAAAAAAACCCCATTATTGGATCTATTTTTGAGATAAAATAACATACTGGTAAAGATTATAGTCTTGTTGAATAAAAAATAAAATGAACAAAATGAATTTCTTTTAGTTAATTTTCTCCTAATATCCTTTTTGAGGAAAAATATTTTGAAAGTTAAAATAGTCTTTCAAATTTTGCCTCAACATTTCATCTTATAAATGAATAATAAAGTTAATATATAAGTTCTTAGTTCTTTTTTGTTAAGCTCGGTCCAACTATACTACTTACCTCTACGTTTTTGTATACGTACATGCATGATTTTTGTTTTATCCTGTGACTGATAATTGATTATTGATTTATTTTCCCAGGGATGAACAAGAAACTTACACAACTAACTGTTGATAGCAATAAAGTAGAAATTACAGACTTTGATTGTGTTCTTTGTTGTCGGACCTTGTGGCAACCAACGACCACATTTTGCGGCCACTCCTACTGTTCTGCATGCCTTGACAGATGCCTAGACTATAACTTCTCTTGTCCTCTTTGTATGACCTCCTTAACTGAAGTAAGTTCCCATTAGTTTTGTTTTACTCCTGAACATTCTTTAATTAATTTAGGTGTCAAATTTTTGCTCTCTAATAAATCTAAAACTTGAAGCTATTTTTTTATTTTTTTTTCTCTCTATTTACTGCTCCTTTTCTTGCGTAATAGCAAATGTTATGGGCAGAGCTTTTTTGCAATCCAACGTATAGATGGCCTGAGTCAAAAAGTGTAAATCTCAGATTGAGACGTAACTCTCTGCTCATGTATCATTTTTGCAAAGGAAAACTAACCAACAGCTTTTATTGAATTTTTCAAGATGAACTGATTAGGTAATCGAAGGTCTGTCATGGGTAGATGACTTTAACAACCCACTTAAAAGTTTTCTCTTCATACAATCTTTCTTTTAAATCTTTACTTGATTGTTTTTTTTTAAGAAAGGAAATATTTAAACCCTAATTCTTGGTTATTTTATTTGTTTCAGTATTTATTAGTAAATCAAAAAAACATTACAGAATTCCTAGACCTAGCTCTGCGGACAGCATTGCCAACTGTGTATGCTACAAGATTCCTCCTTCACCGGCAGGAAATCAGTGAACCACATATGCCTGTTTTTGTCTGCACCACGGCTTTCCCTCATGTTCCTTGTCCTCTTTTCATTTTTGAGCCTCGCTACCGACTTATGGTGCGGCGGTGTATTGAGTCTGGCACGAGACAGTTTGCAATGGCAGCATGCCTCAACTCCTATGGCTCTGCTAAACGGTGAGTCAAAATTAAATCTTGATGTATTCCTTGTAAAAGTTTGCCACAGTCTGGGACTGTTAGGAAAACCAGAAAATATAAGAGATTGCAAAAAAGTTAGGGAAAATGACAAAAATGTCGGGGCAATATTGTTAAATCACTATCATATGCTTTCCAGAATAAGTTCGACATTTTGATTAACAAATGCATGAAAACTTTTTCAACCATTCTGTATATCCTCAGATGTTCAGGAATTTCCCTGAAATCTGTTGGGAGAATCAAAGAAATGTCAGGGAATCTACTTCTCTGAATTCTGGAGCAATCCTGTTTTTATTTTGAAATCCATCTTTCTCTAATTAATTAAAGTGGCAGGGATTGAAATATATTTTGGCATGATTGATGCCATTGAGTCTCTTTTTGGGCAAAATATCAATCACCAGAAATAGAAGTAGATTAGTAGGAGCACAAAGAATTCGCAGTGCATAGATGGTAACCTGGAACCGTGAAAATGCTTCAGTAACATAAATTTGTAAATAACACAACCATGTTCTCTACAAAAATCACCAATATACTAATATCCCAGTCTATATTCTGAATGGAATATATTTTTTTGGTCATATTCATCGATGGTCGAAAGAAGTCATGCATACCTACAGTACCTATTTTTATTTCTCATGTGATCAACTGCTAAAGTTTTACATAATATTTGCTGATTTTTTCAGATATGCTGAATATGGTACAATTCTTGAAATTAAAAACCTAGTACTATTAAATGATGGATGCTCAATACTTTCAACTGTAGGCGTACGGAGGTTTCGTATTCTGTCACGTGGTGAGCGGGACGGATATGACACAGCCTCCATCGCAAATGTTTGTGATGTTTCTATTCCTTCAAATCAAATCGAAGGTAATAACCATTTTTATTTTATTTACTTTTGCTCATCTGTTTTGAGTTGGTGAAACTACTATCCTTATCAGAGACAATAATTGCAAGTTGGTAACACTTTTTTCTCCATTTAAATCCATTGCAAATAGTTGATCCGAGGATGTTTGCTAAATATCAACCGTTTTTCCTTTAAATGGACACTTAAATTGACCACGCAAATGGACCAAATGTTGTCAGCTTGCAAGAATACCCACCGATCCATATTATCCTGTTTCTGATTTTAACCTCTCCCAGAATGGCTTCTAAACATAAATCGACAGACTTTCTCCTTTTTTGTAATTTTCTGGGTTCTTCAATGTGTTGTTGCGCAATTTAATTGTTGGCGCATACCTCAATCATCTTGAGAGCACCAAATTTGGGAGAGTAAAAATCGCTACTCAGCGTTTTATATTTATAAATATCTCGAGGATTTAGATATCCTCTCACTGATGCTGCGAACTCTTTCTACAAATCTGATGTTACTCCTAGGGCTCATGTATTTTTTTTTTCTTGCAGAGGTAAGAAAGCTACTCGACAAAACAAGATTAAAAGGCGAACAGTGGCTGAAGAATATGTCTCCTGAATTGCAATCGGAAATTTTACGCACCTTTGGACCAATTCCAGACTTGGAAGAGAATTGGGGATCACTCCCTGATGGACCTGCCTGGGTTTGGTGGTTGTTGGCCATTCTTCCCCTTGACCAACGTCTGCAGGTAATTTTCTTTTCAAAAAGTCTCTCATGTCCAGAATATATTTCTAGCTTTATAGAGAATATTAACTCTAACCTCAAGGCAAACTGTAAATATTTTTTTGCGAGACTAGATTATAAGGTTTCTTCATCTTTGACTTTCTTACTGATTCTTAGCCTTCGCAATTTTTTCTGCAAGTCATTTTTATTTGTAGTTAATTTCGCATCCATATTTGCTACTTATCAGCTTTGACAAAGGATTTTCCGTTACACATGAATCTTTACGTTGGCTAAACATTAAAATAAATTCCAATTTGAAAAGTATGTTCTATAACATTGACTGCATGCCTTGAAAAGAACAGAATGCTGTAGGGTGGTGAGAAAACGAGGGGACATGTTCGACCCAGGGGATCATCACTAGGGATATTTTCAACTGGACTCGGCTATTTTTGCAGAATTGCTGTCTCATCAGAAGTATTGCCTGGTACTAAACTAATTAACAGACGTTAGGACAAACGAGTCCCATTCACTGGTCCATATTAATGCATAACTTGGTTTGTAACGTCGCAGACTTCTTGTCATACTATATTAGGCATACTTTCAAACTTTACGACTTTTATTCTTTTTTACTACATGCAAAACTGCTCACGACTATTCCTGGAAAACGTCAGCGGTTTTCTTTCTCTGTGTGAAGATTATTTTGTGAAAATTTCAAACACTGATATGAGTTGATTCTCCATTCAAAGAATAAATTGGAGCAAAGATTTTGAAACTTTGTATGTGATGGAGGTAAACATTTTTGTAGTTTCAAGGTCAGTATGGTATGATTTGTTAAAGTTTCAAGTTGGTCCTATTTTGCATCAAGAAAATTGAACTAATAACTTTGTTTCCTTTTCCAGGTTGGTATTCTTGCCACGACATGTATCGTTAAGAGGCTACTTGCCATTTACAAGACACTCGAATTGATAGAAAGGAATTCTTTGGTAGTTGCGCAAACCAATGAGCAAGCGTCTGTCATATCAGCGTCTGTCAGCTCCTCATATCCTTTGCCTGTTTCAGAAGTCTGTGAAGTATCTCCATTGTGATTTTTATTGTTTTCCTTCAAGACATTTTTAATTGTATTTAAATTTTAGATAAAGATGCGAAACAAATTGAACACAACAGTCACCCTTTTAATATGCATTCGAAGCAATCAAAAATTTTGATAAGCGTTACATTTCTGCTAAAATGAAATTTTTCAAAAGAAGCTTCCTCTAATTATTATATGAATTTAAAAAAAGTTTCAAAATATTTAAAAAGTTCAAGCTTGTCTTTGAAGTACCCAGGATCTGTTGCTTATAACTGGACCTTATTTTCTTTTTCTTTTTTTAAGAAAATTTTTTTTGTGGTTGTTCTGTTCAATTTGTTTAGAAAGTCTTCGTGTGTGATTGCTAGATTACCACAAGCTGTGTCAAAATGTTCATTCATTGCTTCATCATATCCCATCATGAAGCACTGATTTGTGTGATGCCTTGTTTTTTTTTTGTCATGCGCCTAATTACAATGCTGCAAGGTACTTTCTCTTTTGTTTCACTAATTTTATAATCCACGGATATTGAAATTCTGAAATTTTCCCCCCAAATATTATCTCAAAAAATGTTTTGAAAGAAACAGTAGATTTGTTTAGTCTACCAAAAGTAGCAAAATAAAATAGAATAAAAAATTAACAATATGAATGTATCTATTTATTAATTTATTTTTTTCAAGGTACATTGCGACCATGATGAAGCAATGTTTTCAACATTTGATTGTTTTTGGTTAGTGTCTGTGATTGAATGGGTTTGTACTCTGTTGCGTGATAGGGCATTTTACATTTCAAATGTTTTAGTGATACTCAGGTTTTGTTAGAGGAAACTGGATTGATGCCAGGTACAGAGTTGTCAATTTTTCAGTGGTTTTAAGTAGGAGATTAACCTTGTATAAAAATGGCAACACCTGCAGCTTTTTTAAATTTTTGAAATTGTTTTTGAGTGAAACCTGTTTCTCTACTCCAATATAAGCATTTTTTAGAGAAAGAGAAACTCTACCAACTGTTAAGTTGAGCAGAGGATGTATATCAAGAAAGGAAGAAATCAAAATTTAAGAGAGACCGTTTCTTACAATATTTTCTTCTGGGTAACTGAGAGTGTGCGTCCTTATCTCGCTGTTAGTATTAAAGGAACTTTTAAGAATAATTTTGAACAAGTTTTGGAAATGTTTCATGATATATTATTTCTTTATGTTAATCCCATTTATCATTGTATAGACTCCTTCTCTCAGATTATTTTTAATTGGAAAACTAACAGTAGAAACATGTCTCTCATCGATATGTTTGCGAAATGCTCAGGAATATTTAATTAATTTGAAACAGGCGCAAATTGAGACCAGCAGCATTCAACAAATGATTATTTTGTGAAATGTGTTTTAATTTAAAAGATTATCCTGGTTGTTGGTGTTGTCTCTGAAAACTTTGGCCATTTTTTTCGATTAATGCTAGTCATTTCTGAAAGGAGAGTCAGCCAAAGAGCTTTTGGATTTCTCAGTTAAGTAACACAGTTGAATTATAGTATTATAAGCTGTGATGCAACAGATCTCCTCACGTTGCAAGATTTTGTGCAATTTTTGCAGGACCTCTACCACTGCCTTTGCAGCTGGAGTGATAGGTTCCCGATGCGGTTCTTTAGTCACACAACAAAACAAAAAAAGTCAGTCTTACTTTTCGTTTACACTGTCTTTTCTAGAGTTATGTCTTGTATAAAGTGTCTCTTGTGGTCCTTGAACACTTGCCTTATTGCTAGAACTTCAGCTGAGAGAATTAAGTCTCTTAGGAATGCTTTGGTAGAAGTAAACAAATCCAAAAAAGTTTTAAAAAAAAAATTAAAAACTGTAGGAAAAACCACAAAAAAAAAACTTTATTTATTTTTGAAGGAAACAACTTTTGTGCAAGCTGTAATATTTTTAACCTTTAAATTCATTTAATTTTTATAATGATTTTATTTTTGTACCTACTCTCAATCTGCTTTCTAGAAATTTTTTTAAAAAAACTTATTTTTTTATCAGTGTTATTACTCCACTCAAAGATTCCCTTGAGTAAATTATTTTTGGATTTTCCCCTTCCTTTGTATGAACCTCCTTTGTTCATTCAAACTGTTTAACTAAAGTTTTCTGCAACATCTTGTTTTTGAAATACATTCAAAGAAAAATTTGACTTTTTCATGAGTATCTACAGGAAAAATTGTGTTTTTACTTGAGTTTCACACTGTCTCAATATTAAAATAAATTTTCATGGTAATCGGTAAGGCAAGTGCCTCGGAGACATTGTAATGAAAATAACATTGATATAAAGCCTACCATCAAAATGATCTCTGTTTTCAACATTATCTCTGTTCTCTTTTACATTTCAGTTTACGGTTATTGTACTTATTTTTGTTAACCATGATTCTGGTCTCAAAAATTTTTTTTGAAAAAAGATGTCAACAGGGGAACATATCGGTCACTGCTGCCTTTTATTTGTCAGTCCAATACTGTCATACTAAGAAAAATGCCGCATGAGTTGATGTTGTTAAATTTTTTGTATGACACATTCATTTTTTAGGAAATTTATGAATATTTCTCCTTGAAATTTTCAGAAATTGTTGATTGAAGTGCGTCTGAAATTTTCTGAAAATTTAGAGAAAAATATTTGCATGTTACCCTGAAGATTTGTATTTGATTAGAAAAAAATTGGCAATGTTTAAAGGCTCATAGAGCGTTTTTCCTCAGCACAGCAGAATAGCCTAACTTGTAAAATTGCCAAAATAAGAGGCTTTTTCGCTCTAACAAATTTCTTTTTTTAAAAAAGAAAATAAATTTTCATACGATGTCACCAGTTTTTTCCTAAAAAATTTAATAATTGAGACCTCAAACAATAAAATCCGATTAAATAACACTTACAGTAGGCGTATGTTACTTCATAATGACAAGTAGGAGCTATGAAATAAAATGAACGATCGAATTTTTCCTCCTTTTTGCCTGTTTTTATTTATGTGTCTGTTTGCTCTGAGTGTTAAGTAAGTCTTTCTCTGTCGCATTACTGGCGAATTTTCAACCTAGATAACTAATACTTTATGATCATATTATCTTAAGTCTACTAATTATTCTAAATATTAGCTGAAATTTGTTTCCTCTATCACACGTTTGTCTCTTTGCCTTATTTTCTATTGTAAAATAAGGCTAAAAATGTTTCACCTGTCTTGTTTAACAGAGTTACTCAGATTTAATTTATGCATCTTACGGGGTATAAAAATATTTGTAATTTTCTATCCAGAGGCAACATTTGCTTTTATGAAAGTAATTTCACAAAGGTGTTGTTAACTTTAAATTTATAAAGACTAATTGTAAGTCTTGAGGATCATGCAATGCATCTCTAATATCCTCGGTCACACATTTCAAATTTTTTATTCCTCTGATTGGTAAAATACCAACTACCTACCAAGGTTTTACATTTCTTAACACGGCATTCATTTTTTAGGTTACCACTCTCAATATAGGAATAGTTATTTTTATAAATAATAAATACAATTATTTAAATTTTAACTTAGAAAGGGATACTGAACGCAGGTCCTTTATTTTTATCCGGTTTTTGCGCTAGTTTTAAACTGGACTGAGCAGATTTTCACCAAAAGAGGAGCAAATTTTGCCTCTGGATCTTCACTGAACTACTCTTTTTATGACAGTAATTTGTAGTTTTTCTCATGGAAAAATGGAGAAACTATCGTGGTGAGCTATACAAATTTGAAAAAAAATCAACTTTATCATTAGACCAATAGACAAGGTGCAAATTGAAGCATTTTGATACACATTTCCTTGTCAAAATTTCACTTAAAACTCAATTCCCGCAGCAAAAATTACTGATATTAACTCTTAACCAAAAAAGGTAATGTTATTTAATGCATGAACTCAAACTTCCCACACATAGAATGTACAACAATCTACTTGAGTTAAACCGCACAAGTTTAATTGTTAAAAGTTATTGTGACAGGCTCTGTGCTTTGAAAATATGACAACCTTAATCTCAGCGCTTCAGCTCAATTAATGGATGTTGCTTTTATTTTTCCGTAACTAATGCTAAATGAACATATTAATTCTTGGTTTGGATATACTTGCAGTAATTTTTGTTGCGCGACTAGTGTTCTACGCAAAATTTTAAAGATGAAACACATCCGAACTCTTTCAGTACCTTGTCTGGTGGTCCACTGTGCAGATTCAATCTTCACAAGCACACGAGTTCTCGGGAGTGTTAAAAACTGCAGATTATTTTTTAAGTAGAGTAATTTAGTCTAGTTGTCAAATTGTTTGTGAATTGAAAATTCAAGCACCTTTTTCAACTTTTGAAGTACTGAATACTGATCTTTATAATTTATCATTTCAAATGAATTATTTATTCATAAATTATACACATCTGCAAGTTTTAGTGTTTTCGCTCAAGGATAAGTAAACTTTTGGATTCTTCAATAATGGCAGACTTTTCAAAATAAATAGACGCTGTACCTCAAAACTTGAACTAGGTGCTTGAGCATTGTTATCGTAAAGCAATTATTTCTTTTGTTAGATTATCAAATTTCGTAAAAAAAAATTGTTATTTATTAAAAGTGCTGTAATTAGATATTAGTTTAAAGACCTGATGGTTGTGTATAAATAAATTTTGCTCAAAGCATTTTCAAAAGTATTAAAGAATGAAACCCTATTATATGACTTTTTTCTTGGGAGATTCCCTGACTTTTTTACATTTTCCCTGACCAAAGTGATCAAAATTCCCTGACATTTCACATTGACAAATTCTATGCAAAAATTCAAATGAAGTTTTATTCGTAAGCTGATACAAAGTTAAAAGCCGGTGAAATTCCTAACTTTGATAAGTTTAGACAGCATGGTGCACCATTTAATTTTGTACAATAAAGCAAGTGGATAATGCAGTGATGCTTTTTTTTCACGAGTTACTCCCCTACATTTTTTCTCGTCCCACAAAAAGGTAAATTGAATTTGCATTAATTTGGTTTGCTGGAATTCTGCACGTGTACACCAAGTTGTAAAATCTTAAAATTACAAACTTAACTAACAAATATATCTTACTACCCATACCAGAATTCCAGATTTTTTTAGAGAGCAAGAAGTTGAATCAACATACAAAAACTGCAAATGATATCTTGGTATACACATGCCAAATGCTGTGAAACCTTGATTTTAGAATACCGTTGGCGACTCAGTGTGGTTAAAATAAAAATGCATAGGCAGGAACATCTTGGCGTACTTATCTCAGCAGATCCACTCTCTCTCTTATAAGCCAGTTGAATTCTAAAATTTTTAGTTTGTTCACTGTGCTTTAATTATCTTAAATTTTTCATTACCAACACCGTAGGTCTTCAACATATTTTAAATGAGGTTTCTCACAACACAAGTACGAGATCAAAAATGAAAAATTAAGTAATAAATTGATTAATATTTTTACAGAATTATTACTTTTTCCTCTTTATCTTCCTTTAACTGAGGCATAAGTCCTGATCGTGCAGCCATTGCCGTATCCAGCGTGTAAAAAATAAATAGAATTGATAAAAGCTGATAAAAACTGATAGGACCTTTGAGTTTTTCTTACGAATAGTCGTTAGAAATTAAAAACATGAAGCACATTTTTTTCATCTTCTGGGGATGAGAGCCAGCTCAATGCGCATTTCTGGGCGCTTGTCTGGATTCATCACTAACAATACAAATATTTTCATTAAAAAAAAAAAAAAAAAAAAAAAACATTATTTACTAAAATTTTTTGTCTTTAAAATGTTGACCTGTATTTACATTCATCACCTTCGACACAATCTTATTTAAAGAAAAGTTGAAACCCTTTCCTTGACCGCAATAAAATAAAAAAACCATTGTTATTACATTGGAAAACAAATCATTACTGATCTTCTTCATCAGGTACACTTTCCCTCTGGGTGTGCAACTACCTTTTAAAACAGATTTGGGTCACATTTGTTTCGTTCTAACTGCTAAACCGGGAGCACAAAAGGACTGTAATTCGATGCTAAAAAAGAATAAGGAACCACATAGTATAGTTTTTTGTTTAAATTTGAAAAGAGGAGGGAGAAAAATACCAAGTTCCTTTTTTGTTCGAAACCGTAACTTAGTGTGCAACACTAGACACTTTTCCACAAAGGTTATGAGTTTAAATGAATTAACACTTACTAAAACAAGACTAAAAGGGCACAATTAAAATTGTACCAAACGGGGCTAAAATTCTAGCACGGTCGAAGGAAAAACTGAGAAAGGTTGTAAAATGTACCGATTCCATGACAATCTTATTTGCTAAATGAGTGGTAAGGAGAGCTGCGGACTTGTTTGAGCTCATTGAAAATACAGTACGTCTATCAAATTAAGAAAAGAAGGATAAATTTGAACGAAGGAGGTCAACGACAATCTTGTAATTACCAGAGAGAGTTGAAAAAAAAATGAAATATCACGAGAAAGCTTGTGACTTTAAATGAATTTCGACCACAAACTTGAAATGAAGAACTGAGCTCAGAATTCAATTTTTTTCACACAGATTACACAAAATGAGTGATACATACCCCAATTTTTTAAAAACTGTCATTAACCTCCTTCATCTAAGATATTCTTCAATATTGTCACTTACTTAGAAAGATAGAAAAGCAGATCAATGGCCAAAGTACGAAACCACTTATCTCCATTTGTGACATTGCAAACTTCCTGTCATACATTATATTTCCTTTGGAAAACTAGCCAACATAATTTCTTAAAAACTCCCTTGATTTTTTTTCTTTGTTGGTAGAACATTCTGTAAAAGTTTCAAGCTGTAAAGTAGGCTTTTTTCTTCTCAAATAGATAAAATAAGAGCGGAAATATAGAAACACCGCAATGGGGATATGTGGTTTTGCACTTTGGCCACCAAAATAATTATAAAAAAACGTGGACAGGCTTGAGTGAGGTAACAAACTACCTCAAACATTATGATTTAAATTAAAGATAACAAATTTTCCTAGTATGAGATCAGATTAAAATTGAAGATGAAGAAATATTATAGGATGTCACATGATGAAGAAAATAATGTGATCAATTGGGTGTTATGGATTCAAGACTCCAAGAGGCACCCGATAAGTGTGAAATATAATACCGGTATAAAATAGGTAGATTACCCGGCTAAAGTACCTGCATGGTACGTACAACATAATTTTGAAACAAGTCTAAGTTATGTGTCTTGATACGTTTCCTTTACACTGAATTGAGACTATATGGTTTGGAAAGGCTTCCGTTTTTAACAAATGCATTTATTCAACTATCATGCTATCTGAAAATATGAATGTTGCTGGCAGGATGACATTCTTGCCAGATAGTGCTGAGTTCAGTCAGCACTTTTCCCCCATTTAAACTCATATAAAAAGTGCAGATTTTCCTTGATTAACCTGGCAACCTTGCATAATGATCATTCTCACCATAACTTTCCTAGAGGGACACCCTGAAAATTGAGACACAAGTTACCAGCTGTAAATATATTTCATCCATAAAAACCTTTCATTTCTCCTCTCACGAGCAAAACTTGTGCATAGAAAAATGGGATTTCCCCATAAGAATACATGGCAACTTGAATTCCCACTGCGTAAGACTAGTCCACAGCTATATTGTGCTAGTGCCCACTTTGCTTCTAATAAAATCCCTACTTAGTTTCCAACTTCAAGAAGAGAAACAAAAATTAACTAAGTTCAAATCACAGAACAAAACACTTAGGACATTGCTAGAATTGCATCCATTGAAAGGGGAGCCAGGCACCTTTCTATCAGCTGAGAGAGTAGCAAAATTATTAGGTAGCCATCACATCTTGCAATGCTATCGGATAGATATTCTAAAAGTTATTAGAACCTTAATTGAAAAAATATGTCACCGCCTAGTGGAAATATTTTCATAGGACTACAACTGATATTAAGAAAAAGTTGTGAGTGCATTACACATAGCAGTTAAGAAAATTTGGTGGGATTCTCCTGAAATTTTGTTCGGATTATGCACAAACTGGTTTTGTTTATGAATTTTCTTGGAATCGAGACTCAGGATGAGACAAATCCTTCTCACGCGCTTGAAGCTGGTATTGCTCTTTGTTGGACTAGTTCTGGCAACCATACATTTACGTATGGTTCATTAAAATTCTTAAAGGCTTTTCAAAGCTTTTTTCCATTGAACTCAAAAGTCCACATTCTTATCTAACCACGATGTTAGATATGAACAATTCTTTGGTCTGATGAGACCCTCGGTATTGCTGCACTTTCTAATCACTGGACAAATTCCGCATGGCATTTTCACAAATCCTGGAGCTGAGATCAATAGTTCAACAGCACGGTAGCTGTAACTTCCATTCGGTAAGAGATCCTTCTCTATTTTCCCGTCATAATAAAGCGTTTCTAGGATTGTTTTGATATCTTCTTCTGAGAGGTTGATCTTACTGATGCCTAATTCAGTTATGAAATTCAAAACATCTTTAACTGTGGCAGACGCCATGTTCTGCGCTTCTACCGGCCCATAGGTAAGTAGCTTGTCTCCAATCTGTTCTCGTTTCATTCGTAGATACCGATAACATTGCTGATTCAGGACATCGACAAATTCTGATTCGAAATCTTGATCACAATACCACGCGCCACCTAAAAAACAAACGCAGGGTAAAATTACGGAACCTTCACCTACATTTTTAATTCAAAAGAAAAAATTTATAGACGTATTAAGAGTTCAGCACTTGAGGGAAGCGCTAAGCATCTAACTGTAATAATATTTACCTAGCATCATAGTTAGCACTCCAGTGCTCCAACAGTTCCTCAAAAGGGTCAGTGGCACTCACTATTTTTTTAATGTATTTTCGGAAAAATGTAGTGAACTAAGTTTCTGGAAATCTTTCAGATTTTTCAAACTTTGAATAGCAAAAAAATGCCGAAAATGGGACCCTTACGGAACGATATTTTGGCAGGTGCTGATGACGTGGCCACACAGGGGAAATGACTTTTATAGATTGACTGAACTCATCTTAAGAAAATGCCTTGGTATGTCAACTTGACAATCAGCTTTTGAATAGCTTTTTCTCCCCTTAGAAATGATATTTTGGACTTTTTAAAGAGCTTTTTGGTTTTTTAAAGAAATTTTACTTAGGGCTAACTATATTACAATCTGGTAAAAATTCCTTACCTTCAACCCATTATTCCTACAAACCGTCACCAGCAAAGCAATTATTGAAAGAATTTTTTGCTTTGAAATAATTTTTACAATCCGTCTGCTAAAAAGTTTACCATCAACTTCAACAGTGAGCTTGATGGATTTACATGGAGAATAATCTAAAATTACCAAGTTCTTAAAAAAAGATGCAGCCACTTGGAACCAACTTAGTGTGATAGTCAAAATATTCCTTTCACAAGGAAGGTCTTTTGTTTCAAGAGAATGGTTAAATTTTTCCAGGAAGGTTACCATATAAAAAGAGAAGTAAAAATCTTTCAAGCATTACCTGTGATCGAGCCATCAGGCTCCAAATCGTAGACCATATAAACCTTTTTCTTGCTTGCTGATACAGAATTTACGGCCTTGATCATCTTTTTTCCTTCCAACGATTTCAGGATTTTGTTCAGTTGTGTTAGAATCAAGTTGGACTTGATTCTGATGTCTCGAATCCAAATACCTGAAGAAAAAATTCGAAATAATATAATTGATGTGTAAGTGATTTTTTTTTTATTTATTAGTTGTGGCTTGGTTGAGGAAAAATAAATTAGACTCCTAGCATAAACAAGTTTAAGTTAGTTAGTGAAGGCTAAGTAAGTTATGATTTAATATAATCGAGTCTTCGAACCCATCGGTGATGAAATTGATGGTGTTAAGTTCAATTGCCTAGATTTTGTCACGGACCTACGGGTGAAATTTTGAGACTTTTTCTAAAAATTTCAAACAATGAACGCTCGTTGAATAAAAAATAAAAAATTATTTAGTCTTGTCAGTGCTATCAATATTGATGGCTGAAGTACATAACAGCGTATCTCCATTGAGGTGTTTCAAAATATCTGCTCCTATTTTATTTTGTTGTAGAGAAAAAAGTCAACTTCACAGCTTGAAATTCTTACGTAATATTCTGCTAATAGAGAAGAAAAATCAAAAAAGTTTCCGAGAAATAAAGTTTACTAGTTTTCCAATGAAAAAATAAGGTATGACAGGAAGTCTGCGATGTTGCAAAAGGAGATACGTCGTTTTATGGTCTTTTTCTTAATATTCTTCCAGTTTTCTTCCTGTCAACAATGAATGTAAAGTCAATGCAACAACCAACCTTTATTACCAGCTTCTTTTATGATGGTAAAAACAGTTTTCTCTTCAATGTTGGCTCCTTTTAATTGACTTGTTTGTGAGTTGTCCTTTATTTTGTACATGAGATTTCCTTTTTGCTTGAAAATGTCAACTTGCCCACTCGCAACCAGTTTATTGATTATCAAGACATGATCTTGTGGAGACAGGCCTGGGTATGTTTTTGTGATGTCATTGTCTGAGATTCCTTTTGAACCTCCTTTCTGAACCAGCCTGAGGACTCTTTCCTCGTTTTCTGTTAGTGTAACTTTGGGCTCCGTACTTTGCTTTTCACGCTTATCTGTAGAGACATTCTCTTGGCGAGCAAGCTCTTCAGTTGAGACAGATGCTTTGCGTTTACTCATTATGTTCAGATTGCACACAGTCCTGAAAAGATAGACAGAGCAATTGAAGATGATATTTTATGCAAAGATTAAGTATGAATGCATTTGGCTTAAGAATTGATATGAGTTCTGAATTGGTTCAAGCTGTCATGGTAGTTTAAAAATACCATGGTATAGTTTAAAGAAAAATTGAATGTTACAAAAACTTACTTAAAACTTACTACAAAACTTAAATGTTTTGTATTTCACTTAATCACAATGTTACTGGGATAACTTTACAAACCAAACCCCACCTCTCAAGATCAGAGATCGGGCTGTTGTTTAAAGTAGGACTTATTTGCGAGCAATTTCTACACATTACTGAAGCAATCCTCCATGTGAAAAATTATGGATTATTACATCATGAGAATCAACGTTGACTCACAAGGGTTCTTTCAGTTTATGGTCAACCACCTGCCAATGCCCTTAATTACCTATGAGACTACAAGTTGGCTGACGGGCCATTCTCTGAACAGTGCCCTAAGTTTGATTCAATGACAGATCAGTGACAAGTAGCAGTAACATCTTGATTAAGCTACCAACAATTAGCTGCATGGGATTCATGACTTAGTACATTGTACCAAGTTTAAATAAATACTGTTTATCATACTGGTAAGCGCAGAGCTTCCTGAGAAGCCTAAGACTCCGTTAACGATACGGCGCTCTGTATGCTTTTACTGTCATTTTGATTTTTAAAATTGTTTGATTATTTCGTTTCAATATAGGAGATAATTACGGCCCCTTATCGATATTTTGTCCTTCTTTGCTGTTCGCGCTGAATAGGGAATCATCATCTATATACCACGCGTGCAGCAAATAAGGACAAGTTATCTAAACGGGCTGGTAGCAGCGCTTGATGATGCTGGTGATTACATCGAAACTAAAATGTTGGGTATACGATAGTTTAGAAACCTTCTTAAGAGCTGAAATTAAAGAAAATAGATCGACATCGACTGAGCAGTTATTTCTGCATTATTGAGAAGCTTCCGTACAATGACATACCTGAATTGTGAGTGAATCTTACGGACAAATGAATGCACTGCAGAAATGAACTTTCATTTTGGATCTCCAGAGGGAAAATAGAAATAAATCGAGACAAAACCTTCGAACTTCACAATAATTTTCTTTTGTTTATTTTGATTATCAATCTTCAAGAGTTGTTGTTGTTGTTGTTGTCGGTTCCCCCTCATGTCTCCCGTGTGTAGCACTTAGCAGTGTTGCCATATGTTGATACCCATTTATGAATTTTTACGTCAACTTGCAGGTGTTATTTCATTTGTTGATAACAATCTGACGTCACTGAAAGTAACGAACTTCACTTGGAATTTGAAAACACAGATTTCCAGTTTCCTCGAACCGAACGCTCCATCTTCTCGATTTTAGTTATTTTTACTCTTTTATCGATATTAGAAAAGTTATATCTCTAACTCTAGTTCATCATCGCGTAGTTTTGCTTTGAGTAGCAATTTATCTTTGCTTATTACAACCAAATTGACTATAGACTAATCTCAGAACCATTTGCTTGCCCTCAGTCAAAATGAGTAAATCTCGTGGTGCCAATCAAAGTGAAAAACCCATTCAAGTGTTCGTCAGAGTACGGTAAGCTAGTTATGTCATTACTAAATTCATCAATCAGTTTTTACCAGGATGAAGGCCAACAGCAGTTTTCAAACTCATGTTTTCACTTCACTCATGCATGCCTCCGAGACTGGACACGTCAGCCCGTTTCAGATAACTTTACCTTTTTCACTGCATGCGCGGAATAGGAAATTCCCTGTCCTGCACATTCAGCAAAAGAGGTAAAGTTATCTGAAATGGGCTCCAGCAACTAATGAGAGAAAAGTACCCCTACACAGCTTTTTTTAATCTATGGACCTAGGTGGATTCAATGGAACGATATTTGAGTGCGAAACTCAATTGATGACCACTTTGGAAGAGATGCTCAGCTTTCTCCTGAACTACATTTGAGAATCAGGATTTAAAAACACTGCAGTACTGTCTAGTCCAGATGAAGAAAGAGCCCTCATGTGGAGCTTGTAATGAACCGTCTCAGGCGTGTTGTTAAAGTCAACAATATACAGCGCAAGTTATCTGATCATTCAGTTAGTACTCATGTCAGAAAAGTTAGTAGTTTACTGGTGACTGTCGCCTGTAGTAGACACATTTATGTACTTGCACTCAATGGCGGTGTGTGTAATCAATCCTTGATTGCCATCGGACAACAACAACGCAGTTGCTTGCAAATGGAAAATAAGTAACTGCCAACTTAGCTGGTTCTGTAGTTTAGTTGAGCTTTGTGGTAACTAACCCGTGACCTTCCACCTTGTCAGTTAGGAAGCAAGTCTTTGCCAAATAAGTTTTTGCACTTTTAGTGTGTGATAGAAGGTCAGGTCTTTTCAGTTAAGCATTGAGCGTTTAAGCAAGAATCAAGATGGTGGATCTTTCAATCCAATCTAAAACTACGAAAACTTATTTTGCCAAGACTCAACGAGCTACTGAGCCTGGCCTAACTGAGATCGTCAACTGGCCTTAAGTATGTAGAAAAGTATATGAGGCACATTTAATTGTAACATGTGATTGAAATATGGAAAAGTGAGAAAGAGGTAAGATGAAAAAATTATCATTTCCTTTTAAGTTTGTCGTCAATCTTCAATTTGAATTGGTTTTCGGAATTATCAGTGCGCAGTACTTCGTGGCTCATTGCTGATGTTTCAGTATTTATTGTGAATTCTTTGAAATATTTTAATTGCCTTTTATTCTGTTTAGACCCCTGAACCAGTCAGAAAAAAATTCAAAGTCGTATTCAGTTGTAAATGTAAACAATGGCCGTGAAGTATCTGTCAAAGAAAAACCCATCGAGAGGACAGCAAGGAATTTCATTTTTGACAAGGCCTTTGGCCCAGATTCAAAACAGGTGAATGCAATTTATTATTCAGAAAAAAATTATTTTATCAGCTCCCTCCCAAATTCTACCAAACTTCTTTCAGAATACTTGTAAGCTACTATAATTTTTCCTTGAACAAGGCAGTGACAATTTGCTACTATATTCTTTGTAATCTTTGCAGACACTTCAAAAATATTATGTTTGTATTGCAGGAGTCCAATAATGTTCCCTGCTTTCCACAATCTTACAGGTGCTGACACAGTGCTACCACAAAAAGTGATGACCTTTTTTTTCTTTTCCTCTTCTTTTTGGTCGTCAGGTTTTCCGGTCAACCGGTAGGAGGAAAATTTTCACGGAATCTTATTTTATAGATTTGGTGGCAATCCTGCCCTGTCATATTGAATCCACTGCCCACAACTTATTGTTTCTGTAATTTACAGGGATGTATCGTGATGGAGCAAGTATGATGTAAACCTCAACATCCTGCATCTCAATAATAGTGTTTTAAAATGACGTGTTCCATCTTATTTTATGAAGAAAAAAAGAAAATTCTCCAGGTTCATTCTTTAAATAAAGAAGAATAATCTTGGAAGTCACAAGAAAATGATTCTGATCAGTCAACCATTAAAAAAGTGTTGAATGAATTCAATGTTCTTAATACAGTAAACTTGTGTTTAAGTTCTCCTAGTCTAACGATTAATTTCTCTTCATGTTGTTTGTACAACACTTTCAAGTAGAAATAGATTAGCTTTGGTTTTTTTGATCAATTTTTCCTCATGTCAGGAACAAATTTTAGGAATATACAGAAATAAAAATGTGATTAACTGGACCGCGTTTAACAGAAAGGAACCAAGCCACATCAGCTATTGCCAAATTTAACAGGGAAATTTCATTTTTTACGAGAGAAGGTCTGTGCAGATTCCTTTGAAAATTTTAAGGAATTTACCTTGTATTATGGAGAAATTTCACTAAAATTTGTACAAAAATCCGCACAACCGTTTCCGTGTAAAAAATTAAATTGCCCGATTAAATTTGGCAATAGTTGATGTGGCTTGGTTCCTTTCTGTTTAACGCGGTCCAACTCATAATCAACTTTTTGACACTCACAGCACTGGCGATAATTCTGCATTTACCTACTATTTGTAAAATAATACATTGTGTGTTTTTCAATTATTCTCACAGGTGGATGTGTACAAACGCGTTGTCTACCCCCTCATCGAAGAAGTCCTGGCTGGTTATAACTGCACAGTGTTTGCTTATGGGCAAACTGGTACCGGAAAGACTTTCACAATGGAAGGAGAAAAATCAAATGACATTAATGTCTCATGGGAAGATGTAAGGGTTATGTTATAACTTATTTACTTTACATATTTTAAGTAATATCAGTGTAAGACACCACGAATAAGAACAACCAACAAAAACGATGAGAAAATCAACAATAACCTCTCAGAAGGGTTTTCCGGAGGAGGTCAGTAGGAATTTCTTGAGGGGAGCAAGTCCATATTAATAGAGAGCATCAGCTCATTGAAGTTGAAAATTATGTCATATTTAATGTCCTAACTAAACAGCCAGTCTGTTACGGACTTGCTAAAACAGCATGAATGGAAAAAGGCAGCCAGGAAAGATGTAAGGTTGTTCCTCCTGGGGAGAGACGAAGGGGACTTATGCAGGGTGGCTTAAAACTTACGAAAGAATCGAAAGATTGGAAATTTCAGTGAAATATTTCTTGAAATTTCACGAGGCTGTGAAATATTTCAGACTTTTCAGGGGCTAGAGTAGGCAACTCGCACTCAAACACACAAAAATAGAAGGAAGTCACAATTTGTACATTTTGCGAAGCATGGAAAGGAACCGGTAATTTTCAAAAGCTTTCATAAATTTCTGAAATTTCATGAAATACATATATTTCACGTGAAATTTCAAGATTTTATTTTTCATGAAATTTTGCCACCCTGGACTTATAGCCAAAAGCTGGCAACAGGGGTTCTCATAAGAAATAAGGGAGTGTCAACTCCCTACATTGCTATGGATAGACAAGGGATCCTGCGGGTCGATTGTTGAATCGTTATCGATTGAACTCGATGGATAAATCCCTATCTTAGCAATGCTTTTTATCGATCAAGGTCATTCGATAACGATTCAACAATCGACCCGCTGGCGGTTAAATATATCGTAAAGCACCAGAGAGCGATATGAAAGTGGCTCTTATGTATGTAGATAAAGAGATTGACGATTTATTTCATAAATAAAACAAAATATCATTAAGATGCATAATATCAAATCATATGAAGAATCATATCAAGGATTGGAGTTTTTTGGAATTGGAAACTATTTTCCTCAAAGGGTGAGTTTATTCATCACAACCAAGATAGTTTTTCCCATGGTTTTTTTTCTTTCTTTCTTTCTTTTTTTTACCCAAGCAAAATTACCCTAAGTCCAAATGACTAGGCATCTCTGACTGTGTTTAAAGTTTTTATTTTGGTCTGTTTCAGGATCCATTGACTGGTATCATTCCAAGATCTCTAAGTCATCTATTCGACGAACTCCGCATTAAGCAGCTAGAGCACTCAGTGCGAGTGTCTTTTCTTGAGCTTTATAATGAAGAGATCTTTGATCTTCTCTCACCCATTGAAGATTCAAAAGGACTTAGGTCAGCATGCTTTGCCTCCCTGTATTTTTCGATGATTTTACTTTTTCATGAAACCGTTTTGCTCTGAATGCCATTTTTGAGTGTACTGTATTAATAACTTCGAGTAACTTTGGATAACAGTCTCAGTGAAATGTTCCCTTATTCAACTTAATTTTTAAACTTTACCCACAGTCGAAATTATTTTGATATGAGAGAAAACTTCATCTCTTCAACGAAAGTTTTAATGCTTGAATGAAAGTATTGAATGAAAGTGTTGATGTATTGAATGAAATGAAAGTATTTTGCTGAAACTTGCATCAGATATGTTGACCTCTCTTTACTTTTTATTTTCAATTTATTGCATTCAAGCATTGCAAAAGGGAGCCTTTCCTGGAGGCAAATATTTTTAAAGTTCTCTATAGTCACTGAAAGTTATTCAAAGCTGTATACTAAAAAATGACATTCAGAGCAATTGAGAACTGACTAAAAATGATGCTGCTCTTGTGTCCAGACACAGAAAATAGCGTACTTTGTATGATAGTGGAAAGAAACAAAATTTTAATTTATCTGAAGTAAAATCAAGCAATATAATAAACCTGAATTTTGCACTGGAAGAGCATTATGTACCTAAGGTGTCCCAAAATAATTAGGATTGGTGTTCTAATTGAAGAAACAATCAATCTAGATCGCAGAGTTGTTGCACATGTCTGAAAATGAGCTGGATCGGTGGTTTGTTGCCAACTTTGCCAACATATGCATGTATTGGCTCTGTGGTAACCAATACTGAAGTAAGATTCCAGCATCTTGGAAAAGTCAACCAGAAAATCATCAGCTATGTGGAGTCCTTTATTTTGTTTTACCATTTCTTCAGAATGGTGAAGGAAAGGTTGCTCGAGCAACTTGTCACAGCATTAACAGCAATGAACCTTGCTAAAACAAGCAGTGAGGACAAGCCTCTGGATACATTTAACTTTTTATCCATTCTTTATCAAGACCTATATACACAGGTCAGTCATTGCGCATCTTTTTGAAATCTGCTTCATCGCCCGGCCTTAACTCGGCGCTACTCAATGCTTCGTCACAGTGAGTGCCTCCTTAAGAAATACATTGCAGGCACTCAATACTACGTCACTGCGCAGTAGAGTTCCGAAACTCGTCGTCGGGAATGACTCACCTGTGTAGATTGGTCTTGTTCTTTATGATTCCTAGTGGGAATTTGATGAGCATTCTTATGTTTTTAGGCTCTTTGAAGATTCCAGCAAAAAAGGCTCTGTCATCATACAGAATCTAGAAGAGGTTCCTGTGAGCAACAAGGCTCAGCTGTACAAAGTCATGGAAAAGGGCTCGCAGAAGCGCCAAACTGCTGCCACCCTCATGAATGCTCATTCAAGGTGAGGAGAAGGTTTTGTTGCTGAGGAAAACCATGAAACAGAGGGAAAGCAAACAAACAAGCAGGTTAAAGTATAAGGATGGAAGTTGTTGGCCCAAATCGTGGCTCCTCTGATGTAAGGGTATATCTCTATTTCCACATGAGGTATGGAAAGCGTAGAGTTATATAGAGAACTGAGCTCTTGTGGAAATTTAGGTGTGCCCCTATGTCAGAAGAGCGACGATATGTTTGATATGAAAGGACTCAGCTACATTGAAGTGTGACATACTGTATCACAGGGTTTTTCATTTTAGGCAGGCTACCAAAATTTCGAGGAAAATTCTCTATCAGCTGCTCTATCGCTGTGTCAGCTGCAGGGTTAGTATCAGTACAAGTATCGCGTTGCCGTGAATTCAGAAATTATTCAAAAAAATTATGAGACACAGAAACATTTATGAGTAAGACAATTTTGGTTTCTGGGACACATTTTCCTCCATTACGCATGTATTATAAATTTGCTAATGCCATACTATAAAATTAGATCTAGGTATTTCTTATAATTGGACAATGTCAATTGTTTTTGAAATTTCCTATAAATGCACTGTAAGTATACCTTAAAAGCAAACTCTCTATTTAGGTAATAACAACACCTATAATTTGATTATTCAACTCGGATTGTTTGTTCAACAAGTGACTCTTCTTGAGAAATGACATTGTATGATAACGCTTCACTGATACGGATCATCCTATGAATGTAAGGTAAAAACTGAAAAAACAATGGGTCAGTTGCACTGGTCACAGAATCGTGTTTTCATGCTTGATTCTTGTAGATTAGCTAGAAATAATAAGATCTGTCCAAACCGCAACTTTCTACGTTCAATATTAACCGAGATACCGCCCGTTGAAAATCAAGTTTTTGACGTCATCCACCGCGGTAGTGACACCCTTGGTTTCTTCCACCTTGCTTTCATCTAAGTTTCATGCTGAGAAATCAGTGCGTCACTGACTGATGAAAACAAGGTGGAAGAAACCACAGGTGTCACTACCGCGGTGGATGACGTCAAAAACCTGACTTTTCAAAGGGCGATATCGCAGTTAATATTGAACGTAAAAAGTTGCTGTTTGGACGGATCTTATTAATTTTTGCTGATCTACTGTAATCAAGCATTAAATCACGATTCTGTGACAAGCGCAATTGGCCCATTATCAAGTCACCAAGAACAGATTGCATTTCAACGCATGAGTCGTTTGACGGAGTGTTGGTAAGTTTGCCAATGTGCATTAAGGTTTTACACAGAACTGGAATTCTCAATGTAGAGGGAATAAGCACAATTTTCCCTTAAAGAGATGTGCTGTTTGGTGCAACATCAGTCACGACCAATCAGGGATGCAAATGTGGATATGTTTCAAGACTAGTTTGCCCCATTTTCAGCACAGCACAGCCTCCTGATTTCTAGATTTACATGTTCCTCTAATCGAAATTTTTTTGCATTTTCTGCCTCCCTGCTATCTCAATGTTACGAAACTGACTACGGGATGAAGACGTTGGGCAGGCTCGTCCCAAAACTAAAACAAGTGCACCAAAATCCTTTACCAACAGACAGTTGCATTTTTTTAGCATGTTCATGAAATCTATTCAGGCGCATTACAAAAGCTGCGAGTGTTACATTTTATTTTCTGTTTTTATTTTTCAGTCGTTCGCACACCATATTTTCAATCACCGTTCACATAAAAGAGACTTCAGACAAAGGCGAAGAACTCTTCAAGATAGGAAAATTGAACCTTGTTGACCTCGCTGGTAGCGAAAACATCGGAAGGTCAGGAGCAGTAGACAAAAGAGCTCGAGAGGCAGGAAATATCAACCAGTCTCTGTTGACGCTTGGCAGAGTCATAACATCTCTTGTCGAGAAAGCACCTCATATTCCATACCGGTGAGAAAATAATACTCCGACTTTTTACCCCTAGAAGTTCAAAATGATAAAATATTTTGATTTTGTGCGGATGTAATGAGCCCTTAGACAAGGTATGAATGAAACTCCATGCAGCTTAATTTTTCTTCAAAATTTCAAAAAGAAAATGAATCACACAACAGGTCCGGAAATCAACTCCTAAATAAAACCTAAATTTTTACAATTAACTTTTGTAAAATGGCAAAAATAGAAACGACGTCATTTGTATACCTAACTTACATTTGATTTATTTTAAAAATACTTGTTAATATCTTGTTCAGGAGGTGATTCTTATATTTATAGTTGGGTGAATAGTTTTTCACGTAAAAAGAGAAAATGCGTGACTTCTTTTCTAATTCAGACTGTGTCTAGTGACCTACACAGTATTCAATTAAAAGTCTACATTTTACTTTTGCTTTTCAATGAGGTATAAGCATGTCAAATGTTCAAAAATTTTGATTGAACGTCCTTCATTTCAAGGTGGAATTAATTTTATCGAATGAGCCTAATTTTTATTCTTTCAAATTTGGAGGGAACATATAGCTTAACGCAGTAATGTGTGTAACATCTTCTTTCATTGTTTTCCAGCGAATCAAAGTTGACACGTTTATTGCAAGATTCCCTTGGAGGTCGCACGAAAACTTCTATCATAGCAACTGTCTCCCCAGCCTTGTGTAATTTGGAAGAAACTCTCAGCACCCTCGAGTATGCAGCTAGAGCCAAGAATATCACCAACCGGCCTGAGGTCAACCAGAAACTAACCAAAAAAGCTTTCTTGAAGGTGAGACGCATTCAAATAATCCTTAAGTTCTCTACAAAACACAAAGTGAATTCACAGATTTTGTTTTTATTTGATCATAACTTCATAATTAAAAAAAAAAACTAATCGCAACATATTTGAATAATTTTGGAAGGTAATTCAAAACCTAATTGATTCAATTCTGAATATAAAAAATATTATCTTAATATTTTAGGACAAACTTTAAATGTATAAAATTTCTCATTGTTCATCTCTCTTTTTGAATTACAGGAATACGAAGTAGAAGTTGAGCGCTTAAAGCGTGACTTGCAAGCTGCAAGAGACAGAAATGGTATTTTTGTTGATCCGGAAAATTACACCAAGATGACTCTACAAATTGAAGAACAAGAAAAAGAGATCAGTGAAAATCTTTCTAATATCAAAGCTCTTAAAGCGGAAATGGAGAAAAGACAGGTATGTATGTCCTTAGTATAGAAGTACATTAATATGAATAATATTGAATCCTTTGTAAAGCCCAAATTGACTCCATTTAGAAATCTAGGAATTACTTTTCACCATTTTGTGGAAGGCAAAGGAGTTTTAAATCTTACTACCGTAAAGCCTACAGAAGTTAGTGAGTGTCCTGTTTGATTAAAGTAGACTGGGGTCTTTTAGCAAGTGGGGAGTTCAAATTTATGAACACATTGAATGCTAATTTCTCTTACCTAATTTTTTGGAATTTATCGACTGTGTTCTACGCAAAATTTTAATGAGAGAAAATCCTTTCTGATGCTCGATTGTTCATCAAATCTATTGGTCCATTCAATAATATGCCAAAATGTATCATGAAATAAATAAATCAAAACAGGTTGTCATAATGTATCTTTCGCAGATATATAAACAAATCAGGCATTTTATCAAATGCATAGGCAGGTAGCCAATTTTTTAAAGTTTAGGATGTTTCATACGTTTTTACAAAGAGCCCACTAATTTTCAATATTTTGGAACTAAGAATCTTTCTAACTACGAACCAGCATTGTATTTTCTTTTTTTAAATTCTTCTCATATACTTTCAACCGTCAGAATTGTATGAACTCTGTATTTTAAAATATGTTGTATCTCTTGAAAGATATGTTCATTTCTGGGCTAAAAATCATTACACTAACTAAAGAATTATCAAAATTGTAAAAATATTTTTTTTTTTTTGTTAAGACAAGTAATTATTTGGTCCAAAATTAGCGGAGGAGTCAGAATTTCAATCCGAGGGAGAATGTTTGAAACTTTGCTCAGGTGTTAGACGAAATGCCTGATTTAACCATTAGCCTGCGATTTATCCGCATTGTACTACCCCAGTAGTCAGGGTTGGCACACAGCAAGTTGATCTGAAACCTCACAAGAGACTGTAGTATTAAAACTTATGACTTCTAGAACCAGAAAAAATTATGAAATTTAAATAAAATAAATAAAACAGACCATATTGTTTTTATATCATCAAGGTATGATAAAGCTTGGTTTCTAATTACAGGAAATCATTGAGGAGTTATCTACTTCAAATAAGGAAACAAAAGAAGAGTTAGAGAGACGCAAGCAAACTTGCCGAGAGACAAGGAAGGCTCTTAGGGAAGTTACAGTGGACCGGAATGAAAACAAACATCTGAAAGAACGCCACATGGAAACCGAGAAGAAACTCCGCAAACAGGCAGAAAAGCTTCTAGCAGTTGCTAATGTTGCAACATCTGATGCCATGAAGCTTCTTGAGAAGATTGAGCGCAAAGAGTAAGTTTTACTTCAGAAATTTTTTCTCTTGTTTTGATCAGTAATTTTACTCAGGGTTGGCGCATTTTAGCTCTAATGAAAGTTTCACAATTTCGATTGTTGCCTACGAGAATGGAGAGGCTGTAACTAGTCAGTTTTGTGACATCAAACTAGCAAATATTTACCGTAAACAACAATCATTTCTGCGCCATTGGAGCCTCGATGAGTGAGGCAGTCGCCCTGTGGACCAATCAGAGTGGCCCTCGTTCGGCCGAGGTTGCATGAGCGGCGCGTTTGAATCTGAGTGGAGTAACGATTATGGGTATCTAGCTTTTTTTTCTTTAATTATCAGACAATGTCATTTATGGGCCAGTCAGATTTGCATGGTGAAATTTCATCTTCTTTTGAAAAGTTTCTTATAAATTTGTGCGTTAGATCTACCCCTGAGAAGATATCAGCTGGAAAGCAACACATGTTAAACCGCGGCAGAGTTTCATCTACTAGCACGATTTCACCGGAACATAATTACAGCCTATTCATTCTCATAGGCAACGTTTGAATCAACTCACCATTTTCTATTTTTTTAGCCGCTTTTTTTCAACCTTATTTTCAGTTTTTCTCTCTTCCTACTACTCTCCACTGCCACTCGCTTTTCTCCATGTTTGGAGTAGATACTTGTAAACATTTGATTTTTCTATTTTGTTTTCAACCTTTTTTTCTGTTAAAAAACTTGATTTTTGAAGCTTCTAGAAGGCCTCAGGTATTAAAAAGTTTCCCAGCTTTTAACTTTATTTTATTTTTCCCTCAATTTCATAGTGCCGGTGTCCCTGGTACACTTTTTGCTGAGGGCTGATGAGGAGATTACCGCTTGTTTCTACAACACTTTCGAGGAATTCAATCTATAGATAGTATTGCCAGTAAGAGAAACGATGTGTTTCTCCTGAAGCTGACACTTTCGGCGCATGTTTTATAACCCAACATCGCCATNTTGGGGGGGGGGGGGATAATGGTAATTCAGCAGCTGCGGCAGTAGCAGTATTTGACATAGCAACAACTGCCAACCCTCCTCCACATCTTCTTTGGAAGTTTTGAAAAAAATACCTCTGTGCCAAAGTATAGGTTTGTCAAAATATCGATGACCAAAGTAAAAAAAAACCTGTATGTGGGTGAATTCAAATAAGGGTCCAATTCCAGATTCTATATCCTCCTAAAATTTTGTTGTGAATTTTTGGGCAAACCAAACTTTATTTTGACTATCATTAAGTGTAGAATTAGGAATTATAGCTGGCCGAGCTTAATAGTTGGGCTTAACCCCGAATTTCCACCGTTAAGTGTATCACCTCCCAAAATTTGCTCTAATTTTGCCTGATTTCCCAAATTTTCATCTCAGAGGTGACGTATAATACTTTTAATTGAAAATTGAACACAATTTTCATGAAAGCATCATCGAACACTAAATTAAAGCACAACTGAGAACATGTAACCCTTTCATATCTTGCAGAATTAAAAAAATTGAGAAATAATTCATCTGTCATGAAAGATGTCTGAAGCTTATTCGCTTGTCTTTTAGACAGTTCCATCTGTTTATCCAAATGCGCACTGTCTGCCTTTAACAGGAGAAGAAGCTTTTATTTCTTGGAGTATTGCAATTCAAAATGGATCAAAAACACAGAATTTTAAAACTTCGAGTGGGTGTGTACCCGCTGAAGTGGAGATAAAGCCAGGAAAAGTTTGAGGAATTGCATTAACATATCAAGTGGGATTATCCCTCGTGGGATACTTGAAGTGTTAAAAAAAAAAAAATTACACAGGTCAACGTTTTTTTTTGGATTTTCTGAAGATTTGCCAACGGTTTAGAAGTAGATTTTTGGCGCTGATTCTGCAGATCACCTCCATTTACCTGTATCAGTGCGATTTATCCTGGGAAAGTTCGGAATTTTTCAGGAGAAATCGGAATGTTCCTTAAAAATCTAGCTTTTCCAGAAGAGTCAGTTTTCCGGGAAAATCTGTGCCCGGTGGGAAAAACCTAGGAATTTTTCGATTTCGTAGCCCAAGATACATAAGAAACTATGTATTTGCACCCCTATGAAAATTTCCTTTCTTTTCTCAATACCAAGGTTTTCCGGTCCAGTTTCATTAAAATCAATTAATTAGTCACCGAGATAGGGTTTTAAGCCACAGCTGCCATCTTAGATTTTCGAATCTTGGAAATTTGACTAACATTTTCAGTTTCCCGTCAAAAAATATCTATGGGTACCAAGTTTCACGTAAATCGATTGATTAGGTGCTGAGATAGCATTTTAGGACACGTAAGCCATCTTGGATTTTCGAATTTTGAAAATTCGACTAAAAATTCGAGTTCCCCATTGAAAAATACCCCCGGGTACAAAGTTTCACTTAAATCGGTAGAAAAGAGCGCCTACAGGGCTTAAACAAGCAAGTCTCAGTTGTAACAGTTTTCCACTCTGTCCCACTAAACTGGGACACTGGGACAGGATGGAAATAAATCAGGGAAAGTCTGGGAATTTTCAGTGACCGAGAAAAGTCAGGGAATTCTTGGGATAAGTCGGGGATTTCTGACACATCTACTAATCATTGAAAACGCCTGTATTTTGTCGCCCCCTTATTCTCATTCGTTTTGAAACATCAATAAAAACCATTAAGTGAACGTGCAGCGGGGAGGGGTGCATAAGACGCGTTTACTCGTGTTGGACACATTTTTTGCGAAGCCCTGTCAACATTACTAGCAAAATTTCATGGAACTTTGCGCGAAAGTTAAGCTCCGTAAACCTAACTCTGTTTGGACAAGGCCTTCCATTTGTAAGAAATGAACGAAAAAAGTATGAAAGAACAAACTGACCGCACTGTGTATGACGCAATGCGTGAAGCATTCCTACAGTCTTGTAGGCGCTATGCGTTTCACACCGATTGCTGCTAAACGCATTGTGTTTGACGCAATGCGTGAAGTATTCATGCAGTCTTGTAGGTGCTATGCGTTTCAAGCCGACCGCTGCTGACCGCACTGTGTTTGACGCAATGCGTGAAGTATTCATGCGGTCTTGTAGGCGCTAAAATGTGTTTCATGCTGACCGGCGCGCCAAGGGCTTCTCGACCTTTCCATCTCAAGTCCGCGTCATCATTGCTCTCTGCACCGCGCCGTTCCAGGCCAAATTGCATGCTTGGCTCCTCTCTTTACTCGACTAATTAAAGGTGCTGTTTCTTATATCACCGAAAGACGACAAAATTAGAAATTACCATACTCTCAGGAAGTGAAGATTTTGTCACCTTTTCTCGTTTGTAATTTTATTTCTGAATCCGATATTTTTGTATACCTACCTTTAAAAAATTGCAAAATTTGCCGCCCCCTAAATTTGCCGCCATGGGCCGCGGCCCATGTGGCCACCCCATAAATCCAGCCGTGCAGAGAAGAAAAATCACGGCAGTTTCTAAGAATTGCCGTTAAGTAGTTTTCCAACCAACAAATTAAGTATGACTGGAAGTCTGCAGCGTCGCAAACCGAGATACGTGGTTGCGGTAAGAAAGGTATTTGCGCTTTTGGGGTGTGTCTGACCACTCTCTCTTTGCACCTTAGGGTTATTTAGGGTGTCTAGCGACCTGGGATATCCGGGAAATGTCAGGGAATTATTTTTTCGTGTCAGGGAAATCAGGGAAAACGTCAGGGAACATAAATTCGGCATGTCGGGGACTTTTATTTTGCAAGCGATATTCGTGTTAGGGAAACGTCAGGAAAATCGAAAAACACGGATTTTCTTTTGTTGATAATTGATGATGAATCAAGTTTCAGAAACACGGAAACGATACTAAAATTTCTACCAGAATTTTCGCTGATGTCTTGTAATTTTAAAAATGAGGCAAACGCATCTCGTACAAGTTTAGGCACCATATATTTTGCTCTGCTTTTTACATTATCTCCCTAGAATATGAAAAAATTCTTACTTACATGTAATCAGTTCAAAAATTGGGAATATTTTTCCTTTTTGTCCGGGAATCATTTTTTTCCGTCTGTCAGGGAATTTTAAATTTTTCCCCGCTTTTTTGGCCGCTTTTGTCAGGGAAATCAGGGAAATGTCCGGGAATGTTATTTTTGAAAATTGCTAGACATCCTGGACTTGTGTGTTTTTCACTTTTAAGGTCCGCGCTTTTGGACATGCGTGCTCTCGGACATCGTCCACGGTCAAGCGGGAAACCGTGCAAAGTTAACCCCCCTCCCCCCCGGCCCCCCTCTTTTTCTTTTTTTGGTATGAAACACGAGTGAAGCTCCGTAAAAACCGCCGAGGACCATTTTTTTCGGGCTTGAAAGAAACGTTACCGCACTATGCTGAAGCCGGAATTTAAGACGTTCTTGACTTGAAACTGCCTGGAGGTCCCGTTCGGAGATTCCGCGAGATTTGCCGACATTATATTATAAGAAAAAATTCAGTAGGTATCCTCAAACTTCACGAAGTTTGAGGGCAAGCGGTTGTTGGTGTAATATTGCGCGTGCCTCAAAGAAATCCTATTCGGACCTGAAAAATCGGGTTTCGAAGTATTAGTGCGATCCAGAATCACCCTGTATACGATACTCCGAACGCAAATCCTGAATTCCGCTCTGATCCAAGATTAGTTCAAGGACATCTCACGATTGTGGATGAGCCTATCGCAATCAGGGCACCTATCTGAGTGATCGCCACCTTATATACTGCCGTGCTAAGGAAGAACGCCGTATGAGCTTTCAGAGGTTGCCGATTTTCCTTCGATTAAAAATGACTTTACTGGTAAAACTGTAAATATTTTTCCCCGAAATTTTCAGACAATTTTGTACGCAGTTTAATCTAAAATATCTGAAAATTTCAAGGGAAAGTATGCTTAAATTGCGTCAATAATACATGTTTTATCAAGGGGAATCGGGCAACTCTCGAATGTTCATACGGCGTTTTTCCTTAGCACGGCAGTATAATCCTTCCAACCAATTAAGCCGTTGACGCAGAAACGACGTTTGTCTATGCAGTGCTGCTCATACTGTGCATCCTTTAACTTCCCTTTTTTCTTTTTCTTTTTTTATTGTGCACATAATAATACTGTGCAAAAATTCACTTTTGGACGTAAGAAATATTTTTAAAAGCTTAATTAATCCTTAAGTGTATAACTTAACTTAACCGTGTGAGCTATATGTTCGATTGTCCGGAGTTAGGAAATTCGGTCAACCACGCCATCGTGCATTGGACTAACCCCAACCAATCAAAACGAGCACAACAGCGAAACGTAACAATAAATGTACTTCCTTAACAAAAAACAAAGAGAGGAGATAAAACAAAAGTATTACATGAAAAATAAAACTGTCCCTTTTACTTCCCTGCAAAACCAAGCAATCAATTATTGTCTGTAGACAAACGAGTGCAAATACGGAAAATCGACAAAAAATATCACTAAGATAGAAATATACTGCTGTGCTTAGTGAGAACGCCGTATAAGCCTTCAGACGTCACCAAATTCCCGTCAACAGATCACGAATTTTCGGGAAAATTTGTCAATAATATTTTCCTCCGATTTTTCAGAGAATTTTATCCGTAATTTGACTTAAAGTGTCTGAAAATTTTAAGGAAAAAAATTCATAACTTTTCTCAAAAATAGATCATTTTTAGGTCGAATTTGGCAACATTCGAATGTTTACACTTCCGTGCTAAGGAAAAACGCCGTATGAACCTTTGGGCGTTGCCAAATTCCCTTTGATAAAACACGAATTTCCCGGTTTTATGACTATTTTCCTTTCGAATTTTCAGATAATTTTTTATACTTTTTCACCTAAAGTGCTTGAAAATTTCAAGGGAAAATATTCCTAAGTTTCCTCGCAAATAAGCACTTTATCGAAGGAAATGTGGCAACTCTCGAATGTTTATACGGCGTTTTTCCTTAGCACGGCAGCATACGGTGTTTACCCTAGCACGGCAGTATATCAATGAAGGTGGTTTGTTCAATAACGACTCAACGACCGATCCTTAGCGCCGAAGTGCTCATACGTCGTTTCTACAAAGAATGACTTAATATCAGCCAGACACGACTCCCGGACTTACGATACGACCTGAAGTGAAAGATAAAAGCGGACTCTCGATTACCGCCAAGCCGGCCGCCTGTCCCATCTCTCTTTGTTTCACCGCATGTTTCACTGAGTCAGTGTCAGTCCTTGTCAGTATCCGCGATCCCATTTCGTCTCCTCGCAATCCCAACCGTACAGATTGATAATTTATTTTAGTCGGTCATAAAAATTAAAAATGGTTTTATATTTCAGCTACGTTGAAACTACTAATTCTGCGGCCACCAATCATCTCTACTCGTCTCTACAAAATCAGTTCGACGTCGCCGCAAGCATCAGCGAACGCCAGAGCCGTAGTGAAGCAGAAATTTTCAGCATGCTCAACAACTTCCTTGGTACGAATTACAGCTCATGCACATTTATTGCATGCACGATTTTGGTTGCGAGCCAAAAAAACTTAAGGTCAAGCTTGACAGAAAGGTTTCAATTTTCTGTTCTTCTTTTCCCAAGTAGCATTTCTCAACGGAAAAATCGCTATTTATTGCGATTTCGCCAGGATCTTCAACATCTAAGTGATTGTCCTCGATCTTATCGCGATGAAATCGCGCTTTTATCGTCCGACAATTTATGGCGATATTTTCGAAATAAAAATCACGATAAATGGCGATTTAATCTCGATTATACTGACGAAAATTGATCACGATTTTATCGTACCAAAAATTGCGGTTTGTAGCAATTTAATCGCCATATATCGCGATTTTTAATGCGATAATATCTCGATATGTTGCCACCGATATCATCGCTATAACCAAGCGATAAAATCGCTATTTATCGCGATCACTGCGACTTGGGTTGTTCGTTGTAAAATTCCCCCTTTATTTCTCATGAAGAAAATTTTGCATTACTAAATTTTAATAAACTGGGGGAGTGCATAGTTGGTTTCCTCTCAGATTTTCTATGGGTGAGATCAATAATAATGGAGATGTTGCATGTGTGAGGGATTTGCGATTTGACAATTGATTCTTACGTAAAAGTTCGCGAGAAACATGATGGTGTCACTGGTTTTCTCTCAAATCAACTCCCAAGCTCAAAAAAAACTCAAGTTGAGGCTAAAATGAAGGGAATATCCCACGCTATCCTGAGAGTCCACCTCTACATCAAGATGAACTCTCCATGCAAAGATAGGGCGCAAATACATTGACAGGGCTGCCACCTTATTTGGGGACTCTTAAACTGAAATCACGGCAACCCTGTCTGTGTATTTGCTCCCTATCTTTGCATGGAGAGTTTGTCTTGATGTAGAGGTGGACTCTCAGGATTGCGTGGGATATCCCCTCCATTTTGGCCTCAACTTGAGAGCTTTTTTTGAGCTTAGGAGTTTTTCAGAGAAAACCATTGGCACCATCGTGTTTCTTGCGAACTTTTACGTAAGAATCAATAGTCAAATTGCAAATTCCTCACACATGCAACATCTCCATTGTCTTTTGCCCAGTTGCAGTTTGGCAGTAAACACGATAATTTAATCAGAATTCCGTGAAAAACACGCAAAAAGAAGTCCAAAACACATAAATTCACAATTTTCACAAGAAAGGTTTTTAATGTGAGAAATAATGATTTATCAAAATTCTCATGAAATGTTTCATACTTTACAGCCAATACTTCCAAAGTGCAGGCGGACTATTTGGATCGCCTCAGAGACCACCTCGGAATGATTTGTGATGTTTTATCTGAAAGAATGAGAAAGTATGCAGACCTATGTCAAGATTGGGTAAGTTTCTCAGTGGTGATTCTTAAAAAACACGCCCCAGAGGTGTCGATCAAATATTAAAGTGTGTAATTTAGAGAATAATTAAATTTTTTTTTTTTTTGTAAAATCAAAATATGGTCAAAGTGCACTTGTTTGTCGTCTCATGTATGCCACTGGCAAGTAATAAAATCAAGAATTTTTTCAATTGCTGAAGCAATGTCAAACATTTTTCACATCGAAATTCTGACTCCATCGCTAATTCTGGACAGAATAATTATTTGTCTTCATGGAATAGGAATTATTTTCGAAAATTTGCATCATTCTATGGTCAGTGTAATACTTTCTGGCTCAAGAATGAATATTCATTTCAAAAGATACTGAATTATTTAAAATACAGGGTTTTTACAATGTTGACCCTTAAAAGCATATGAAGAGCATTGGTAAGGAAACTACACCGATAGTATCTTCGTATTTTTTGTATAATTTAACTTTACGATGTTGCAGCCAATTGCAGAGTCACTAATCAATAAATGTCTTTTTGAAATTTACTTTTGAATCAACAGGTTAATTGCTGCACTAGTCATTTTTACTTGCCATGTCACAAGTGACTCTGCTGATGTTAAATTAAGCACAATAAAAGACTTCAAAGCAGTTCATTTTAAGCTTTTGTCCAACCTCACTTTCTTATGTTGTTGTCTCGGAACTTTTCTAGAGGAAAGAAAAACACACTAAATTGATGGCTGATTTGAGTGTTTTGAAAGAGAAGATTGACTCAAACAATGTCACGCTCAACGAAACCATATTCGACGGAATCATCCCCAAGCTACAAGATGTTTTTGATCACTTAAATGATTTCGATAAGTTCCTGGTGAAGTTCAACAAAACCAGTGACAAAGTAAGTATCAGTCTACATTAAACACCCATTTTATCACCAGAACCTTCCACTTATTTTCAGTTGACAGGAAAAACTTCCGGAAAGTGAACTTTTTTCATTTGTTTAATCTTACTCATCAGAATGTAATGAAGAGTAGTCACAAATCACATGTCGGGTTTTATTTTAATCAGTCACACAGCACTTCATTCTTTGAAAGATATGTTTGTCAACTGTTAGAAGTCATTTTTTCATGATTGGGGAAAAAATTTTAAAAAATCACTCAAAGGAGGGGTATCGATAAAGGCCGTTTTTTGGCTGACCCTAACTCTCCTCGACTCCGCGATTTTTGTTTATTCAGGGTGTCTAGCATCAGGATTTTCCCGATCCTATCAGGATTTAATCCTGATTTTATCAGAATTTGAGGAAAAATCGGATGTAAAATCAAGATTTGAGAAAAGTTGGCTGTCCAATCGGAATTTTTTTTTTGCTTTAGCATACGCTTATGCAGAAGTGTTAATTTTTCTCCTCGAAAAATCAGGATTTGGAAAAATTATGAAATCAGGATTTCGTCAGAACATGAAAAAAAAACTAGACACCTTGTCATTGAATGTCTATATTTTACAGAATGCATCATTTTTTGGTCCTAAGTGGTCACTTTTCCGGTCTAATTCTGGCCTAAACCTGGGTCTGAAGGCCGACTAGGCAATTAATGCGAGTTTTGCGAGATTGCTGTTGAATGCTGAAAATTTCGTATTTTTTTCCAAAATCGTCCTTCAGACCCATGTAAAGGTCAGCTTTAAATCTGGAAGGAGACCCAGAATGACCGAATTATGATGTAACCCGTAAAATATGGTTTCTCAACAAGCAAAAAATCGGAGAGTTCAGGAAATTTAGGGTGGGTCCAAAAACGGCCTTTCTTTATACCCTTCCATTTTCTGGAGGAGCTTCGTATGCACCCTGGTTCCATTTTCAAAGTTGATTTTTCTTTTACAGTCCTCTAAACCAGTGATTTCAACCTTTGGTCTGCAGACCGCAGAGATTTGTGCAGGGTGTTTGGGGGGTCTGCAAGATGAAATGGTGCGAGGAAGACTCAAAAGTAAATTACGCTTGAATTTTGTAAATCAGATATCAAGATAACATGGAAAAGAGTTGAGTCTCCTTGGTAGTACTGCCACGTAAGGTAAAGTGGTGTCTGATTCTTCAGATGTTGCTGTGATTCCCTCAATATGAAACGAATTTACTGGGAAAATTATGAACATTTCTCTAACAATTTCATTCTCAATTTAATCTAAAGCATCTGAAAATTTCAAAGAAAAATAAGCATACCTTTCCTCAAAAGTGCATGTTATATCCGGAGAATTTTGCAAACTCTCGAATGTTCATACAGCGTTTTTTCATAGTTTGGCAGAATTCCTGCAATTTATTATTATGTCCTCATTTCACCTGCACAACTAAACTTCTACATTACAAATCAGTTTTTTTAACATGGAGATGAAGCATGCATATCTCCTGCGAATGGTAAAGTTAGTTTGAAAACCAGCTGTTAGATTCTTTCATTTTTTACCATCAAATAACAAAGCTACTTTATATAAGAGGAGAAAAAGAAAAAAAATCATTGATCCCAGGAGGGCTGCAAGTCATCTGCAAGGACAGCGGAGGGTCCTTAAGTTGAAAAGGTCAGCCACCGCTGTCTGAAATAATCAGTCAACCTTAGAATGAAACCATTTGAACTTTGGCACTGAACTAATGACAACTTGTGTAAAACAAACTGTGACATATTTATGTTCCAAAGAATTTCTACTCTGAAGATGGCGTAAGCCGAAAGGTACCTTAGTGATTATTAAATATCAAACACAACACCTTGGTTCTCATTCAAACACAAATGAACTAATGAGTCAATCTCCTATTATATCGAAATTTTGATCTGTTCTAGGCAAAAAAAGACATCACCATGTTGAGTCGAGAAACGAAGAAGTTGGCAAAATCATTCAAAGAGATGTTCGAAACCCATTTAACCAAACTGAAGAGTATCGAATCTGAAGAAGAAGATTGGGATAATTTGGAAGCCAAACTTCGTGAAGCACAGGACGCGAGAGTGGAGGTTTGTTTTTTCAGAGGAAAAGTTTTTGAAAAGTCAGGGAAAACCTGGGAAAGTTAAGGAATTTTGCTCAACCCTGAAAAGTCGGAGAATATTGCCGGAGAACCTTAAAATTTTCTCCTCCTGCCAGAACATTTTTTCAATTTCAAAAGACGGCGTTAAATCTTTTTTTGTATTAAGAATGTTAAAAACCCACGCCCAAAAACAAACCATTGACAATTCATGAAATTTTGAATTATATGGAAACTTGTCACCCAGTTTCTTTCTTAACTCAAATCTGTAGTTTACTTAGATAGTAATTACTATTTTATACCCTAAATCGGCCTTTTCACTGTACTGAACAATTTGAGTTTCCACCTCAGGAGTCGAACTCTGTCTCAAATGTGTTTTCACTTCATACCTCTCCATGCATACGAAATATTTAATCATTATTCACAACCTTAATATCTTTACTAAACTTCAGTCAATCAGCATAGTTATTTCAAAACTCTTAAGAGTTACTAAAATGTAAATTAAAACGTTAATCTTCAGAGCTAAGAAAGAAACACGTATGTATGAAAAGAAAAGGGCAATTAAACTATTACTAAGAAAATCTCCTTGAAAAATTGCTAAAATGAGAGTTTTATAATTTTCTCCTAGTTTTCTTTTCTTGAAGACCATTAAATGTTGCTATACCTGTTTTTTTTTCTCTAAATTTTGAACAATTATTTTATACTTAAAAGTAATTTATTTGTGCTCAGGATTCAAGAGCGTGACAAACAAGGTCGCACCCTAGTCATCAGTAGATGAAGGATGATTTTTTCCCCTAGTGGTTGCCTTTGTTATGCATTACCTGGGAGGTTGCCCCTACAAATACACTGTTTTTTCATTTTGTAAATTTCTTTTCGCTTTTAGGGCCGGAAGAAAATGGTTCTTTCCATGCAAGAGGCGCTTTTGGAATTTAGTGAGAAAGATGATGAGAGACATGAAGAGATCTTAAGGATGTTGACGTTGTTCAGCACTGCATCAAAGAAAGCTCGTCTTGCACAAAGAGAATTGTCCAGTGCAATCACTGAGGATATCAAGGCATGTGAACCAAACTTTGCCGAAGTCATGAGCGTCTTGAACAAGGTTGAAGACAATCTGAAGCATCAGCAAGACTCAACCGTCGAAAAGGTAATAATCTACTATCAGTGTCCTCCCAATACATTGTAGGTTTGTAGGCAAGGAGCTTAAAAGGATCCAAACTCACAAATGTTTTGAAAAATTAAATCAACCGTGAAAAATTGAAGAAAAGCTCAAAGTCACATTTATGTAAATTCGAAACGGTTTCTTTCATCCTTTTCAAGAAAAGCCTGTTAATAGTCTGTGATTTGATGTGGATGAAGAGCTACTAGAGTTACAGTATGTACTTACAGTGCAGTCCACTTACAGTAGCCCTAAGACTTACAGTATTCAGGCCACATCTTCAGTGTCTTTTTATGTGTATGCACAGTTGGGGGTATGGGTTTTTCTTGCTTAGAAGAGGACAGTTAAGTGCATATACATTCACATCTCCAACATTCAGATTGTGCGATAAAAAGTGAATATTTGGCATGGGTCAAAACAGGAGCAGCTATCGCCAACATCAGCTATTGCCATATTTAATCACATTTTTAATTTTTGTTTACTTTTTACATGAAAACTGTTGTGCGGATTTTTGTGCAAATTTCAGTGAATTTTCTGCATATGTAGTATGGAGCAAATTCTGTACAATTTTCAAAGGAATTTGCACAAACGTTCTCTTGTAAAAAATTAAATTGCCCAGTTTTTGGTAATAGCTAATGTGGCTTGGTTCCTTTTTGCTCAACGCGCTCCATTTATGCATGCTTAATTTAAGAATATTTTAGAGTTTATCATGTAACGCTGTCTCTGTTTTCCAGTTGCAATCTTGGAAGAATTCGGAAAGTGAGCGGTTGACTGCTATTATCGGGAGTGTTGAAAACCTATCATCAGTTTCGAAAGAATCCCAGAAAAGTTTTGACTCTTGGAGTGCTGGTTTTAATGAAGGTTTGGTCGAAAGCGATACCAAGGAAGAACAACGTGAAAAAGAGCAAGAAGAGGTAAGAAATTTTTCCAGATTCAGATGATACCTCTATCATATGTCTATCATTTATATCTCCATTAGACTTTTTCCATCTGCAAACTCTGGCTGAGGCTACTAAGATCTTCTGAGTTTCCTCCTTGTCTCCGCAAGATGTCTTCTTAGGATTTGTGGCAGTGAAAAGTTACACATTTCTGCATTATTATAGAACTCCTTTTCATAAGAATCTGCGAACATTTAAATAATTTGTTTTGCTCGCCGAAAATTAAGTTTCTCACACTTAGCTGACAGAGCATCACTGTCATGTAGCCGTGTCTGCTGAAAATATCGGAATCGGATGTGTCGTTTCCCAGGTGAAAATAAGAATTGGTGTCTCCTCTCAAGACTTGAGTCCCTATAAAATTTTATTGGAGAATGAAGAGTCTCAGATAAAAGAAACTAGAAAATTAACTCAGACTCACAACATTCTCAAAGGATAATTTCATAATGATTACCTTTTTCCCTTTCTTTCTCATCTCTTAAAATAAAGCAATACTTGATGTTCTCCGTTTTTCATGATTCCAGGGTATTCTTGAAGAAGTAAGCAACCAGGTATCACAATCCAAAACAGTTCTAAATGACTATGCGGAATCCCATCTAACATCCATCTCTGAAATGGGCAATATCATGCAAGATCACCTCGCAAATGCTGAAAAATTACGCAAAGAACTAGAAGAAAACATGCAGGCTCAAAACAACGTCCTCGAGAAATTCGTTCAGGAGGACTTCAAGAAGGATGTCCCCACAGGTATCTATAAAAATTATGTTGAAGTGGCGTGATGTTGTAGTGTATCTAAACAGGGTATAATTGGCTAGAAAACAAAACTTTACCAGAGGAATTCTAATCAGAAAATAACTCTTTTTCTTAAAATATTTTTCTCTTGAAAGAACATGTACACGACTGTCTATGGGAAGTCAGTAGGTCACACAGTCTTGAAGATTCTTGCATATATATATCCTTGAATTTTTCCCCCTTAAGTTTCAAGTCCTGGGAAATGTATTCATGGTTCGTGTGAAAAGTCATCAAAGCATTTGGAAGTGTTTGACGTCGGAAATTAAGGGTCTAATATCAGAGGAATGCAATTTTTCAGAAAATTTTTCGAACCTAGGGACTTCATCAGAAACAAGTTTTTCTGCAGATAAGTTTTGAGTGTGTCGTGGTTGCATTGACTTATCACACGGATTTTTGGAGATAAATTTATTTTGCAGAAGAATAGAATAACTTCAAAAAACGCTCTACTGACCACAAAAGAGTCCATGAAGTTCTTGCATTTTCAGTCCAAAGTTCTCGAAAAACTTCGGAAAAGTCTCTGACAAGCCTTTAGAAGTTCTAGAATTTAGTTTCATTCTATATACCTAATCTGTGGTTCAAATTTTTTTAACTATATAACGTTTAGTTAGGATTGGTTAGTTCTGATTTGGGCTTGATAGTGTAACATTATTGATTGTCCTTACGGCTGTGTACCATTACTGTCGTTTTCATTTTGTGCTGATGAATACGCAGTGCTATTAAGACACAACTGCTCCTCTCATAGCATCCATACAGCTGTAATTAAAATCATAAATCATTTGCAAATCCTTGCAGAACTCTTATCACCGAAGGTGGCAGTTGTTTATTTTTGACTCCCATGTCTAGTAGACTGTTTTATTAAACAGCGTGTCGAAGCATCATGAGCTCTTGGTTAGTCTTCTATTGCAATGGGACAGCAGCAGTGAAGCAGCTTGCCAAGAGAAAGTTAAAGATTGCCAAGTTATCTGACACTAATTGTGGTCATAATGCCTTTTTTAAATTTATGCTGTTTATTTATTTTCACTCAATGGAGGTAATATTTGTAGTATTTTTGAGGACTTCCAAATGTTTTTGTATTTTACCTTGCATAGTTTTACATGGCAGAGCATTCATTCTTTTTTTTTTCGCCAGGCTCTACTCCGCAGAAGCGTGAATTCGACTATCCACAGGACCTCACAGCCACCTCTCCACATGAAATAATTCTCGCCAGATTCCGAGAGACGGTCAATCATGAACTTTCTTTCAATGATTCTTTAGCAGAGTCAATCCATTCTGAGGCCTCACAGGTACGTTGAATGCTAAGTAACTTTTAAAACATTTGTAGCAATAGCGGTGGTTTGTAACTTGGTAAATTGATAATGGCAATAATTAAAATTTTGCCGAAATGAAATTATTTCTTCCACTTAAAGCATGACAATTGTTCTTTGTAGCTATAGGCTTAAGTGGCAAGGAATTTTCATTCGTAAAATTATTTGTATCGGCAAGAAAAAGAGAGAAAAAATTGAAGAGTGAAGTAAATTTTTGATATGGACTTCACTTCGTAACCTTTTTCAATGCTATCAATGAGAATAAATAATTTTCTTTTGTTTTTTTGAGCTGACAATATAGGTCCTATTGGTGGCACATTATTCTCTAAGTAAAGATTTTTTGTTCGTTGCGACATCCTTTGCTAATAGAATGCTTCATGCTTAGTGACCTTGTGTTATTAAAGGATAAATATGAATTGCCTAATCTGTTTTTACGTGTCAAGTTTCTTCTTCACAACCCTGTTTTTCTCTCTTTCAGGAAATGGGAGCCTCAACAAGTGCAGAGACAACCTCTTTAGTCACATCAGTATCTGACAGTTCTCTCAATTTAGATCAGAAAGAGAATACGGCCACAGACACTGGCGATACTGATGTGGTTACTCTTCCACAGTCCAAGAGAATCAATCAGTCATCCATCCCTCAAATGACACCCAGGAAGAAAGTCCTAGGTGAAATGAATTAATTGCTCGTAATGGATGGAAGAAGGGCGTTCCCTGAAAAAATACTTGTGCCCTTTTTCTACCTACCCCTGATCTCTAAATGCCTTTCACATACATATCAAACTTAACAGAGTGATGTTTTTTAAAAGATTTTATTTGTAGGATTATGTGTGCTGCCAAGTTTTATAAATTGTAACAAGTTTTTTAAGTGTTTAAAATGTATACCGTAAGGTCATGTGTTACGTAATGATTTTGCTATGATATTGAAAAATGTATGATATTTTGAGTAATTTTGGCGTATCGCAATTTTCTCTGTCATTTCAAAATTGCATTAAATCTTCATCTTATCTTTATCTCCCATCTTTTTTTCCACCTTCATCTTATTTTACCTCCCGTTTTTCATCAACTTGTGAGTCCACCCACATGATTCGTGGGTCCAACCAGTACCATATTTGTCCTCAATTTAATTTATTCCTGTGCTAACCCTCATATCTACCCTTACCATCTCTGAATTCAATATGTAATTGTCAACATTAAATTCGAAATCTCTGTACTGCTTTGTCTTTGGTGCTGCACTAAAGCGTAAAGATCTTGAAACAAAGATTACTGATTGAAACTTGGTTTCTGCTCAAATGTTTCATTGAATTCATTCAGAAAGGTTGACATCCCTTTTCTCTTGTAACTGATTCTTCTTTTTTATCACCTGTATCATTGAGCTTGATTTCTTCTTGTTCTTTCCCTTTTATGCCTTTTAATTCATTGATATAGAGCAAATTTGAGCCGTTGTTAATGGCTGACCAACTTGGTCATCATATTTTTCATACATTCATTTTGGAATGAGCCGAGCAAAATTGATTTTTTGAAGAAACTTAGAATCAAATTGTCTCTTATTCGTTGACTTTCTATGTTTAAAAGATATGTCAATGTTTTATATTTTATTAAAAATTTTTGATGTAAAACTGTTGTTGTTTCTTTACTGTTAATACTTATTTTTTGTTTCCAACAGTGGTAATCCTGGAAAATGAATCCAGTAGAATCCAAAAGCTTATTCTCTTGTACCAGTTTTTCTACTGAGAATGCACCACGGCACCTTAAGATTGCATTTTGTTTCCCATTGACGTAGGAGCAAAGTGGCACTTGTTGCGTTTAATTTCTTTTGGGTTTGATATTAGTAATTAACTTTCGACTGTTGATGTCAGTTCTCAGTTGTTTTGTGAAACCCGAGAAAGCTATTGACATCAGTTGAACGGATTTAACCGAATTTGGCCCGATTACACCAAACATCGCCTAATTTCTTCTCATGATATACTTTTCTACCAGGAAACTGAACAAAAATCTAACTTGAAATTTAAGAAGTATATTTTCCATAATCCGAGGAAAATTTGACGAAAGTTTCAAGGCATCATTTTTTTACGTTCTCAGCTGAAAAAATAAAACATGAGAAGAATTAGGTGATGTGAAATGCAGGGAGGCTGGTTTTGAAAAATCTGTCCAGTTGCTCAGTGAAATCAAAATTTTCCATGTCGCATAGAGAACAAGTTCATTTTTCGAAACAACTTGAAGTTATTACTTTAATTAAATATACATAAATAAATACATTTTAAAGTAAACTTACATTTAGATAACATAGAGGTAACAGAAATATACATAATAAAATACATACATCATATTTCACATAACAAGTACGTTATGGTTCAAACAAGTATGAAATAAAATGCGCAGACAAGTCACGTTGAATAAGTACAAAAAATCTCATCAAACAAAACAGCTGCGGTGTCAGGCGACGTTGCTGTTAAATAGCTATAAATTGAGCTCCAAAATTATCAAAGCAACTGATGTTTTTTTGAAAACTTGCACACAAAAAATACGGCACCAGTATTTCCGTTATGAACAAGAGCACATCGCATTATAGTAACATAATTATCCTAAGTGTAAAGCCGCCCTGCCAAGAAAAATTATGCAACTGTATAGAATTACGAATATTAGGAGGCTGCTGTATTGACAACAGAATAAGATCAGTGATTTTAGGGATTCAAGTTTAGCAGAATTGAGGTGAAAACCAATTCTTACTGAAAGTACACACTTTTACTGACAAGCTACTATTTGGGGCCTTGGGAAATATTTTTGAATGTTGTACTGTCACGCAAAAACTTGAACTAAACTAGCGTTCGTTTAGTGAGATGCGAGTGAGGCGTAATTAGAGACAACCCCTGGTAAAAGTTCGTAAGAGCGATGAGATATTCTTCTTTTGACTTGATAGTCAGATGATGAGTGTCATTTGAGAGAATAACTAGCAATTTCAGTATTTGCAAGGATAATAATTGAGCTCGCGAGGGTATATTGCTTGGCTTCGCTGTAATAATAGTTTTTGAACTTTTCTTAATTCACCTGCAATAGATACAGTCTTTATGCGTTCTACCATAAAACCAGAGGCACAAAGTTTCTTATGAGACAGAAGCTTGTAACTTTGAGTGGTTACATAAGCAAGATGTATAATATACGAGTCAGACAGCGCAAAAATGAAAGATTTTATCCAAGGTCTTTATTGAGGGTATTAGCGTGTTCTTACTGCTCTCGATCTTTATGCAAATAATTTAATACTTAGAAAGAAAATAATTTTGTGACAAATAGACAGAAGAGACAATAATTTAGAACTTGACCTTCGGTTGACTTTTCTAAGGTCTCACAGATAGAGGCATGATGTATCTCCCTGAGTGCATATACTGGATGAAGAGAGCCGAAAGAAATAATAGAAAAGAGAGCTTTTACCACGCCTAGATACGGCATGGAAGTAGTACAAATAATTTGTTAAAACAGCGATTTCAATAAAATTCACTAAAAAATATAGTGTCTCTGCTCAACACATTGCTGGGTACAAGCCCGAGGATTTATAAAACCTACAAAAAGCTGTTGAAGGATTCTTATTGAACGTTCAACACACCTCTGAACTGCACAGCTGAAGTAAAATCTACTCCAGGGACTGTTACTAATTTAAAGATGCTCGAGTTATACTGTCAGTATACTGTTTGTGAACAATCTAGGTATTTCGATCTAAATCTGAGTACAAAAGATTCCAAGACACATTCCAATAGTTTTAAGAGAAGAAACGGATGCTAAATCCGAGGAACAGAAGCTACAAAAATCTCTGAGAGAGTTATCCTGTAATTTAAATTTTCTACCCTCATTTTAGCTTTGGAAAAAAACCAGACTGATCAAAAATTTAACTATTAAGATAGAGTCCGTTTCTTTCCTTGACTTTTAGAATACGCCTTTTAATACTTTGTACTTTATTACAGGCTACTCTTAAAGGTTAGTTAAACATAATTTTAAAAATCAGGCAATGCACCGAACATCACCTCATTGACTGACAAATATTCAGGAAGTGTTCAGAAAGTTATTTTCATTTTATTTTTTGGGTTAAAAAAACTTTCCGTCCTAAAAGAATAAGCAATTTCTGGAACATCTTATCTCTTTCTCTTAAAACATTTTTTCCGATCTCTATTTTCAGTGAGTGCTAGGTGTTCTACATTTTTTATTTTGCTAGAGGTCTTGATAAAAACTTGAGGATTTTTTTTTAGCTAGCAAAAAACAGAACTCAAGAATAGTCTGAATTCAACTAAAAAGATTGAAAAGAACACAGTACAGAAAAGGAGAGAGGCTGTTTTTGAAATGGCTGATTCAATGGACCACTGAACAAGGTGAGAAATTAAGCACTAGCATGTTTTATGATAAAAATTTTATGCAGAAAACGTTAGATGTATCGAAAACTTTTAAAGGTAACTCGTAAATTAGAAATAAAAGTTCTTGCTTCAAATTATAAACAATTTAAAACAGTACATTTCAACTTAACCGCTTGCAAAAAAAAACCATGGTTGAAATAGGGTGAATTGGGCATTGAAATCAACCTATACATTAGGGAAATAACTAAAGCTTAGTTTCACACATATTTTCTTCCTTTTCTGATACAAAGTAACATTAATTTGATCAAAAAAAAGTTTATAGATAGAAAAATTCTTTTATTGTGAAAAATACGGAAATTACTCTTGTGCCCGATTAGACTTGCATAGACTTTGTGAACGAGAAGTGGAAATTAACGGAGACAAAAACGGTTATTTTCTAACCTACAAGTTAAAATTTGAAAGTGCCTGCTCACGTGTCCCTTATATTTTGCGTAAAAAGTTGGTAAAGAGACCATTGTGGTTCTTAATTTCGTATCCCATTGAGAGGTGCATTCAGATAATAAGAGAATGATATTGGCGACTGTATCTGATGTCTGGTGGATAGATACAATACACCGAGTGAATAGTCTGCGAAGATCATGATAGAAAGGGTATAAAACAAGTCCTGGATGCCAAACATTCTCCTTGCGCCAAAAAGGCGAAGAGGAAACAAATAAATGAAGCATTTGGAGTGACAAAATTTAGCTAAACAATATTTACAAAAAAATAAATTAGGTACGAGTAACTGACAATTAATTAGATATTTGACTATGGTTTGATCGATATAACTTCAAGGTATTTGGTTCTTATTGGAATAAGATTACATCAATCAAAAGATAGGGAATCAAACTGATTACCAATTCAATTCAATCACTGACGTGTTAACGTTCAGAATCAAAACAGCTGAACTGATGTCCACAGATATGAACTGAAATTTTCTAGTAGGAAATCTCGCTTTTCTACAGGAAGTGCTGCTGAAAAAATAGGGTGGGTCACTAAATCTTAAGATATGCATCTTACTACTAGCATACTATGGTTTCGTAAAAATAAGACTCATTTGACGAACTTTTAAGAAAATTTCACAAGGCATTAGAAGATCTTGCACAGTGATCTAAAAAACAGAAAAATTTCGGTCAATATTTCATTATCTAGCTCAAAAAAGTAAAGAAATTCCTCATGTTACTTGAGTACAGCATAAGTGGTCATAATTTTTTAATTTTTACCAGAATCATTTTCTCTTGAGTTCACTTGACAGGAAATAATTATTCACATACAAACATGCAAGTGATCAAAAGCAATTGTTGGTTTTATAGTTTGTTCAACTGATCATATGATTTTAAACGTTGTACTAATTTTGATCGCTGAGATAGACGATGAGAATTTAGTATTGATTCTTCATTTTTAAAAAGCTCCTCTGATTTGTTGAAAGAAAAATGAAATAAAATTTTGAAAAAACATGATTTGCAGTGTTGTGCACCAAGTCTCTTTTTTTTTTCTCTGTCTCTTGATAACTCATGTATAGTCTGAGAGAGACACATAGTTTCTAAAAAATCAGTGGAGAGTTAATTTGACTTCACAAAAGATATTTTGAGTGCTTCTGTCAGAGTTTGGAGAGATCCAAATTTTTCAAACATGGCTAAGATCATCACAAAACTGGAGCCAGTATTTTTTTAAAGATTGTTTGTACCGTTACTGTGAAGAGTGAGAGCAAAATCATTTTATTGGCCATCAGTCAAATTGAATTCTGCCAATTTATCAGTCACGTTGGATGAAAAGGGCTTCAACTTTTTGTTTTGCAAAAGTCTTTAACGAACAGGAAGAATTTAACAATTTTAAGATTTTAGCCATGCAGCTTTGACTTACATACATGGGTTTCACTAATCAATGAGCTATTCCAAATCTACAGTGAAACTGCAAAAATGTCTATCTAGATTTACAACACTGCTAACTGCCTGTCATATGTAATTTATTTTTCAAATGGAAAAATACTGGAAATAATTTCTTAAAACTTCCCTGATTTTTCTTCTTCAAAAGAAGAATGTTTTGTGAAAATGTCAGGTAATAGTGTTGGTTTGTTCTCAGGGTTTCCACTAAATTTAGAAAATGAAATTTTCTGAAATTTCTCTGATTTCCCGGACACATTTTGGTACAATTCCCTATTATTGAAGGTATGCCAGATTGTTAGAAAGACATAATTTTCAGGCAAAATTTGTAGTTCGAAATGTCAAATCTATTCTAGAAAGCGAATAAACGTGACTAAACAATTTTTCCCTCACACTTTCGTCATTTTCCTTGTCTTTTCAAAATTATCTGGCACTTCCCGGTTTTCCCTAACTATGGCAACCCTGTTGTTTTTCTTGGATAAACTAAAATGGGAGCAGAGATTTAGAAACACTGTAATCAAGATACACATTTTTGCAATGTTACAGGCGAAATGTACTTTTAGTCTCCCATGTTTTGAGCACTTGATGCGATTGAGCAGCATTATAACTAGGCATTGAGCAAAACGTGTGTCAATCCCTTTTTTGTCCATAAACTGATGGATTTTGAATTTTTCTTAACGAACAATAACATTAGTTTATTTTTAAAAAAAAGAGGAAAAAACATGGGTAACAATACTGTAAATAACAAAAAGCAAACATGAAGTTCTAATTCTAAGTCACCCTTACGGCAAGTTAGCCAAAAATGTGGCGACAAATTCTGAAGTTGCCGTCAATCGTTCATAAATTAATTTCAAGAGAAAAGAGAAAAATTAACGAAATAAAACTGGCTTGCCGATAGAATACTACCCTAAACGGTCATACTACTATGCTTTGACTCAGTAGCTGTTTTCTGATGTCTTGTTGAAATTTTGTGAATTATATTATTTTAGTTTAAAAACCATTAAATTTTGTTTCCTACAAGAAGATAACATTGACTTTCTTCATAATCAAACTATAGTGACTGAAAAATGATTCAGAGATAGAACTTACAAGTACACATAATGCTGTTCTCGAAAGATATTTTGGGATTTTCACACTAAGAGAAATGCTCTAGTTGATAATTCTCAGACAAGAATTTTTACTGAGCCAAATGTTGGTATCTTTGCAACAGTAAAAAAGAATACATTTCAATTTTGTTCTTTTGTAGAAAGTATCAATCTTTCCTTCATGATGAAGATATGTGATTCACAGACAAAAAAATACGGTTAGAAAGATAAAGAAATAAGGGAGTAAAAAAAATTCTCGACAGTAGTTCCTCAAGATTAAAATTAGGAAAAGCATAGAACTCTTGTATCGTACTCGGAAATTTCGATTAAAATTAACAACTTGACACCCACTGGTGTCCATGCCTCATAAGATAAAGGACTTTTAGACTGCGACAGAAGATCATCCGACGTTGATTCAGCATGGAAAAAGAATGCAAGAATCAAGATGGCGGATCCTCTGTTGCGGTCTAGAAGTGCGTTAACTTATTTTGCGTGAACTCTAACCCTAAAAAGATTTAACCAAGGATGCCCTTCAAATGAAATGGCTTTGCCTTAAAACTGAGTATTACAGAATGAGAGCTATACATTTATCTTGGTGCTTGAAATGACTTGAAACAAAAAGTATTGAGGAAATAAATAAAAATTATGATAGTATACATGGAGTTTCCACACCTAGGTAACAAATGGAACAACTGACCAACTAGCTACTTTCATCAAATAGTGTAGCAAACAAACAATAAACTTAGGGGCGATTCTCCCACAAAAGTTGAGAGAAGTCTACATAAATGGAGCATTCTATCACTGACTTAGTATGACACAGTTTATTGATACAATTTTTAGGAAAAGTACCGCCACTTAATATTGGCGAGGGTGACCCAAATTTGATAGTATGGACTAAACAAAATAACAAAACTAAAATTCCCAGTTGGGGAAACAGAATTTTGAAAACAACAACAAAAGCAAGACGTTCAAAATTCAGACAAGAGAAACATTTAGACGGAATCAACGGAATGCAGAATACAGCCTCAAATTCAGTTCACTGGACTCTTAAACTACCTAAAAAACAATGAACTTAGCATGAGCTGAGAACCTAAAATTCTTCATCATCCTCCTTGACACTTAAAGATAAAAAGCAATTGTTCACTACTCAGGATAGACGATGAATTGAAAACAGAGGGAAAGTTTCACGTATGCTCTTATTGCTCTTCTTTTGAAAATGCCTACAAATGAAAAATCTGAGTCCATTTTGAAATTGTTCCTTTACTGTCCAAAAATATGTTTTTTATGGTAAAGATGGAAAAAAAAAACACAGGGCGAAATTCTGAACAAATGTAAACTGAGAACTATTAGCGAGAGGAGTGCAAAACAGAGCAATGTTACCCGAAACTTGGGAGCATTTTCAGTCCAACAAAATTAATGAACACATTCTTTGTCACAATTTGAGAATATTTTGAGGCCCTTTCAAATTAATTTTCAGCCGACTCTGCGATTTATAATTTTTGGACAAGCACGAGATGTAATGATAAAAATTTAACATGATTCGGTAAAATATGAGGGTAATATAAAATGTATATTATCAATGGGAGCTCATTCTAGATATACCTCTCGAAAGAAACAATTATCCGCAATTGGAAGCAACAGCTACTAAGAAATCTTGAAAAACCACGTCGATTAAGCCTGATCTAGTCTGTTCAGTTCTCTGAAAATTCAAGACTTTTGCTCACACAAAAAGATGTAAAAAATGGATAAGTTCTCATACTCGGCTCTTTGCATAAATATTCATCTGTGCATGACATTATTTCATATTAGATAACAGAACAATGAATACTGTAGGATGAAAAGCATACAACTAAAAGATTTTTGGACTATGGTTAGGCAAGCATGGAAAGTTAACACTGAAAAAATTTAATTTGATCTAATAGTATAAATACATTGACGATAGAATACATTTTAGGAAAATTTGAGAAGTTAACAGTAACACTCTAATGGACTCAGATTATTCCCTCTCAAATCAAACAACTACATTTTGTTAAGTTCATTTCATGAACAAAACTTCCTCTACAATCCAGGGGTCATTTAAACTTTTACATGTCAAGAGAAGAACCTCTTTTTTTTGCTTGTAGTTTTGCTAAGTTTCAGAGCAAGTTCCATGTCTGCTTTGGCTTGCGCTGAGTTTTTTTTCCGTTCTTCTTCGAGTTTCAAACTTTCAGCTGCAGCCCATGCTAGCTGCTCTTCTTCCGATGGCAGCGGCGAGTTATCCAGTGACAAACCATTTAACTTTTTATTGATGTTGTTGTTTTTGAAAACATCATCGAAACCCGAGCCGAATGCATCGTTGAAATTACTGAAGATTTTGTTATGGGATGGTTTGGATGGGACATCGACAGAAGAGTCTGTGTCTTCGAACGGGTCGGCAATACTGAAAGGGTCCTCATATCTGTAGTCTCTGAAAGGATCTTCCGTGAATTCTAGAGTTGAGCGATTAAGGGAACTAGAGGTTGAGCTCAGTCGACTTAGGGTACTTGCTGTGTCGGAAAACTAAACAAAATAAAGGGGAAAAGAAAAAAATGAAATCAAAGAAATTAAATAAAAATTAAACAAATCAAAATCAAAATAGGCGAAATTTGGTGTAACTGTGTCGTGGCATGAGGAAACGTCCTTACCTTTACCATCTTTCGCTAGAAGAGGAAAATAAGGGCGTATTGAGTCTTTGGAGTCTTGGAGTTTTAATTCCGATACTGTGATGCTTTTATGCTAACTTGAGTCATTTTGAAGTAAAGGGAGCTAAGTCCATTTTTCTGATAAGCCCCACAACAATAGTATTTTTATGTAATCCAGGGGTCATCAGCAAATTGAACTTTGCTCCCTTTCCTTCAAGATGCCTCAATTCATTTACAGATTGTAATGTCAGGGGCTTTTTTTCTGTTCTTTGGTTTTTGTTTTTTTAAATTCATACTCTTCATGTTACACTGCTGCGTTAGTGTAAACACACACAATGCGGCCCTTAAAAAGACAATATGACTGAGACTCATTAAACAATAGTGTATTTTTCACCACGCACACACCAAAAAACAAAACAAACTGAAAAGAAATAATAATTATGTAAATGAAAGGAGATGAATCGTCTTTCTAAGATGAAAAAGAAAGAAAAAAAATAATAAACCGATGAGCCAGGTTGGATAGGATGAAAGTTGCATGTCTTCCCTGACTACTTCCTTGCTACAATACTTGCCTGATAGACTGTAGAAATGTGCCTAATACCTTGTCGTTAAAGACTTTATTCCGACCCAAAAATATGTGCAGCATATACAAAGTCGAACACATCCAGTAAAAAAGCTACTAATGAGGAATAAAAACTACAGAGAAAGAAGTCTAGTGTGATATGAAAGGTGAATGTTCAAGACAGGATCGATAAAAAGACAACCTCCCACAGGATTTGAAGAAAACAAGAACAGTTTGAGAGGCAGAAACATGAAGAGATAGGCACTTCACTTGAACCAAGTTCAGCAAAAAAGAGTCAAGTATGTGAGTTTATGTATGAAATCATGAATCTGTTGAAGGAAACCAATGGGAGATATGTCGTTTCAATAGGAAGCCAAAAAAATGTTTTCCTTCCTGCCAAACTTGGTCCATTTAAAATATGGGAAATTCTTTGGCACCAGTTGAAAACATTGACATCAACAATATTTTTTTAACTCAAAATTTGCCTGTACTCCGATCTTTGTTCACTTCACAACCTTGTGAATAGTCCCTTTTTTTAAGGAGACCAATTAAAATAAATTAACAAAATTAATTGAAACATGGATTCCAAAACCAACGAGAGAATCACTCATACAACGATTATATTGCCTGCAAAACCTGATTTTTTAGGTAATTTGAGAAAAGAGATCAAGAGAAAACAAAGACAAAAAAAATCGTCTTTATATCAGAGGTTTTTACATGTTTCCTTATCGTCTGCAATTTCCCTGCTTTTCACGTACGCTAAAATTAAAAAAACAAGGGCGAAAAGTGAAGGATTTGCATACTTTAGCCAAAATGCTGGCTCACTATAGAAATGGCTGGAGATAATGAACCATACTTGAGACCTTCTCTGCCAACCTTGCGTCTTCTTTGAAACCAAAACACACCGGAACGGAGCTAATTTCCTCTTGAAAGAAGAATATGAGACGATTTTCTTTTCCACTCAGTTTTAACGATAAATCCAAATGTGGTTCAAGATGTAACCTTGACAGCAAGGACTTTTTTACTCACTAATGCATTTGACCATTTTTCTGTTGTGCTAGAACTTTAACTCAGGAACGCTGTTTCCTTTAAGATTTTTTCCCAAGTAGCTTAGAAGACGAGTGGATGATGTGAGTAAAAATAAAACAGTATCCACCGGAAACAACATACTATCAGCCAAAATTTCAAAAAGAATATATACAATGACTAAACTCTCCTTACAACACTAACACAATAACCAACAAGCCAGTTATCAGATTAAAGAAGAGGCAGTGACCAGAATCAAGTGGAGTGCTAAAGAAAATAACATAGATGAAAAATGGTTTACTGGCTCTTAAGGCTGGATGCAAAATTCAGGGATGAAGTCAATAAACTAAAATGCCCCGGGTCAAAATATCTGACTACATTGTTAAAAAGCAACTTAAATCTGCAGCTTGAAAAGAACTGCACGCAAATATTTAAAAAAGTTTATCCTACATTATTCTTTATCTGCTCATCTACACGGTCCAGCTAGTGATGACCAATTAACAATTTGGGTTGAGGCAGTCTACTAACATCTAAAAATACCTTCAAGATTCTTCGTGAAACTAGAATTTATCATCCAAAAAAAAAAAAACTTCTTAGAGCTTTCAGTACATTTTTCATTAAAATGTAGGCTAAACCTGCTGATTTAGCAAAAGTTTTTGGTCAATTCTGAAATAACCACTTTGTTAAAGGCAGATCTGTGAAAAAGAAATAAGATTCTTTCTTAACAGTTAAAATATGAAGTGTACTCCCATCCTTGGGATTCCTTTTCTAAACTTAAAAATAAGCTGCAAAAACTCGGCAGCATTTTTACTAAAACAAAATTTTATCAAATGAATTTGTCCAACAGTTGGAGTGAAGGACTTCAAATTCAACAATACAGACCACCAAGGTCCAAAAACCGACACCTTGAAAACCCCAGTGCTATGGTGCGAACTTTGAGATCAACGAACCTTGTTGTTAAAATTCGAAAAGTCAGCAAACTCGTTGATGGAACTGTTGTTGGAGGAATTGAACGGTGCGAAGGGGTCGTTGGTTGTGGCTGCCGGTGCAGGTGTTGAGTGGTGGATGTTGGGGCCTTGTGCTGGTCGAGGAGGGGCCGGCCTCGGAGGAGGTTGCTTGCTCTTCTTCGGAGGCAACGCAGGACTAGGACTTTCAGGCCGAGGGGGCGCGGCAGAGGGGTGCGTTGATAAAGTCGCAGCTGTAGGAGCGTGGAGAATAGCAAACGGGTCACAACCAAAAGCGTCTTTGTCCGTTTGCTGGAAAACAGAAGCACAGGTACAATTAGAATTTTTTTCAATATTTCCTCATGTAATCAACTTTCCTTCACCTTGACATTTCATGACTTATAATTCGGTTTCTTCACAGGACGTCACAACAGATAAGTTGGCAGGGTGTCAACTGAAATAGGTTGGCCAAAAACCAGTACTTTTGAAGTACTTTTTCAGTACATTCCCAAGAAATTCAGTACCTTCTTGACAGAAAAATTCAGAACTTTTTCAGTACCTCCAATTGAAGAAATTTGAAAAATTTCAAAGATTTGAATTTCTTGCTTAAAATGCAACAAGAATGACGAAAAATGATAAAAATTCCGGACCTTCTGGCAGAATTTCAGCACTTTTTCAGTACTTCCGGACCGCCTTCAAAAAATCAGTACTATTTCCGGACTTTCCGAACTTGTAGACACCCTGATTGGGGATGGATCACTGGACAAGGTGCAAATTTGTGCATGTTATCTCATCAAAATTTCACTGATAAATGATTTAAGCGACAAAAGTCATAAAAAGTAACTCTGAATCAAGATATTGACGTTTTCTGAAGCATAAATTAAAACTTCCTGCTCATAAAATAAGCCATAATCTACTTGAGTTTAAGGAACAATAAAAGTTAGCACACAAGCCTCCGCAGGATGATAATATGGCACCCTCAATGTTGGCGCCTTGACTCAGCTGTTGCAAGTAATTTACACTTTGAATGACACAGAGTGGGAAAAGAACAATGTTCGATTAAAAAGCCTGCCAAAACCATTGTAGTGCGTCATTTTATTCAAGTAAACTCTTGTTTTTCATGTGAGCAGGAAGTTCAAATGTTTCGTAACCAATGCTTAAGAAAAACTTGAATATCTTGCTTGGTAAGGAGTTGATATTTAATAATGATCGTTCGGCGCATTGTGTTCTACATGAAATTTTGAGGAGGGAACATATATCAGAATGCTTAAATCTGTACTTTTTCGGGTGGTCCATTTTTTTTTATCGTCATAAGCAGTAGACCGTTTCACACATCTACGAAAGGTAACAGTGACAATCAAAGTCGATTCTCGGTCGCTAATGGATGACAGCAGTACAGTCGTCTATCAAGGTAGAATAAACAGCTTTCAATTTATGTTTGACATGTTGAACTTTTTAACTGATGTGCTTGTTTACCTTTTCTGTCATTTGAAAAACACATGGTACTAAGGTCTGAGACTTTAGGGTAATAATTCTTACATTCAGGAAAGAAAGCATGTTCCTTAAATTTTGGAACACATTCAGGAAAGAAAACATGTTCCTTAAATTTTGGAACAGACATTTGAGGGTCGTCTTTAATTAGGATCATCTTTAAAATTTGACCGATACTTTAAACAAAATTTGTCCGTCTTTTCAATCTTTTTTCTTATTTGTAACCTAGAGGTTTGATAGGAGTCAGTGGTAATACTTACGTCAGCAGGCGTCTTTGCTCCAGCCCTTGAGGTGTCGCCGAATGGGTCAGTCTTATCTGCAAGAACATTATTAATCTTATTAGGGCTGAAGAGCAAAAGACAAAGGGAACACCGATGACAGCTTGGGAAAATTGAAAAGTTAGATAATACAAAAAAAAAAAAATGGCGCAGGTGGAAGAATCTTTGTATCTTAGAAAAAAACCCAACAATTTATGCGTCTCCCCTAGATAATTTGATATTTAACCTGAAAACCTTGACCTCCCCCCCCCCCCCCATCAGGCTTTGCAATTTTTAGAGCATGTCCGCAATTTGGACTGCGCAGTCAAGAACAATTTGCACCCCTGCAGCGGCTTTCCTTGGATTTGATGTATTGAAGAGGGCCCGGCACATCTACAAAAATAGGCACATAATTTAGAAATATAAAGGGACAGGCAACTCTTCTTAAAATTTTGGAGCTAACTTGAAAATCTCGTTGTTTCAAATTTCAATAGGAACAGCTCTCTATAATTCGAAATTTTCCTTCTCCAAAAACCGTCTATCCAAAAATAATGTTCTATTCCTTCAGTTCCAAATAATGGAGGTGCACTAAGCCTACTTCTTTACAAAAAAGTTAATGAATTAAATGCAGGCTAAATGAAAAAGTTAAAAAAACCATGTGGTGAAGTGTAAGGCAAGAGACTTACTGCTTGGTTTAGCTCCGCCGCCAAATGAATTGAATGGGTCTGTCGTAAAACCATCCTGAAAAACAAAGAGTTAAATTTAGAATTTTTTTCTTTTTCACTTTTCTTGCTATGGAAAGGACGTCTGAGCTTAAAGTAGTTGATCTTTCTTTCCTGGAAATATTTTGTAAATAGGTGCATATTTTGATACGACCATATTTAACTCATCTCATTAGGATACCAACCGGCATCGTCCTCTTTGGCTTTACCTCAGTCTACTAATTGAATGGAGGGCAATTTATTTTTTGACATCTGTGCCTGTCAAGAATTGTGTTAGAAAGAACTTTGTCCCACTGTGTTTTCTATTTAGCCGTTTGGTAAAATTTTCTTAATTATTTATTAATTTACTTACTTATATTTATTTCTTTCTTTTTAACAACACAACGCTGTTTATAGAAACAGTTACATTGGAAAACTCTCCTGTTTCAATTGTCTACATCAGAAGACTTTGGGCTTTTCCTTGCTTTTCTAAGAAGTAATTTATGTAATCTGTTAAAGTCTTCTAGAGGGCGGTTTTGATTTTGTCAATCTTTTTCATTTTCTTAAAAATCCTTCTACAGTAAGACCTCGATTTATCGGATTTCACGGGACCAGAGAATTTGTAATGAAGGCTGCATTGGATATCGAAAAAGTCAGGTTATTGAGACCACTAAAAAAGATTGAAAAAATGTCATTCTAGGCTCTACTTGCAACCAAAAAGCACACGCTAGGTAAATTTTCTATCGAATTTGTAAAATATAGCAATTTAGATGGAGAGGAACATAAATCCACATACAAATTAAATTATTGCCTGAACAAACTGGTTTTTGACTAAAAACTAAATTTTGACTACATTGGATGACTGAAGCAATGGGTAACTGTGGCAACACTGTCCTTTTTCAGAAATGTTATGCTGCTCACTGATCTGCACAGCTAAAATATTCTTTGTATTTGCTATCGTCAATTATGAACACTTCAAAAAAGGTATGATGATTTTTTGTAGGTATACTTACAGATGGTTTGTTTGGAAATTGTGATGCAAACGGATCACTCGATGATGAAAATGGATCAGGATTAGAACTAGCAAAAGGATCTGAAACAGAGTGTACGGAATAGAGTGTGTGCTTTCAAAATTAGATCTATTTAATACAGTCTCAGAATACATTGGTAGAGAGGAGAAGGGTTGTAATTCGATATGATGTTAAAGTAGGTTGAATTTTTGGCCATAACGGTGTAATGTAGCTGATGACAGCCTTAATGCCTCAAAATTTAACCTATTTTATGATTACAATGCCACTGATACACGCAAATCCCTTCAACTCATTTGATGTTGGTTGCGATTGGTTCTGAGAACAATATCTTGCATGTTTTTATGGCTTTGTTTTGATAAGTCCCCGTTTAGGTAATTCATTTAGAGCTCATGTTTAATTGAGGTTGCTTCCATAACTTTGATCTACTTTACACCCAAGTGAATAATGATACAGTGGAGCCCGTATATAACAAACTCGCTTTTAACGCTATCGTCGAGCGTTTCCCAGAGCTGCACTAGAGCGCCTCGTTGACGTCGGCCATTTTCGTAGGTTAGGGTTTGTCCGTTTGTTTATACAATTCACGAGTCCGCTTTTAACGAAGTTCCGGATATAATGAAGTTTTTCTGGGATCCGTGAACTTCGTTACATACAGGCTCCACTGTATAATCAATTGAAAAAGGTGCTTATAGTAAAATTTCATACTTAAAAAAAACTCGAAATATTTCAAACAGATTTTCCAATATTCCAACAAAAAAAATTCATTTTTCGGCAATAAAATTAAGTCAAAGCAGAAAATATATTTGTAGAGAAAAATACTGACACTTACCAGTTTTAAAAGCATTATTATTTACAAAACTATCATCACTCTTAGTTTGAGAGTTATCAAATGCACCTTTATTGTCTGAGAACACATTTTTCTGAAACATAGAACAAACATGATGGTGAAATAAAAATAAGGTGATGGGAGCCTCTCAGTGAAAGTAAAAAGAATCTGTAGGTTATTAATCTTAGACAATTCAATTTCAATGTCTTTCAAGTTAACTGTTAAAATTTTGCAGTGATGCAGAAAATTCTCCTGAGTTACAGAAACTATTTCAGAAAAGTGATTTGAGGTTCTAAGTGTATCTTTTCTTGTTGTCTTGTTCTAACACATGAGAAATTATAAATGACGGAGGAGCTGTGGCTTACCAAATCAAGCACTTTTTGCACCCCTGTGACATGGGTGAATATACGTTCATGATTCAGCATTTACATAAAGTGCACATCTCTGCACAACATCTCTATCTCTTCATTAAACGGGACCGGTAAAAAAGGGCACTCTAACGGAAAATTAAAACAGAGCGTTTCCCAATTCCTTCATGCAATTATTTTTGTAAATTTTAATCTAATATGACCAATGCTGTAGCTCAGTGCGAAAGCTTATGTTACTCTATAATATGAAATCATGAGAGTGAAATGTGTAACGCCTAGGGCGCGAAAAGCTTCTCAGGGGTTGGACCAAGAGACGATCAGACTACTTAGCTTCCTAGTTATGTATTAAATTTGTACGAGAATAAAAATGCAAATGGTTACCTGACTGGTTTCTTGAAGAATTTTGGTATAAGATGAGTCTCTAAATTCAGGTTCGATACTAAGAGAAGACTCAGAAATGCCCGAAGCATCGCCACTTGCTATCGCTGAATCGGCTAATGCTATAGCATCTTTCATCTGCCGCTGGGTTTCCTCTAGTGCTGATACTTTAGCTTTTACCTATTGATAAAATCGTTCAAAATGTTAGATAATAAAAAATACACAAAACACTGAATAAATCCAGGATTCTATCTGTTTAGAATTTAAGAATGCAAGTATATTTGTGTAATATTTATAAAAAACACAAGTGGACATGATCGCTCTTCATGATAATAGAGCTGAACTTCTGAGTAAAATACAAAAACATAACAAGGAGACAAATTTAGATGTTGAATTGGAAGGACTCCTTTATTGCTTGATGGTTGCAGCTGGCTGTTAAATTCTTCTTGGAAATAAGGCATTAATGCTCAAATGGTGTTTGACGGTTTGTAACATGTCCAGAAACAAAAAAGTAATCTTCACGAAGAGAGAAAGATAGTCGTAAACTGACAATGTGTTTCCAATCTTAGCGAGCGGAGGAATGTACCATTCCTATGTCACAGCAAGCAAACGCAGTTTTCTTTAAAATCGTAACGCAGTTTAGTCATGTTGAAAAGAAGTTGCATCTACTCATTGTTGAGAATTCAATCTTCGGACCACATTTACCAGAAAGGAACCGAGCCCCATTAGCTATTGCCAAATTTAATGAGCCTATTTAATTTTTTACGAGAGAATGTTTGTACGGATTCTTCGGAATATTTTGAAGAATTTGCTTTGTATTATGCAAAAAATTCACTGATATTTGCATAAAAATCCGCACAACCGTTTTCGCATAAAAAATTAAATTGCATGGTTAAATTTGGCAATAGCTGATGTAGCTTGGTTCCTTTCTGCTTAAAGCAGTCCAATTTAAAGCAATATCATACACAGATGACATTTTTAGAACAGAAAACTCCACAAACCTGACTAATTTGTAGTTGTGACTCTTGGAGACTTGAATTAATTGAGTCTATCTTATTTTTGAATTCATTTTGCTGCTGCTCCAGTCGGATTTCTTCGTTTTTGAGTCCCTCCAGTTCTTGTTTCTTCGAGTTCAGTTCCGCTTCTTGAGATTTTAGCATGGTTTCCTGCTCTTCGGCTTGGGTGCGGAGTTTGTCCACCTGTGGAAAATTGAGAGAACAGTCAATATTTGATGAATTTTTCACTAATGAAAATATAAGAGCAATCTTCAAAACTCAAAACAGACAAATAAAGAGATACCAAGGTAATTTTATAATTTTGATCTTTTCTAGCTGCTATCTGGCATTTATAGCTTTTAGTTAACGTCATATTACGGCAAGCTATAACTTGCGCTACAGACCGCAAGCTACTCTAACTGTAAGAGTGATTAGATGATGTAACTTCTATTTTGAGAACGCAACTCACTTGCAGTAGTCACTGGTAGAAATTTGATTTGAAAGTATACTTTGAAAATTGTGCTCATTGAATCCAAAATGAAGAAATCTCTTTCCTAGATTGTATTATCACTTTTTCTTTACACTGAATGTCATTCCCTAACTTTAAAATCATTTTTCTAGATCTCATCAATTTTTTTATCCACTTTGTACAAAGGGTATTTGTCTAACGAAGAGGAAAGATTCCTTGTTAATGTTTGTTCCACAGTAGGCGTGTTCCCCTAATTTTACAGACTTTTTTTAATCTAGCTCTCATTTCCGATAGGCAGATCAGATAATGACCAAAGCAAAACAGTCTTTAAATGTGTAAATCACATGTTATGAACAGGTAACCAGTATGGATGCTGGTCAATGTTTTTAACCTGTTAGGTATTATTCTGTAATCTGAGAGAAGTAGCAATGAAAAAAAAACCACAACTTAGCAGACCATAAGGGTAAAAATATCACGCGCACGCAGATATACAATTAATTCCATGCGTATGAGTTGAAAATCAAACATACTTAGAGACTAAAGTACAAAAATAGAGAAACGAAGGCTTTCCCTCATCACCATTTGGAAGTTTTGACAAAATAAACTTTGATCACTTTTATTAGAGAACATCACTGCTTATGAATATTGTTAATGTCACCACAAAAAAAATTTGCAAGAGAGAGTTCTTTGCTTGTCTAATTCCAGTGTTCCAAATCTCAAACATATTTCACAGGATCATAACATGAGACAGGTATGCAGAAGAAGTAAACGCCTAGACATATGACAGACATGGACCAATTTGAACAATTTAAACTAAATTAAATTTAAACTAAACAACCATATTATCTTGAGAATATAAAGTAAATAAAGGATTCCAGTTAAGGCCTTCCATGGCCCTAAAATTTTGACTAATCCCAAAAAAAATTCAACACAGCATAATTATACTTTTCATTATCATTATTTTAGAAATCTGGTTAAGTTTTGAAGGTGTGTCACATGATAAGGATGAAATTTAACCTTCAAAGATGGGTCTTCTATTTTTTGTTTCAAAAGCACCTGAAAATAAGAAATTTTTCAATGCATTTGTTGCAATTTTGTTAAGAGCACAAATTCGCTGGTAGATACTTCTAATATATGTTATTCCTTTCACTATACTGAATAAGCACTTTCATAGAAGAAAAATAGTTATAAAAAAACAAACCTAGTCTGATTGCACCAAAAGCATGGATAGATTGGGTATTTTTGGGGGAAACACAGCAGAAGATCCAACTTTGTGCACCGAACACTACCTTTGACAAGCAATGCAACTTAAAAAATGCACCAGAGTCTTAAAAAAATGATGATAAAAAGTATAATTCGCCTCGCAAAAACTTCTTAGGAGAACTTTTAATTTTTGGCTGATTTAAGGAGAAAATAGTCCTTTAAATCCTTTTTTTCAAGTACCGATCATTCCGGGCAAACATATTCCATCCAATATCATACGCTAAAAGGCTGAAAAAAATTGTTAAAAATTTCGAAGTTCATCTGTTTCATGAATGTTAAATAACAGGAAAAAAAATTACCAAACCGCATCTAGTTGTTAAAGTAATAGCAAAAATAAATCAATCAATCAATCGATCAGGAAAAAAATACTCAAGACTTAACTGTTAGGGCAAATCATGCAAGTGTTACGAAACTAATGTGAGACCATACACGGCATAACAAACACAAGTCCAAGCATTGATGTGTAATAGAAATGAAGAAAAAAACTGAAAAAAGGCATGAATTACCTGAGCTTGTTCTGCTTTCAACTCCAAATTGACGTCGGCTAATTCAGACTCAACTAGCGCGCTCTGTTGAACAAGAACAACTACATGCAAATTTGGCTACAAAACAACTTAGGCCCGGTCTGAATACGCATTGAAGGTGCAGTGTAAAATAGAGGATGCTTAGTAGAGATAGTTACGGATAATCAGAGTAATTTACATATTGAAGGCTAAGAAACAGTGCCGCTTAACTTAACTGACGATTTTGCGACTTTTCTGCATTCTGCAGTTTAAATTAAACAAGCTATGATGTTTTTGGTTTTTCCAATTCTGCATAAAAGCGCTGTATGATGCTAATATTTATAAATATCAAAATTATATAATAATGAAAAAAAAAATTGCAAACCTAACCTTAAAATTGTAAAAAAGGTGAAATTTATTCTTCATCCTGTAAAATCGTTAGTAAGCAAATGAGGACTTATCTGTAACAATAGCGGATGTGAAAAATTACCTTTTCGAAAAACGCTTAAAAAACTGTTTTGTTCACACAAAAATTTAATATGTTTGGCTCTAGCACAATGTACAGATCTCGAAGATCACATCTCAAGTATTTTCTCAAAATTTTCTCGATGCCAAAACAGTTTTTTGATTGTGTTTCGCAAAGGTAATTTTTCACATCCGCTATTGTTACAGATAAGTTCTCAAATAAGCAATGATGTTCCTCAGCCATCAATGTGTATCTCGGTTGTATTGTTAACGGAGAAATATCTCCCTCCATTTTTAGAGTTAATTTTAAATTTGGTTTCAACTTCTAGTGAAAATATAAACAAATGAACACAATTTGATCTGCCCATTGTAGAATAAAGTGATAATGGAGATTTTATAACACAGGAATACTTTGTGGCAACCATAAAGTTTTAAGCTTCCCTTGAAACGTTTCTTGCATCTAAATGATATAAAAGCTACTACATCATTTCGTACACTGGACCTTACAATGTCAGGAGCTGGGTAAAAATAATACAGAAATAGAGACAGTAGATTACACTAAAAAAGTAAATAGCTAGTCAGATGGTAATTTCAATTAGAAAGCAAAACAAAAACAAAAACAAAACAATATTGGAGTGTGACTGCAGACTGTCGGATCACTATTCATTGCGGAAGTGATAAAATTATAAAAAGCATTACATATTCAGACAACCATGCATTAGTATCTGCGTTTGTTAGCCTCCAATTCTGCTTCCAGCTAAAATTAACCTGTTATGAGATTACTACCCAAGCTAAAGTTAGCTTTGAAAAATACTAAGGTTTATTTTTAAATTCAAATCTGGGGAATGTTACCAACTTCCAGGGATACAGAAAATCAAAGGATCAAAACAAATTTACAGGGGACAAAACGGAATCTGATAGATTTGATTTAATCTTTGTTACATTCACATGGAGTGCAAAATTCTGGAATTAATTGAATGCTCAGTTAGAAACAACACTGAGATGAGAAAACCGAGGGAGGTGAGAGGTTATAAGTATAATAAAAAAATGGAAATAAACAACCTATGATTACACCTTCAGGGTATTGAACAGAAGCTTGCAACTTCAAACAACATTATCAAAAGTCTACAGATGTAAGGCTTCTTTACATGTTTACTGTTAAGTTTAATATCCGCTTAAATCTCAAACGAGAAAAAACACTGAGAAATGGCCCGAACCTTGTTCCTTAAATCTTAAACAAACTTAATAACTTTGATGAATTGACAATAATTGACCAATTCAGGGTTTCCATAATTTATTAGTTCTCTAATTCCCTTAATTTCCCTGATTTTTTCCAGACTTCAAAATGTTTGAGTTCCCTGACTTCCCTAAGCCTTTGAGAAAAACTCACACTCAGATTTTTCTGTTTTATTTATGCTGACTTTCGCTAAACTTGGGACAAAGTTTTTTTTGCTTCAAGAAATTTAAATAATGGGAAAAGACCTTTGGTAGTTTTTTTGCGCTCTTGCAACGGGTGCCGGCTACAATTGCTAAGCTGATACCAAGGTACCAAAGTACCTGATTTTTCCTATGAATTCCCTGACTTTTCAGGTTTTCCAGACTGCCGGAAACCCACTTGATGCTCAAGGATGCTTGTGTGCAATGCTGGTGGAAATGCTCAATCTTTCAAGATCGATAGAAAAGGTTTTCAGGGTATATCTTCGTAAAGACTGGCAGAGGACTTTAGTGCACTTCTGGTAAACTTAAGCTGGTGCATGGTGGAACACCAAATACAGCCAATACATGCCAATTACACAATCAATAATTGAAATCAATACAACCTCTGTAGCATTGAGTGTTAAACAAAAAAAAAAGTTCAACACAAGTAAACTTTCAAAGAGGAAACACTCTTGAAAAAACTGTTAATATACACAACCAGCTACCCTCGCATTGGGCTCTCTTTGATATAAATAGGCTGCTTCCCACTTCTACAAGTTTTAAATTGTTTTATTTTAGTAAATTTTAATAAAGATTTTCTGAGCATTTTGAGTTTTTATCATTCTACTTACTTTCCGTGTCACAAAAATATCGACACTTTTGGAAACGTTTTGAATTCACTTTTCTTTGATGACTTTGATTCACATCACAAGTCTAAATTTTAAATCTACAGCAAAACTCCTGTGCTATATATCTCGTTCGCAGTGTTTAAAAATATCCACACTCTATTTTATTTTTCTAAAAGAACAAGTCGACAGCATTCCTTGAGGAATTTACATTATTTTCTTTGCACAGAGAGGAAAACTCAAGGTTGCAAACCAAGATACATGGTTTGGGAGTTTCTTCATTGAAATATGTTTAACGAACAGTTTCTTTACATTTGGTGTAATATCAAAATCTAACAGTCAATGCTACTACAAGGATATTTTCTTTTGTATTTCTATCTTCTAGTTTTTTTTACTCATCCAGTAAAACAGCTCATAAATAAGTTGAAGTACTGAGTGGATGATGTTTTATCATATGATAGGTGCAACATCGACAACTTACGACATCTATAAATTCTAATGAGCACTGAATTGAGAGAAACTGAAATTTTTACCTGATTCCGCAAATCATTCAGTCTATTCTGCGCCTCTCCTCTCTGGTGTTCTAATTGCTTCAGAGTTGCAGATAAAGCGTCCAGCTCACCCTAAAGAAAAAAATTAAAATCTGAAATATTTTTGGCTTCCATATATTACTAAGATTGAAAGATTGTAATTGCCAGATGGAGAGGGCAGGGTTTATTCCCTTCGGTACATATCCAGTTCCCTGTTTCTTCAACGATTTTTTCTTAATTTCTCCTGGATAGAACAGTAGTACTTGTGATAAAAGTATAGACAAATACAGTAATACATAAATTTAAGATTAACTTTGGAACCAAGTATTGATACAAGTGATATCATTTGGTGACCATTAGATAGCCACATATGAGCTGGATCGATTTGATCAATTGAAATTGCTTTCTAATGTCTGATCGTTGCCTACGAAAATGAAGAGGCTGTAACTACTCAGTTTTGTGATGTTTAACTATTGGAGAAGACGCCATGTTAACCAATTAGAGCAGCCCTCAATTAGCCAAAGCTGCACGAGCGGTTTTTTTTGGATCTTCTTCATTTGTCAGACAATGTGATTCATAGATTAGGCACTTTTCTTCAGTGAAATTTTCTCCTCTTTCGAGAAGGTTCTTATGAATTTTTTCATCAGATCAACCCCTGAAAAGATGTTAGCACAAAAGAAACACATGCCATGTATTCTCCCATAAGAACACATGTTAAACCACGACCAAGTTTCATTCACTAACGTTACGTCACAGAAACGTAGTTACGGCCTCTCCATTCTTGTAGGCAACGATCTGATGTTTTTGAAATACCTGATGTTCATTGGTTGGTCAAATTTTTTGCTTCTTGCTAGATAGGTCTTAAACCACTGAGAGATATAATTTTTGTCTTCCATTCTAAAATTTTGCTCTTAAGTCCTGAAATTTAGAATAAAAGCTACCCAGATTTTGAAACATCTACCTGTAAACTTTTAATTTCTCCAGATTTGATATTGATTTCAGCCTCTTTTGTGGCTATTTCCGTTTCTAGATTCAGTTTTTCTTTAGCTAGAGCTTCAATATCTTTGCTAATCATCTCAATTTCAGGGTTTGAGTACGGAGTTGTTGTTGTCAATTCCTGCAACAAAAATAAAGTTTGATTGAGAACGGTTGGTAAAACGGGTATAGATGAGTATACATGTAGGTAGAACTGAAAAAAAAAAAAAACAAGGAAACGACAAAATGAGACAATAACAATAAAAAAGAGATAAGAGCCTCTATGAGCCTTCTTTTTATATTGGAGGCTGGCATTGATGAAAATGAGCAATCAAGGATTGAGAGTTGACGACTGATGAAATTCCTTCTGGATACAAAAGTTTACTTGAGAAAACATTCACCTAAAATGAGAGGAATGAACAGAGCTATTGAGAAGTCTCATATTTCTTAGAGACCAGGCAGGAAGAAAAAAAACTAAATCATAAAACTCAAAAACATTCATCTTCTTGCTAGCAAATGCGGGGAAATGTCTTTCAAGACTATGTACGCAGAAATTAAGGAGGATTCTCTCGCATATCTCTATAAAAGGCTTAAAAAATGTGTCACCTGGGGTCAGAAAATAAGAAAATCACTTCCAAGCTTGAAATTGATTAGTCCAATAAAGCTAAGAAATATAATTATTTTATTGGATAGTTGTTTCCCAAAAGACTCTTGAAAAATTGGATGCAAGAGTTCTACAAAGTCTAATCGATGCAACTTAAAAACATTTCTGCCCCAAGATACTCAAAGTTACAATAAAAGAATTCATTTTCATGTCCAACCATATGCAAAATTCTTGGTGTGTTAACATTGCAACCACGCATTTAATTTTGAAACTGAAATGAAGGTTTCTATGGCGATGCAGATAACCTTAAATAGATAGACTTCCAAGAGACATTATATTAGAATACCTGACTAAGAGATAAATATGTTGAGCTAATTACAAAAGTGAACAAAGAATACTTGTGGTGGAAAGGTCACTTAAATTTGTGACACCCATGATGTGAAATGGTTGAAGAAAAACTCAACTTCAATTACATGAATGGTCGAAAAACCTAAGATAACGTGATCAGGGTCTACAAAGTGCGTTTGATTTCCGGATAAAAAATAGACGAACAGATTCTTGGTTTACTGATGGAATAATTCATTTTGACAGATCAGGTTGTAATGTCAACTTAAACTACTAATTCAGCATGAGATGAACATTAGCTACTGTGATATAACTAGGACGTAAACTAAGTAGATTTAGTCGGATAATTTTTCAAAAATAATTAATTAGATTGAGAGTGTTTTGAACACGGCTCAGAGATGGACAAACCACATTTCCTTGAAAAATGAGTATCACAAGGCAACTTTTAACCGTTGGGTTGACTATATTTTTCTTAGAAATAAACAGTGTTTACACTCAACTAGAGCATGACCTTGAAGAGTTGAACCAATTTCGAAAACGCCTAAAAGGGCAGAACTGGAGAATGCAGGCATTCGAGCTTGGATCTAAGTTTAAGGAAATTCTTCGGTCATCTCCTGGTTTATCAGAGGCAATGAGTATTGAGCCATATCAAGGCTCTATTCTTGATTACCCGACACCAGACGAGGACAAGAAGTTAAAAATTCTTGAGCTCTCATGGAATGAATATTACGAGTGCTTGAAGTCTCAACACAACAGCATCGCACTTGATAAAGTGCTACCTCCGCAAGCAATCATGGTGTTTGAAGGAAACAATGTGAGGTAATCTATGACTGTTTTATGAGTTTTACAAGCAAAAGCTATGCCATTGATCCATGTGAACTATTTTCATGTACAGGATAATTAATCAGAAAAACCTATCATCTTATATTCACTACAATTGCCACCTGTGTGTAAGAGACAGAAATATAGTCTCACGATTCAATAATTCAAGTGCTGGGGAACTGAGGAAACGAAACTTGTTTGTATCTAATACAAAATGTATAAAATTATAAATGATTTTGGTGAAGTGTACAATTCAAATACTGAAAATCATGCTATCTTCTCTTCTGAAAGTCATAGAATAGTTCCGATGTATGCACTGTTGGGAACTAATTGGAAGTGGTTAAATTGTTCATTCTAATGTTCGTTGCTTTTAAGGTATTCAATGCTCTTTTCCTTTAAGTCCATTCATTTTAGTACAATAAAAAAGAATGCTTTGAAAATTTATCAAGTAATGATCATTAACATTCTCTTGTAAGTTCTACAGAAACTTTATTCATGACTTTAAAAAAAACAAAATGTGTTTCAGACTAACTTGCGACATTTGTATAAGTCCAGCCGATATTACAGAGACCGTGCAATGGTATTATTCACCGACTATGGACAAAAGTCGATCAACAGAGATAGATGAAGACTCAAATATAGTAATATCGCAATGGGACAATACACTTCATATACTCAATGTGAAGAAATCTAGCACAGGGCTCTATCACTGTCATTTTAAGAGCACTTTAAGTACAGTGCATTTTCTCCATGTGGTAGATGAAGAGCCCATAAAATTGGTAAAATGAACATATTTTTTTTATTTTACCCATTTTCAAAATAAATAGGCCCTTCAAAATAGTTCAACTGAATTGTGCGCTGATCAAAGCACTAATTAGTTGCATGTACTAAGGTAATAAAATGATTGAGGTTCCACAAGGATGAAAAAGATGGAATGAGGGAGCGAAAAAATAAAAAAAAATTAAAAAAAAAAAAAAAAACGCAGGAAATATAGAATCAAGTTATGAGGAATTAATCATTTGATTGCACAAGCAAAAGAAGGTGAAATTCATCCTGAGAGAGGAGAAAAAGGTAACTTGAGCGCTTCAAAATATTCCCGAAAATCATTCTGGCTGCAAAAAATACTTGACTTTGGTTAGTTGGGGGAGAAATGTAAAAATCTACTTGAGACTTGATACATTTTACCCTATTCTATCCTCTTAAAAACTATCTCAACTGCGTTTAGATTTATACTTTCAAACTATTGGTTTGACTTAATTACAGGTCCATCCTCCCACAGCAGCAAAAAACCACAGTTCACCTCCGCTGGTAAAAAACGACATTACAGTTTGGAATGACTGGAGTGAATGGTCAAAATGCAGCCACTGTGGGAAAGTAGGAAAGAAAATGCGGACAGGGTACTGCATGGTTACGTTGACTGACAATTTAAATATTATTGGGGACAAACAAGTCATTGAAGAAAATCAGAATACCTCAACTTCAACACTTTCATCGGAGACAGAGAACTTCACACAACCTAAAAATGCTACTGATTCAGGAACAACCATGGCATTGAAAAATGTTACGGAACCGAGTAATGCCACAGAACCCAACTTTGCGCAGCCTAATATTACAGATTCAAACCATTTTATTGACAAGAAGAATACCACAGAACTAATTACTGTGTCAAGACAAAATGACGTTACTGAGTCCAAAGCTCCCACAGAGCCAACCACATTTATTGAACCGAATAGCACCACAAAGCCAAATAATGTTATAGAAACAAACATTATCAAGGAGGCGGAAAATTTTGATAGGCCACAACTAAGCAAAACAATTGATGAGGATCAAAGACTAAATAGAGAGGCAATGCACAATATTGGGAGATCAGACTTTCAAGATAACATAAGACGAGTGTTCGGTATACATCATAGACAACTCAAAAGTAAAAAAGCGAAAACTAAGCGAAAATTCTCGACCAAGTATTTGAAAACAAAACACAAAAAATGTACACATTCAGGTAGTCATCACGCAAAATTTTTACGGAAATTAAGACAAATATTTAACATAAAACGAAGAGATCTGCGAAACTTCACCACAAAAAAGCAAAACACAGGATTGAATTTTGATAAAACAAATAAAAATCGTTGGGAAGGGGTTGATTCCATATTCGAAAATACTTTGGCAGAACTGGAAAAAGTGTTTGATGAAGAGCAAGGAAGAACTAACTATTTTTACAAACAATTGATTAAGTTGAACGTGTGGAACAACCATAAAATTAAAAATAGAAATGGGAGGGAGCGAAAACACAGTTCCAATTTTTTACAGCTCTGGACAAAATCTGCTCAGGCTAATTTTTTGAAAAACGAGGACCTGACAATGTTGAAGCTGTTTGAAGGAGGGATTCCGTGTCGCAGTCAACTACTTCCCGAGTCGATAAGAGGCATGCCAGAAGTTACCTCAAGAGCGACTGAAGTCATGATTGCGTACTGTAAGGTTGGTATTACATTGAAATGAAGCTTTGATAATTTTCCGTGATATACTTCTGACAGAACAGTTGAAAATATTAAAAAAACAAATTCAAACTTTGAATAGAAAAACATTCCAGAATTAGAGCAATATTCATAACTTATAACGAGGCAGCCACATTCACGTGAAGCTCCCTAAAACCTCTTAGGCACTGTGAATGTTCAGGAATGGATACAAAAAAGTTTTTGCACTCAACTCGGGTGAAACAATGAATCAAGCCTGCCAAATTTAATGCGCATTTGCTCTCACAGCTTCAAAAAGTGAGTAGTCCGCAGGGAATAAGCCTCCATTTTCTTCATTTTCCTTTGAAATTGACAACCCAAGATGAAAAATTGTCTAGGGACTGTTTTCAAAGATTCAAACTTGCCAGACTCTTGATTTTTTTCTTTATTTTTGTTTCGTCTGATATTGTAGAAGATTTTCATCTTAAGGTTTGTAAGTTTATAAAATTGACCTGCCCTTGTAATTTTCATTTAGGAGCCTTGTGTGGAAAGCGTCATCTTCCAAGTCTACGATACGAAGGGTAAAATCATTGAGGAAGTGAACAACACAGCAGGCCTCTATTCAACGCTCCAAGAGCTGCCGAACTTCCCACTTACTGTCACACGCCAAATGATAACTGTCAAGGCCAACTACCAGAACTTGAAAATCACCTGCCCAGCAAAAGTTGCCGAAAACATTCCAGTGGAGTGGCAAATTAAGTCGAAACCACTCCGCCCAACAGTAATTGAGAAAGAGACGAAAGGAAGAGTTCTAGTTGACTTGTTCGATCGCTTACTTTTTACATCTTTGAATGATAGTGATGCGAACACATACTCGTGCTGGCAGAATAAGGAACTGGTGGGAGTGGTCACTTTAGTTATTGATCATAGGTTGGCTTACGAGATTAACCGGACACTAATGATTGTAGGCGTTGTCCCGGTAGCTGTTACGTTTGGAATATGTCTGTATCGTGTTTTCAAAATGAGAAACAGGGGACATTCAAAAATTTCTTCTTGAATTTCAAGCTGCATTATCTGATCAGACTTGAATGCAGCCGTAGAAGAAAATCATCGTTTTAGCCTTTTAAATTAAGCCTAATATAATAATAAAGCCTAATAAACGCCTGTAAATTTTTACAATTTGACTTGTACAGTGATTTAAACTCCTTGTTTCTCCTACTAATTATGATTTTAGTTTGAGTTCCCATTTACCATCACTATGAGAGAAAGAATTTTCATTACAAGTTCCTTCAACCAGTGTACCAATATCTCAGTTTCCAGTTTTTTATCACTAAAATGTGTTTTCCTGGGGACGGTCATAATTATATTTTTCGTTTTGCAATGATAAGAATAAAACAGAAAATGTTAAAGCATTAAGAGAGTTGAAAAATAAAAAAAAAGTAAACTTACAGCAGCCTGCGGTTTTGCACGACACGAAGGAGGCACCATTTCAGGAGTGAGAGCTTTTGGAGGATCAAATCCTTTCAATTTCCTGTTGATCAACCACATTGCAAGGGCAAACTGTTCGCTGTTCAACTTCCCTTGTTGCCCTGTATCACAGAGGTTCCTGGAATAAAGCCAATGTTATCAGTTACGATTCAAGAGGAGCTTATGAGTTCGAAGCCGACAGTAGATTGTGATGAGGACAACTCAATAGAAAGATAGAAAGATAAGATTAGAGTCTTTGTACCAGCCCAGTGTCAAAAAGTAAAAAAAGAGGGGGGAATTCCCAGACTATTCTAAGTTTGCCCTGACCAAAATGTTTAGAATTCTCTAACTTTTCACATCCAAAATTTACATACTTTGAACTGAAAATGAACGAAGTTTAGCATCTATTTCTTTGCAATAATGACAGAAACACGTGGATCTTTTTCTTCAGATATTGATCATTCAATTAACTAAAATTGTAATTCTTCATTCGAACGTACAACTAATTTCCCCTTTCATAATTCAGAGTAAAACTCGGAACAGTGAGCCTCAAAACCATACGAGGGTTTGACTGTATAGACCACGCTCATGTTTTTCAGATTTTAAAACTCCAGTTCTTCATTAAATTTCCTAACAATTCCAAGTTTTTCAGACCAATAGACAGCTAAACACCTTGTGCAACCTAAATTCGTTGATAAACCAGCAAAAGAAGAATACCCTTGTGTTGAAATTTTTGTTCAGAGAGATTTATATCTTACCAGATGTCTGCGAGCACTTCTTGGGGTACTCCTGACTTGAGGAATACATCTTTGATTTCAGCACCCGATACGAAACCATCCTTGTCAAAATCAGACTGAGTGAATAGTGCATCAAACCTAGTTTTCTCTTCAGGTGTCACGACCCATGGAATTGCAGCTACAGGGGGCTGGACTGCCTGAACCGGCTGAACGGGTTTCTGTCGGAGAAAATTTTTACATCAATTCACCCATTTTAAAAGGCATCTTCAAATTCATCAGAGAGCAATTTTCATGGAATGAACCTTGAGTTCTTCACATAAATCCTTGTTCATGAAAAAATCACTACACCTACCGATGGAAAATTTCATGTTTATTCGCGGGAAATTTGAAGTGTGAAAATTCATGGAATTTTTTTGAACTTTTGGGGAGGCATTCACGAGGCCAAGAAAAACCTAGAAAAAGTGATTCTGATTTTGACATTTTCCACCCAAAGCCTAAGACATTCAGGCATTGCAAATGTTTTCAGTTGGTTTAGAGGTTAGGTTGGGGCTAAATTTCTCTCTTAACTCCCATTTGTACCCCCCTTCATGTAAAGCACTTCAGTAGGGTAGCATAATACTGCCGCATCAACAGGAAGACCATCTGACACTTTTTTCCGACTTCTGAAGGTTTGATTAATAATCCCCATAAAACTTTAACAAATTTCAAATTTTGTGAAATTTATTCAAGCCTTTAGAAATTTCACTTTCCATTTTTGAGTGCACCTTGTGTTTCAGCAATACCAATAAATTTCAATGAGGCTGTTTGTGTCAGATACAGATGACTTTCCTGGAACTGAGTCTGTCAGTCATTGCTCATAAGTCTGTCCATTAGGCTCTTGCGCTCGTAGAACTGATACTCCTAGCAACAGCTCATTCAGACTGGCTCTAAAAGTTTACTAATAATCAGTAAAGGCTTTCTCATTGCTTCCACTTTTTAACTGATACTTTTGTGTTGTTATCAAAAATAGATGGAATACTTCTAATTGAATCCGCAAGTGTATTTGATGAATTTATCCATGCTGGATCAAATACTTACGATGTTAGGATTATAATTTCCCAAGTTGACACAATGATTGCGGCAGTGCATAGCTCAAGTGCTCTCTACTTTCCTCTAAAAATATATTATGTTTAGAAAATACCGGTGACTACTTTTCACTTCCACCAATTAAAAGATGTCTCCATTTGTTGATGAAGAAGAAAAATTGAAGGAAAGATAATTTTCTTTTCTTCCTCCTTTTTTTTTTGTTGTCTCAGATATTTTCTAAATTACAGCAAAAAGCTTATTTTTACAACTGGAATCAATCCTAAGACCTTAAGGAGATAATAATACGAGATTCTAGATTTGCAATTTTTGGAATGAATGATTGTACCGCAATGTCAGTCGGAATAATTGGAAGCACTGGGACAGCGTTTGGAGGCAAGCCTGGTATTGAAACTGAGTCTCGCTTGATCGTCGGGGGCAGCAGCTCTGGTGGTAGTACGTCAGGGACCGCTTGTTTTTCTAGTGCTTTGTAAACTAAATGCATTGCCTGTTAGAACAAAAACAGAAGCTAGATGTATATTGGTGAATTTAAAAGAGAAAAAGAAATATACTGGTTGTTAAAACTGCATAAATTAAAGTGAAGCGTAACATTCAATTAATGATGGAAAATTTTAAAACAAAAATAGCCATAACTGTTAAAAAAGAGAATACAAAATATAATGTCATTTGAACCCTTCTTTTCAAGATAGTACCTCCTGTTTGAATGGGAAATCTTCTGGAATTCATAGGAAAACAGAATTTACTTATAGTCATCAGGGGTTATAAAAGGGTTTGTTGTAAAAGGAAATAACTATGGATAAAGGATTTTGGTTAGCTGTGTATAAAAAATATGATCACATTGACAATTTGGCCAAAAATTATAACCTGCCATAATTTTGTCTGCTGCGGCTGGATCAAAAGTGGCAGTCTGCCACTTGAACAAATGCGTTTTAAATCTTCCTTCCTACGATGGGAAGTTTGTTCTGATAAAATGAGCTGCTGATGAATGATGATCGTTAAAGTAAGAACTTGGGCTGTAAAATGAAATAATACGCACCACAGTAAACTCATGCTTATCAAAAGAACCATCCTTGTCCATATCTGCCAAGTCCCATATTTTACCCAAGGCATCAGTGGGTAGCCTTGAATCAATTAGTAGCTGTTTGACCTGCGATTTAAAATGTAAGTTTATCATTTAGAAAAATAGTGATGGTTGAAATCATTTTAGGAAAAAGGAGAAGTGTATTTCAAGAGAGCTAATTATCCTTAATAGTTAGCGTGACCAGACACACAAAAATTAAGAGAGCCCCAAAAACATTTCTGACATACATACCCAAAAATCAGGTTAAATTAAGAAAAGAACTTGCGTAAACCGTAAAAAAGAGCAACAAATTTGAGAGTACTTTGCAAGGATGCAACCTTAACTGCTGACAGCATCAAATTACTCCAAATAAGTATGACTATGATTATGTAAAAATATGGGTCCAGTAGGCAGCCTTACAATACCTGAAATTTAACTTATGGTTGCGGTAAAATATTCCACCCGTGCTCTTCCGTAGAATTCGCTTGCAGAAACAGAGGTACGTTTCTTGCAAATATATGGGTGAAAAATCAGGTTGAGCGGATTATTTTGGCAGAAGTACTCCACAAGAAGAGCAGAAACTTTACGACTGTGCAAGCACCCCAGTCTCATGAAATGGGGAGAACTTTATGAGAACCGTAAAAATCGAAAAAAGGTTGATAGATGCTTTCGGTATTACTGCATTTACTATGCTTTTAGGTAAGAATAATCCAATTTCATACAGTAAAGAAGTGTTCATTTATTATTTAGGGAGAAAGTGATCGTGATTCTGAGTACAGAACAGGAATAGCCAACATAGTCTGAGGTAAGGCTGGAAACTTTCTGCATTTTCGGTATTTGAGTCTACTTGCCTTGTTCCCAGGTACAATGCCGTTGATTGGCTGCATCATGTCATACAGTTTATCGTACTTCATTCTTTCCACTGGTTTGATGGTCCAATCACTCGCGTTTGCTACCAGTGGGGCTACCATGGGTGGTACCATAGGCGGTACCATTGGAGGAACCATTGGAGGTACCATTGGTGCAGCCATAGGAGCAGCTGGATAGGATGAATTACTCATTACAGATACGTCCCCCTGAAATACAGAAAAAAAAAGAAATGAAAAAAAAATTCTTATTCACATTTTTAAAGATGGTTAGCTGGTATTGAAAAACAGCTTTTAGGCTAGATATGAACCCAGCGAGTGTTAAGACAGAACTTCCTTGGTACAAACTCTTATGTATAGATTCATTTTTTTAGCGAAAACCTGATTAAATTCGTTGTTCACAATTCTTGAACTTAAGTATTCATGTTTAACTGCTTATCAAGGATGAAGTCCTGATTAAAACTTAGAGTTTCTCAGGGTGTCTACTAAAATAGGCTGGTCAAAAATAAGTACTTTTACAGTACTTTTTTAGTACATTCTCGAGAAATTCAGTACCTCCTCCAACAGAAAAATTCCGTACTCGAAATTGGAAAAATTTCAAAAATTTGAAATTGCGACAAAAATAACAAAAAATTTAAAAAAATTCCAGACCTTTTTGCGGAATTTCCACACTTTTTCAATACTTCCGGACCGCCCATAAAAAATCAGTACTATTTCCAGACTTATAGACACCCTGGTTTCTGCATACTTTCATTCAAATTTTCTTAGAAAGTAGATTTTTATACAATTTGCTCAAGAAAACAAGAACTCAATTTTGAAATAGTTGACTCAAAATAGTATTTTTACTGTTTGGGAACTCATAAGATCAATTGAATTGTCTAAATTTGCTGAGGGAAATTACTTTGAAGTTTAACGAGCTTTAAAAACTGTTAGATTTGTCTTACATACAGTGATTTAATTGCAAGTACTTAATACACAGAATCCTCACCATCTTTGGCGGAGGAGCATCAACAGTGATATTTGCTGTTGAGATTTCTTTCCCTGCTTGAGCTAAGGAGACTAGTTTCAAAGCGACAAAGAATCCAAGTTTAGTCAGGAAACCCTTCCCATTTGGATCGGAGAGATCCCAAATCTGAAAAACGAAGGTTTTAAGAAGCTTTTATAGTATATAACTACCAGAACACTTAAAACTGAGAATATTAGAATAAAAATAAGTCATGATTTTATAATTCCATCGATTAATTTAGCCATAATACCTAGAATAAAAAAAATGTTCCATCTATGAGATCATACAGTTGTGGAAGATATTAGGGAGGTTTTCAGAAAATGTTTTTCAAAAGAGAATGTCCATTGCGAATCAATTCATAGACGATACAAAAAATGATGAAGGATTCTCTACAATAGAGCTTTGCTTGAACTATACTTGGGGACAAAAATAAGAGATATTTTCCGTACAAGATTAGTTATTGTTATTGATTATTGGTTATTGGTTAAGAACTTATTGTTAGTTCAAGAGCTACGGATTAGTGAAAGCTTGAAAAATTGATAAATTACACGAAATTGCATTTGTCAGCAACTTTGTATGGAGGAGATGCCAATTTAAAATTGAACTCCTCAATTTCTTGCCACCACAACCTGACCGGCTTCATTAGAAAGTTTGGACAAAATAGCTCACAAAACGATCCAAAGGGTGTAAAAAAAAAGCAGTATCAGGATTAAAACAAATTCTTTGATTGCAGATCCATTCACAAACGGGACCAAATTCAGTTGGGTACACAAAAGAATGACCATGAAGCTTATTAACTCAATTTCACCTTCTCCTACATTTAATTTTTGCCAAAAATAAAGTTCATTGTGAAACCGGTTGAGCAACAGGAACTTGAAACCAAACAAGTGCACATTGGCTTAAATCTTGGATAAAAGATAACTGAGACACACGGGCTCCGTTCCTTACTAGCATAAAACGTTTATAGATGCAATAAAGACAGTTAGGTCCATTGTCAACTGCTGAGGTTGCCAAGCTGTAAGCTTCAAGGAGCTTTCTACACCACTTTGCATGATTAGTATGGATTTTATCAAATGACTTGATGCACATGTTAACAATGCATCTTGCGATCAGCTTTAAAGGTTGGAGCAGCGACTCAAACCAAAAAACGCCATGTTTTTCTTGCATAGATTTTTAGCTTTAATTGTCATATTTTTGTAAGTACTCATATCAAATAAGAACAAATCATGTTTATGGAAGTGCAAATTTATTCAATAGTGCATTTTGGCTGATCGGCATTTTTCTGAAGACAGCATTTATACCCAGGCTTTCCTGGTATCCATTGTCATGTGCTAACTTTAAGATGAAAAACAAGTTCCCAAAAAATTACACTGCTCAAATGGTTGAAAATTTTGAGTTATTAGCATCTGAAATCATTTCGCTTGAAAATTGGTGAACAGAAACAATTATTTTTATGCAAAAAATGACTTTCACTTCGCTAATTTTTGCTGTACTTAGACACAATTTTAGGATTTATTTTGCGTTTCTTGCAAATTTTTAAAACTTTTTTTTTTTTCATCCCCCCCCCCTTTTACCATCTTGAAAAAATGTGAGTCTGAAGTATGGTATTCACATAGTAGTCACAATTCCTACAGACTTTTAGGGTTTTTACCTTATTCTACGTCTCCTTTAACGAAACATTGTTAGAGAGTGGGAAATAGGTACTTTCTTTTTCAAGAAATAAAAACTTCATTTAGAATGTCTGGATGTTAATTGGATCCGTATCAGCGATGAGGAAGAATTAAATTCGTAAAGAAATGAATTTGGAGAAAAAAAAAAGAAAAAATTGATTCTTGGCAACCGTGAGAGGAACCACTAGAATATCAATGCTACTGAAACCTCATTAGTATTCAGCAGTAAGGCTGGCTCATCAGAAATGAGGAGATTTTCTGATCAGAATATGAACAACCGCAAATAGTGACTCACCCATTTATTTCAAGATACATCAAAGCCGGGAGCTGCCAATAAAATGACTATTCTCAAGGACCATTTCACGCACCTAGATGAGTGTACCCTAGCGCTAATTTTTAAGGTTGCTGAATTTTATTTTTATACTGGACAAGAGTAGCTCATTGAGTTTCTCTGACAAACATTGTAAACAAAGGTACACAACTGAAGGGAGAGTTAAAGAGGAAATTTGGAGAACCTGCTTTCTTAATACGAATGCACACATTTTAAGGATAAAATTTTTAGACGCCCCTTGAGACTCCCTTGATTGGAAATCACCTTGAATTTAACTTGAGAGGGGGGATTTCAATTAAGGTAAAGAATTCCCGCAAAGATTTCAAGTCAAGGCAGTTTCAAGGCAACTCTTGAAAATCCAACCCCTTGGGAACAGAATTAAAAAGAGAGAAGAAATGAAAATGAACAATTGTTGGTGTAAAAAAATTCATTATTTGTCATAACTCAAGTTACCTGCCTAAACCTCTCAGATTTTTTTTAAGGGGGGGGGGGGCTTGATAGCTCTAAAATTGATATTTATGACTTTATTTTCATAAAATTAGGCACTGACAAGGTCTAATTTTATTCTTTTTTCTCCTTAATCAAGCACTTTCTAAGCTCTCTTTACGGCTGCGTGAATTTCCTACATGGAATCTGTGATGATGAAGTCGTGGATTTGTCTAGTATAATAATTTGCTGTATTTCAGGAATGTATCAACGTAAATGTGGCTTTATTTCTTTTACTGAAGTTCAAAAATGAGTATAAAAAATAAAAAGAAGCAAAAACTTACATCTCTCAGAATGACATCGGATAATCCTGATTTTTTCAAGAACTTTGCAGCCTCTAAGGCTCCGATAGTGCCAGAATTAGTGGGATCCACCTAAAAAGAAAGAGAAAAATAAAATTAAAATTTAATTTATTTCCAAAAGGGGAAAAACTGAAGGTCTATAAATAGATGAAGAAAGAAAGGAAATTGAGGCTCCTTCATTTCAAACCTATTGATTTTTTTTTAATTCTTAAATGTTTTTCTCCAGGGTGTCTGCAAAAGGGCTGGCCAAAAATCAGTACTTTTCCTTACAGTACTTCTTCGGTGCATTCCCAAGAAATTCAGTACCTCATCAACAGAAAAATTCAGTACTTTTTCAGTATATCCAATTGACAAATTTCAGCAAATTTAAGAAAAAATTGAATTTCCCGCTTAAATTGCGACCATAATGACAAAAAAATGAAAATATTCCAGACCATCTTCCGGAATTCCGCTCTTTATCAGTGCTTCCGGACCGCCCTGAAAATGATATTTCCAGAAATTCCAGACTTAGACACCCTGTTTTCAGACACAAAAGTTTCCTAATTTTCTGACTTTTTCCTGACTTTCCCAGGCTTTAACGAAAATTTCACTTGGAATTTTTTTCTTTTGATGAAGTTGTTTTATGCTATAATTTGGGCAGAATTTTCACTTCTGGAGTTTCAAATAATAAGAAAAAGGTAGTCAGAATAGCTAGAATGCCTTCCCTGAGGCTTGAGGAAATTTTTGGATGAAAACCTTTGATTTGCATGATGGGCGCAATAATGAGAATTTGGATTTAAGAAATTTTTCGGCTCAACATACCTTTTCTCGAACTTTTGGAGGAATGGAGAAAATTTCCTTAGATGAAGAAATTGTAAGACTACAAGGCTTTTTTTCTCTTTTTAAAAATTCTTTGACTTCCCTTTGATCTATTAAGGGTTCTCAGCATGAAAATGCTATGAAAGTAAACCGTGCATGTTTTAAGGTTAAAATTTTCAGAGCCTTTTTCTTCTTATCAACTCTTGATTGGTCACCTGTGCCTACCATCCGTGAGAGTCCAGTTACTTACTGATTTACTTTCACTTTTCAGATTTCAGCTCATGGAAATTTCATAACCATTTTCAGAGAAATACTAGATTTGACTTATTCCAAATTCCAGCCTGTTCTTTTGAGGATTGAGTATTCAAACTAGAGAAAGAGAACACAAAATTCCAAGGGGGAAGTCACGCAAATTTAATGGTATTAGAGAAATTCCAGTCAGAAATTTCAACATTACTTGATACGTAAAGCATACAACTTGGGATTTTTCAGTGCTACTGCCACCTACTCGTAATCAAGGAATCTAATCTAGATCAATAGACAAAAGCGTTAAATGGAAAAAGTCATATTCGTTGTTCTGTAATGTGCTAAAATACCATAGTTAAAAGTTTCCGAAATCGCAAAACACAGAAAATGGTCAGTTACAGATCTTTAACTTTGGATGAGCTTCTGGAGACAGATCAAACTTTTATTCTTGAAAAGCCCAGGTTGCAATTTTAAAGATGTTTAAGGATGGAACAATGTGTTCACTCTCCACTAAGTAGTTTCAACTGCTGAAGTTTTTTCAAACTCGGTAAGTGACAAGAACAGGCTCAGTTGAAAAAGCATTGCACGGATCAAGACAGCCATTGGGTTGTGCAGGACTTTCAAATGAATACTTTGTTTTTCCTCTTAGAGTCAACAGGAAAGAGATTAAGGACACAGACTCGGAAAACTCTTTCTTTGGTCCTTGATTCATGATAACACGCTGATAAATGTAGATAAGTAATAGAATTGTTTACCTGATTATAGAAGGCTTCATATATTTGATAATGACTCCCAGCCACCTGTGGCAACAGAAAACATTATGTTTAATAGAAAAACACACTTGAGGATGCTTTAAAGGAATGTGAGAGTTTGGGAAACTGGAAATTACTAAAAGCAAGAGGAAGCACCATTCAAGACTAGGTGTCTTCCCTTATCAATATTCAAATGGATCATTGGACAACTGTCCTTCGATTCAGGGGAAATTGGGTAAATTCGGTGGATTATTTTGAATTTTGATAGTCCACTTGTTATCCAAGAGAGCGAGAACAAGCTAAATAGTGATCAGAGGGAAAATAAACGAGAAAAATTGATAAATATCATCTAAGTCAATGTCATGACAAGTTTGATTTTTAGGCTAAGGAGATGGGTGGATTCCTGGTTTATGAGGATTGACACGCCCCTTGTGATTGGAATTAAACGAAATAAGATTCTTACGATCTAACTACAGAGAAATCAAATCGTGAAACTGTTAAATTCTGGTCGAATAATTAGTAAAATAATCAGTTTGACGTAGGTACCTGGGTCGGTGACGGTAAGGCGGCCATTTTTCCACTACTGACGAGATTTGTATTTGATTGGTGTTGCACCTCGTCTGTCTCCGCCAATGAGAGCGAAGATCAATACAGTCCTAATTTTACCGTTTTCTGCGAATTGATTGATTACTTGTGTACTTTACTTACTTGAAATTGAAGGCAAACAATGGCAATTATTGATGAAAAAATTGATTTTCGGCGTACGGCTTCGGTCTTGCAGGTTTCAGGAAAATTTGCAAAATATCGAAGGATCTTGGTCTAATGACAGAGACAATATAGTAGTTGATAGAATGGAGCCTCATTTTGATTGTATTCATTTCATTTGTCTGTAAAAATTAAAGAAAGTACAAAGCTTGCTATTTATTTCAATACTTTGAATTCTCGTATACATTCAAAAAAGGTGACAGTCATAAATAACTGAACACGCACATAGGTGGGCCTTTCAACAGGAGGGAGGGAGGGGGGTGTACAGTCCTCCCCCCCCCCTCCACCTTTGTAGATTGTTTCAAATGTTTAGACAATATTAAATTTTAAAATAGGTAAGTACTTAAGTAAGTACAGATAGGGAAAGCATACTTTGATTTTTATCAAAATTTTCAAAAAAAAGAAAGAAAGATGAATGGATGCATGCCGTATTTTAAGTTAAGTACCTATCTTGAATTCAAAATCTGGCTTGAAAGTTCCATCATTTCAACTGTGCAAGTATATACTTGGATGCAAATCTGATTTGGGTCGATAAAACTTATCAAAAATTTTTTTTAGTTTTTTAAACAAGCGCTATAGTTTTCTTGTAAAGCAGGCATAGCAACGTAAAGTGCGAAACCACCACATATCTCCATGTGCGACATTGCAGACTTCCAATCATACTTCAGGTATTCTTTTTTTGAAAAACTAGTGAACGCAATTTCTTGAAAACTTTCATGATTTTTCTTCTCTGTCAGCAGAATATTGTATGAATTAGAAGTGATGAAGTTGCCTTGTTCTTCTTAGAAAAAATTAAAGAGGAGCATACGTTTTGTTACACCTCAATGGAGATACGAAGTTTCCCACTTTGACCACCACCAGGTACTTTTCTCTTCTTACGAAGGTATGCCAGAGCAGTCTTCAGCCTGTGGGTACTTTTCTGAATATCATGTTTCAAGTCTTTAACATTAAGTGATCCCATGTAAGAAATTTATTTTTGGAAAACCTCAATTAAACTAGTGGACAATGAAAGAGAGGTAAGCCATCTTCCTTGCCTGCTACTGTAAGAATTAAAGTTTTAAGAACTGGAAATGAGCGATTATTTTTTACATTAAAATCACTGCAAACAACAGAAAAACGTCAACCTTCAGGTATTAATCATTAAATTAACTAAAACTGCAAATCCTCACAGAAAATTATTCCTCTATTCACTATTCAGAGTAAAACCCAGAGGATTGAACTCTGAACCAGACTGAGGGGCAGACTGATCGTGTAGCGCTAATTTTTTACGATCCAGATTTTAATTCTAGAGATTTTTTAAAGTTCTAGTATTTTTTATAAAATTCCCTGACAATTACTGGCTTTCCAAACTTGTAAACAACCAGTCTAATTAAACTCAATTTTATCATCCCATAATGTCTCAGGAGCGATTTAAAGATCAACATAAATTTTTAAAAATGATTTTTTATTGGTTGAAAAAGGTAAAAACAGCTTACAAGGTAAGTATGTACATACAGTTAAACTGGATTTGATAGTGGAGCCAAGTCACATTTAGTTACTTATACAAGAGATAAGCAGGTCAAATGATTTCTTCTTTAATAACACTCGATGTAAAAAATGAACTATGAGATCATATTTGAAATGCTGCATAGAGTTTTAAATAGTTTATAAAATAGAGTGTATCAATGGTGAAGCTGCAAAAATTTGTTGCAGTGTTTCACAGTCTTTGCTCCTATCATAATCTTTAAAAGGAGGCTAAACCGACATCTTGACTTGAAATTTTCACGAAGTATTCTTCACACAGAGAAGAAAATCCCCAAGGTTATCAAGAGATAATGTAAGGAAGTTTTTCATGCAGAAAATAAAGTGTAGCAGGAAGACTGCGACGTCGCAAACCCAGACATGCCTTTTGCAGTTTCACCATCAATATAGTTCAATAATAGTTCATTATTTGTTGAAGAATGCAATGTTTTGTTGAGCTTAATATTGGTCATAATTAATTTTTCTAGTAGAAGTGACTTGATTCCTTCCCAAGGATTCCATTCCCATTCAGGTTGCAGGGGAAAAAACACAAAAGGGAATTAATGATTCAGCTGATGGAGACAAAACTGAAAGCAAACTGAAAAAGAGCCCTTCACTTGCTCGTCACTTTCCAAAATCCAAGAATATTGTCTACTCCAACACATACATAGAATAGTCTTCGATGCCACGTGATGTTGCTTGCTAGCTGTTAGAAGAAAGAAGAAGAAAAAAACTTGATGAGTAGATCAAATTAAATCAAAATATTATTTGAAATGGAGATTTTTGACCACATTGGAAACAATGTATCACTAGACGAAGTACAAATTAGAGCATTCTGATACATTTTTCCCCTTCAAAATTTTACATAGAAAATGATACTCGCGACCCTGACACTGATTCCTAACCCAAATATTCACGTTTTGATTTAGGACTGGTTACAAAAAATTTGAATTTTTCGCTTCGAAAAAAAACCAGAATTCGAAAAGTCATTCAGCATTGCGTATTTTATGAACGGCTTCAAAATATCCGTTTTAGAATATTTGAATTTCACTACTATGTTCACTCCTCAACTGAAGTGGGCATAGATAAACGTTGATTGGTTTAGGTTTTTGTTCTCTAAAGCCTCTTTCCTGCTGTTTTCATATCTAGATGTGGATTGTTTAAAAATGTTCTAGATGATTAAAAGTAATACATATAGAGAGCAGATTTTTGATTCATCAAAACTGTGAGAAGAAACCCTCAAAGAAGTGGAACACAGAATGGAAAGTGACTGAAAAGATTGGACAGTTAGTTGAATTCATTTTGGAAGAGAGAATGAAAAAAATATGTTCAATACACTTACTTTCAAAAGTGTTGATGATATTGGGAACTTTAAGTTAGCATGTGTAATGCTCAGGGTATGATTTGGCTGACCAACAGTAGCGATAATATTTTCGTTCAACTGTGAATATCGTAAAAACCGTCCGCCACCAGGATGCACTGCTCGTTTCATCAAAGGTTGGCTGAAATACAAAAAAAATTGACAAGATTTATAAACAGTCTTTGAGAAGGGCTGATATGTGCATGAGGCATTCAAGCTTTTAAGATTAGCTGAAAACTCCGTGACTTAACTGGAATGAATAAAACTGTACTTCAAATTTCCTCATTGGACTGCATTTGGCAATTTGGAACTATAAATTCTGGCTCTTCTGGAAAAACACTTATGTGCATAGGGAATCTAATGGCACATACGTTCTATTTAAACTGGGCTAGAATTTATAGTTCCAAATTGCAAAATGTAGTCCAATTTCCCCTCATATTTTACATTTTTTAACCCAAACAGAGCAACCTAATACCTAGAAATTATGTGAATATTATGGAAATGCAGTTCCACAGCACAGCTCTTAAGGAGTTTGTTATACAATACAGATAATTTACAGATATTTACTACATTATGCAGATTACATTGGTGAGTGTCTGCTGGGGTGAAGTTTTTAAAGGACGAATTCTGTTAAGTTGAGTCTCTGAAACTGATTAGTTTTCAAATATTTGTCAGGGAACGCTCTCAGAGACTTGAAGAAAAAAAATCAATCAGTTCAGATAATTTTTGTCTCCATAGAGGACGTAAAGTTGTAATTTTAACCAAAAACTTTGTGCCAATATCACAGCAGATTAAAACTTTCGATAACTTTCTCTCCACTCTCATGACTCATGGTTTGCTTTCACACTAATAGGAGTTTTTTGTCAAATAATATTTGCAAAATACTGCTCTATGAATAGATAAAAAAAAGCTTGGATCTGAGCTTTTTGGCACTGAGTGGCTCTTCCTGTGAACTACTGAGTACAATTGGATCATTTAATAGAATTTTATGGTAAAAGCGTAAAAACGTTGGCACTGCACAGGATAATTTAACAGGAAAAATTATGTATAATTAATGACTCAAGCACCTTCTCTTGAAATAATTTTTCCGGACCGATTTTGGGCACATAGCCCATCTTCATCGATAAATGTGACTGGTCGGGCCCAATCAGTCCTGTTTATCTCTAGAGATGAGCTAGAGAATGTGCTGGAATGTGCAAGTGAATCATTAGTTAAATATTTTCTTATAAAAGAAATTTTCCTCAATTTTCCAATCTCCAATTCTAAATTAGTGCATCTTCAAAAAAAAGAAATAGCGCACTGTACGGCAGTACCGTTAAATGCAGTGCTGTAGGGAAACAATAAAAACAGATGAGTGAATACCTAGCTCTTGTTGTGTCCCAAACTAAAAGATGACCATCCACTAAGGCTGCAACACGAAGACTATTACAAGTTGACCAGTCTGCCGCAGTTAAAGGACCGCAATCGGCATCGAAGGATAAAATTGCTTGCTTCCGTTCAACATTGAAGACCGTGATAGTGCCTCTCTTTTCAGCGACTAAGAGTTTTCCTGGTTCTTCTGCATGCCAGCAAACGGACATACCGGGTGACTGAAGGAAGAGGACTGTGTGACACTGATGCTCATTTGTGGACCAAATTCGAACGGAGAGATCATCTCCAGTAGAGGCTAAATTGTCACCACATGATTCATATGCTATTGAATTGATATAGCTGGTGTGTTCTTCGTAAACCTGAAAATTAATTGATATGCAGATTAATTTTAAGATTAAACACAATTAAGTAAAAGTGATGGGTGTGGCAGGTACAAAGATTTGGAATCGAAAGAGATTTGTGATTTAGAATTGTTTTTCTGTGACCTTCTGAGATAAAAACTGGGATAATAGGAAAAAATTACCTGTTAAGTGTAATATTCTGCTTTCCCCCTAAAATTTAAGGAGCGACCTTCGCTGAATAGCCAAATTTTTAGAAACCATCTACAATTTTATGGGAGCAACATGAAATTTGTTAATGCGCTGAAAACGATAATTTGAAAGCACTACCACTATTTGGCAATTGCAATTTTGAAAAAATCTCTGATAGTCTAATCAAGATAAGTCAAACTTTCCATCTTGGACCGACTAAATTGCAAGGTAATGCTAAAAACAGTATTTCAAGCAGATTGCAACATGACCTTGGAAGAGTATATGTCTTTCCCAGTATCAATTCAGTCTTGTTGATTGTAGAAAAAATTAAACAAATTAAGTATCAATGCATTCATAATAATTGAAAAAAACTGTCTTTTCACAGGATTAATTCAATACATTTTCTTTAAATATTAAAAGTAAAGAATATCTGATTGTGAAAAAACAATGAAAAATTTTACCTGCTCTGAGTGAGGATCAACCAAGTTGCTAGAGAAAAGTCTAATCTTGAAGTCAGCGGTTGCACATGCAAAGATGATAGACTTAGGGAGGGTGCTGACAGAAATCTCAGGACTGAGCGCCATACATTCTACTCGACTTTCCACGATGAAATCTTGAAGGAGTTCCAGGTCAAATTTTACATCTAACGTTTCTTCTTCTTCCTAAGTAAAAAAAAAGTAGCAAAACATTTTTGATAATAAAATTACATATTTAGTTATTTGAATTAATTCAAACTTTATAAGTAAACAAATCAAATAATTTGTAAAGGAAATTTAATTCACTTCTTCCATCATGTGTACCTACCTAGATTTTTCAGTATATACCTCCGAATATTTTAACAAAATTCTTTGAATGTTGACAGGGTAGTACTGCCGTGCTAAGCAAGAACGCCGTAAATCCAACAAGATTTTCCCTCGTTCTTTTGGAACTTAACACTTTATAAAATAAAAACTGTTTTACCCTTGCACCTCAAATTTTCAGGTAAAGTTTTAGATAATATTTTCGAAACTTGCCGTCAGCATGACAAGTTATCAAGGATTGATGAATTACGTTGTAAAGAAGTCTAGTTTTGTTTTGTCTTTCAGTGTCGACATAATTTTAACATACAACCCTGCTGTAAGGCATCCAGTGTCCAGTTTCAAAACACCTGGACAGTTGTAGTTGCATACAGTATATGTTTGTTAGTTGGCAGAAATGAGCGTTGCTGAACATCAGACCAAGTATTGTAATTGCACCTTGCGCAGAGGGCTTTTTTCATGCCTGGAACGTTATCGGTCTGGGTAAATGCTGCTCAATGCAGTTCAGCTTGGGGTTAGGATTGGACAAAATTGCTCGAAGATCCAAAGTAATTACAACCCTGAAAGAGCGATCCAAGCACCTCACCAGGGCATATGGATCGGGCTGGGTCCCCAGTGGACTTGAATTGGAAAGTTACGCAGTTGACTGCATTTCTCTGCGGTTCAGATGGTAAAAAAGCTGTCAGGTTACCACTGCAGAGTGTGTCATTTGAAAGCTTTAGGTAGTTTGTACTTTTTTTGGAAAATAAACATCAGTACTTGATATGAAATATAGTTGTGAGTCACGAGAAGCTTGGAACGCCTCAACAGCTGATAACAGACATGTGCATACCTGAAATTTTGTGACACCGATGGCAACTTTACCATCAAATGCGATACAAATTACATTGTGAGACCACTCGTAAGGGGAACATTCCACCCTTCTGATCTGATAAGGGAGCTCAATACTGTGAAGCGGCTCCTCTATTTTAGCAGTGGAATGCATGCGCTCACTGGTAGCGATTGGCATGGTGAAACAGTTCTTGATTAGGTAACTAAAGAAACACCTGATTCGAAAGCACGACACAACATTAAATTATGGTTAGAGTATGTTTTGCCACGGTTTAAATAAAGTCGTGTAAACTAATTCAAAAGATAAGAGCTGTTCTTGAGCTGCATGCCGCGAAACTTCAACTTCACCTATAAATTTTGATGTTTGATGTATCTCGGAATTATCAGCTTTCAAGATTGCAATTTTGAAAGAAAAAACGTCACTGTTACTTATCAAATTGTTTGTCTATTTTAATCCCAAATAAATGTTTAAATTAATCAATGAATTAAATTTTCAATAGAAACATCAATTTTAATGCATAAGAAAGTTCACAGGATCAAAAATATTAATTGAGGAGAGTTTAAAGTTTTTCAAATCTTCGCCAAGTATTTCGTACACTTTTGGCGAACCTGTTCGAGGCCGGTGGTTGTTGACCGTTGGCAAAAAACGCTCAATCATCAAGCGAGGTGCATTTTCCTGCTGTTCCTACGGTTATTATGACCGAATGGCGTATTTTCTCGATAATTTCCTCCTCTAAGTAATTTAATCTTTAATTTTCCAGTGTAGTTTTTAAATTTATCAAATCTCCACCATGATTATCACAGTTAAAAATTTACAGCAACAGGTTTTTACCGTGGACATAGACGCATCCCAAACGGTAAGAATCCACAACTCACTCCCTCTTGATAACAATCTATCAACGTGGGAAGACCTATTGCGGGCTTTTTTCTCATTTTAGTCTTTACAACACTCTTTTTACCTGTTTGGTCAGCCTTAGAAACTTACGAGAGTAGCCACTTGCCTTCATCATGCGTTTGTTCGTCCAAATGCTAACCTGTATGTTCGTCTGAACTTTAACCCGAGATTTCATCATGATCATCACTCGATAGTAGTATCATGTTTTCACTTTTATTTGAGTATCCCGTCACTACTATACTCATGGCGGAAAAGTACTAGTTGAACTTAATTTATTTTTTGGTATTTGTGACAATATTTATGCGGGAGCAGCAATATTAAATCCTGAGGTTGATAATTTAAACAGTAATAGATAAAATAACGGATACACCTGGGTTTTATCGACTATTAAGTTCAAACAGGAAATAACACGAGAATTTCAGAGCTCTCTGTCAAGGTATTTTTGAGCTTTGGAAAGAAGCGTTGTTAATACTTTGACCTGGTTAAGTGTTAGTCGCTTCTAGTTGTTTCTACGCGGCATATTTCAAACCTTATCCGGTGGCTCTTCTTTTTACAGTTAGCAGCAATGAAACAACTGAAACTGGCCAGTATTATTCTTCTTGTTGCCTCATCCGCCACTATCAACCTTTTCCTAAGTTTGCAATATAAAGCACAAGCTACGGGAAATTTTTCATTAATTTGATCCCTAACCTAACTTTTTCTCCATGTCCAATTTAGGAGAGCTTGTTGATAAGCTGTCAAATATTTATATGCTATGAAAGTTTTCAGTGATTTTTCATTTCGCTTTCATTTTTTCATTTTTTTTTGTTGCTCTCTCTGCTTTGTTTACCTTGTATCTGAATGTAATTTTGAATGAATGTAATTATTGCATAATTTTTGTATTCCATTTCTACTCTTCAGGTGAAGCAGCTAAAAGCTAAAATTGAAGCTGAAATAGGAAAAGATTATCCGGCAGACAACCAAAGGCTTATCTATGCAGGTAACTGACTCTATCTCATCCGTTACATCATTCTTCCCTGGATTTATTTTTTTTAGGAAGTTCCATTCAAATGTTGGGGAATCTGAAAATTTTAGAGTCAGAGACAGGGATGGCGATTTTTAATTGATTTCTTGCGTCAAAAAATCAATTTAATCGGATTGCTTTATAAGGTCGATTTACAATCAGAACTAAATTTTTGAAAAAGAAAAAATCAAAATTTCCTATGTTAATTTGTCACATTAAGTAGGCCTAGATTCTCTGAAACCTGAGTTTCATTTCAAGTTCAGCTTTTTAGAAGTTGTGCTTTTAGCGCCAAACTTGGGGTCTTTAACAGTTTTAAATTGATTTAGAAAAGAGAAATAAATTTTTTCCAAAATCGATCTTCATCATCGAATTTTAAGATTAAATTGAATTTTTACCAAAAATCCAAATGATTTATTTGAAAAAATTGCCATCCTCAATCAGGGAAAAGCATTAATAGTCACGGAATTTGATGACGAAGAAATCATAACAATCCCATTCAAGTCATTGTTAAAATCATGCATTATTTGTTGCTAAATTGTAAATAAATTTAAGTGAAAACCCCAAGGAAAAATCAACTTTATCACTTTGAAATATTCGAAGAAATGAAAGGTTTCTAAAATAGGAAGGCCACCAAATTTCTAAGCCATGAAAGCCAATTTAGTTGCCTCACTCAAAATTTGCTAAGTTAGATTGGCCTCTATGATCATGGCATCAATATGTCAATTAAGACTAAAGACAATGGTCCTGTAATTCAGATTATTTTCATTCAGAATTAATGTAATAGAAATATTAATTATCAGACCTTCAATGTAATACTCAAAATCTCTTGTCAATTTTTAGGTAAAATTTTGACAGATGAATCCGCAATTAGTGAATATAACATTGATGAAACTAAATTCATCGTGGTAATGGTATCAAAAGCAAAACCAAGCACCACTCCGAGCACTGGCAGTGAATCCAGTGCGTCTGCTACAACCACAACAACCACTGCTTCTCAGGGAGACTCAGCGACTACCACTACTACTTCAACTCCTGCACTGGCCAGGTAAGTGTCTTGATATGAATAAATTGGATTTATTAGTTATTGTTACCATACCATACCATTAGGTGAAAAATTCAATTTTTGGCAGATATATGTGATCCTGCGGATTTTATGAAGTCCAACAACACAATAGCAGTTAGTTGCAAGGATCCTACGCAAGGTCACAGCACTCATAACTGCTTACGGATTTTTACAATTGCTCTTACAGGAGTCCACGGTTCTACAAAACTGGTACCTGTTAATACTTAATGTATCAAAATAAAATATGCTTTTAAGAACTGAGTGTCTTCAGGACAAGTCCATTGCAAATGCACAGTAAATTGATACTATTGGTGAGAATACAATCGAGTTTTGTCTGTAATTTTAAAATATTTTAAGTTTGTTTGAACTTTATATGAACTATTGATCGTTAAAATTTTTGTGGTATTTTCCAGTGAGGAAACAGCTGCTCGCACGGCTCCGTCAAATATATCTGATGCAGAGTCAACATTATTGATGGGTGAGGAATATAACGCTATGGTTCAAAATATTGTTGATATGGGCTATGGAAGAGACCAGGTAAGAAATATTTAAATTTTTGAATAGATTTTATCTTTTAAAATCAAGAAGACCCCTACATCTATGATTTTGTTACTTTTTCCTGTTTTTGAAAGTATTCAATTTTGAAAATTTCGTGTGTCTTTTGACAAAAGATGACCTGCACTAAATTTTACATGTCATAGCGGCTGTTTGCGCAACTCACAATAACCCAGAGCTGTTTAGGAATATCAATGGCTAATCTCAGGGACAACATTTCTCCATGGCAGTGTTTCAAAGTTTCCTTTCCTACTTTAATTTTGCAGAAAAAAACCAGTGATATTTTTAATACTGCTTGATATTTTCACAGAATATTCATCATTCTGGTTAAGAAAGTCTCGAAAATTCAAGAAGTTATGCTTATCGGTTTTTCAACCGTAAAAGGAAGTGTTAGTAGAAAATCTGCCACATTGCAGACTGACAAATGTCGTTCATGAGTGCAGCAATTGATAAAGTGTTTTTACATTTAGTTGAAATTTAGTTTCTCATGAAACCATCTCATAAAACTACCTACACTTTCAAAACAGAGAAGAAATAGAAAAGTGAGCCCAAATGCAAATACTGATGATTATAACACACCAAAAAGTGCCACAATCTTGAAAGCCTCCTAGATAGTTATTAAAAACATGCTCAAAATTAACCTTCCTGCAAGAGCATCACAGGGCCATCTGATGTTGCCTATATTAAATGGCGCATGTGCTACTTTTGCTGGAAGGTGACAAAATAGGAAAAAGACTCAATGAGTCAAAAAAAACATATGAAAATTCCAATGACTATCATCAGAATTTGCATCAAATAAGTTGTTATTTGCTTTCTCTTGACTGTCATGTGCTGTAGATCATTTTCATCACACAATGCAATGTTTTTGCCCTTTGATACTCTTTATTTGCCACTAAACTGCAGCAATGCAGCTGCTTACAAAAGGAAAGGAAATAAGTACCAACATATCTAACATAGTTCTAAATTAATTTTACATTTTATGTTGTCAACAATTTACAATTAATGTATTTTTACAGGTTCAAGCAGCTTTACATGCAAGTTATAATAACCCAGATAGGGCAGTTGAGTATTTGCTCACGGGGATCCCCCCTACAACGGATGATCCTGTTGCCTCATCGCCCAATTCCCCTGGCCACGGAGCAGATGGTTAGTTTTTTTAGTGTAAATTTTAGCTATGCATTCATTTTTAATGAAGTTGTCGATAAGCAGTGTTAGTCTGCATCGGGTGACATGTGAAAAATGCATTAAAAAAGTCAGGCTTAAGAAGACAGCTACTCTAGTTACAAAAGCATATTTTGATAATTTGAGGTTATAAACCAGCAAAGAATAATGAGATCCATTTGAACACCAAGTCTCCACCTCTAGTATAAACGGAAATATCGACCTTCGATAAATACTGCATATGATGTCTTTTACTGCGGTGGTTTCATCCATCCTAGTGTTCTCCCTATTTTTAGTCGAGAAACCGTTGTAAATGTGTTTATTGCTAATTGTAAGTAAGTAAGTAAGGCCGGGCTGGCCGGCGAGGCGCCCTCAAGGGGCCAAGGCAACTGGCAACTGCCGTCGTGCACCCCGAAGTCGGACCGTGCTCCTTAACATATCTTTGTACTATTGACACATTGTGTATCTTTTATATTCCCGCAAGGCTCAGCGGCCGTCTGATAGCCAACGGAAGGCCTTATCAAAGACTGTGGCAGGCGCTGCAGAGCACGGGCTTTCGGAGCACGGCCATGCCTCCACCGAGTTGGACTGTGTTGTTGCAATCTACACTGATAGGTAGCGCTGGCAGTCGCGCACACTATGAGTGATTACCGATTTTTCACAACCCAGTCGAACAGTTGTTTATTGCTAATTGATTAATCCAAGATGGATAAAACCCTGGTCTATTCAACTGCGGTGGATGACGTCATAAACAAAGTTTTTCAAAGAACGATATCTCCGTTAACATCGGGCATAGGAAATAGGCGTTTGGACAGATCTTATGATTTTTGGATAGTACACAAGCTTGAACCATTGTAATGTAATTCTATTACCAGTACAACTGACCATTTGCGATTCACCTTTGAACCCCCTCTCCCCCCCCCCCCCCAAAAAAAAACCAATACTACCAACTTGGACTTGAAAATGAATAAAAAACTGTGCTTTTCAGAAAATAATCACCAAAAAAGGTTATAAAAATTATTTGAAAAGTTCTTAATTTTTTCTTTTCAAAGCTGAACAAACCATGGTTTTCTTACTTCTGTTGCCATGCAGCTAGGTCGTATGTGGTTATTGTGTTTGAAAGTAGCATCCAGGCATTTAATCATTCAGCCTGCAATTTAGAGAAGATGCTTGGGGATGCAGCTCAAATCATCTTTTTGTCCACTTTTTCCTTTGTAAGATAGTACAAATCTCTGGACAGTCTAAAATATTAATTGAATATTTGGTGTTTCAGAAGGAGAAGAGCCCCTAGCATTTTTAAGATCACAGCCGCAGTTTCAGCAAATGCGCAATGTCGTTCAACAAAACCCAGAGCTGCTAAACGCAGTCCTCCAGCAGATAGGTCAAACCAATCCTGCGCTTCTGCACCTCATCTCTCAAAACCAAGAAGCCTTCGTGCGGATGCTGAACGAGCAGGCGCCGGCTAGTGGTGGCGGAGGAGGCGGTAACACGGGCAGTGGCGCTGTTCCGGCTGGTCTCACTGGTGGTGCCACGGCACCTGCAAACACCGTTCCCATTACACCTCAAGATAAGGAAGCAATCGAGAGAGTAAGTCCCTTCATTAACTCATAGACTTGTGATTTAATTTGACCCCGCGGGGCCAGGAATTAGTATTTTCTTGGGCAAAAATCAGTAACTTTGAACACTTCAAAATAATCCTAAAACTCCTTCTCTGAGGTTAAAAATCGATATTATAAGCATTCACAATACAGAATTCGAGAAAAATCGTGAAAACTGAATATAAAATGGTTTTTTCTATTGTTATTCATCGCTGTCTAAGTCACAAAAACTGCAAAATTAGCGAAAATCAGAAAATTTTGAGGTGATTTCATGTTCAATGTACAGTAATATAAAAATACCGTAACAAAGCAAGAAATTACCGTACACAATAAGACATAGGTTGAACATACTACTCATATTAACGCTGATTAGAATGATATCTGCCGAAGAATAGCCGAAGTAACGCAGACAATCAACGGATGGCTCCCAGCCGTTTCTTCAGATTTGGCCCAGCGCAGAGTGGATGGCTGGAAGCCGTCAGTTTAAGTCAATGAGCTATGAGCATAGTGTCTAGGACCAAAGGTGTACAATATTCCAAAACGCTGAACTTTTCTTGTGACATGTGGGTTATGTTTTGAAGCAAAATTTTCAATTTGCCGCACGTCTTGAAGAGAGGGAAGGAAGAAAGAAAATAAAAAACCATCAATTTCTAAAATTGCCTTATGGCCGCCATGTTTTCTCCAATCTATGCTTTGTCCTAGTTTACCCTTCTTCCAAGAAGCCATTAAGTTGTCATATTAATTTTTTTTACCCTTAAGTTGCTCATGAAACTAACTAGCTTTTAGGTGAGATTTCACTGACTGGCCATGAGCTAGTGTGATCTCTCCCCTACGGTTACTAGGTTGAATATACTGATTTTGTGTCACTTGTAAAGTTTGTTTGTTAGGAGTGGTATCTGCCTCAGGGGTGAAAAAAGGATGAATGAGACAGTCACTAACTATACATTGTATATCAAGAGATGCTTGTAGGGAAAAATCAGATAAGAAAATCATGAATAGGAATGAAAAATGAAAAAATGGATGAGTGGCATGTTTCGGCTCCCGAAGAAGCCATGAACGAAACTAGCTCTCTCTCCCCCCAACGATTGAGATGGGCTCTGGTCAGCCCCGAACGTCTCAGTGTGTCAGGCTGACAAGCCAGCACAACAATAAGAACTAAGCTAGTCTCTAAACTATTTCTGTTGCTGTGTTTGAAATTAAAATCTGAGGATTGATTTGTCTCCGTAGTCCTTGACTTGATCCAACCAAAAATAACGGAGAATAAAGCCTTCTGTAGAGTATGGGTGGTACAAGACACTCTGTTAATGACTTAATGAATTGTATACATAAATGTATGTATTTGTCCCCCGGCTGACAAAATGGCGTAATTACACATCGAGATGAGCCCATAAAAGCATTGAATTGTTTGGATGACAGGGTTCATTGCAGGATGTAGATACGCCTTTATGTCAGGAGAGCAATGTATTCATTTGAGCATGAGCTTCTTTTTCTCTCCCTCCCAACAATCAAGCTTATGAACAGGTTATTATTTTAATATTTTTTGCATTTACTTTATGTTTCAGCTTAAGGCTTTGGGTTTTCCAGAAGACCTTGTAATTCAAGCATATTTTGCTTGTGAAAAGAACGAAAACTTAGCAGCCAATTTCTTACTATCGCAGAGTCTTGACGACTAAGACTGACCTAGGTGCCCAATTTTTATCTTGTTTAATATTTGGTTTCCATCCGCTGAATGTTCTGTTGACTAATGCTCTTTAATCCTTCATTCTCTCCTTTGCCACTTCAAATTTCGAGTTGTTTGTATGATAACGCCACATTAAAAAAATTTATATGATGATCGGATTTCTACCTTAATAGCTTGGGCATCAATATTTTAACTAACCAAAGAGCACATAAAAAAAATTTGTTTCATGGCTTACTTTTAGAAATGTTATTCCATCTAGTATCAAAAACAAAATACATTGCTCATCAAAGAAGCATGTGTAAGGGAAGTAATGTGTCTTTATCAAAAAGCAGAAACATATCACTTTTCTCTAAAAACTTATCAACATATTTGCCTGCGTTTCTCAGCACACAACACAAGTTAAACAAAAAATGAGTCCATTTTATCTCATTATTCTACTATCTTTTTAAAAAAATTTCTCGTAAGAAAAACGAACACAGTTTCATGCTCCAGAACATGTATGATGAAAGCCATTTTTGTCGGCTATTCAATTACTGTATTAGACCATGTTTCAAATTTCTTTAGCCCTTGAGACTTAAAAATTGCATTCTCCTTAGCCCTCATATGTAACCTCATGGGTGTTTTTTTGCCCGAGAAGATTTTCCATAGAGAAATTCAAGAAAAATTTTGAGAACCAAAAGAAGAGAAAATTTTAAAGTCAGAGCATAGTTGAAGCTCTGGAAAGGTGAAAATGCAAACTTTTAGGTCTTTATTATCATGAATACAGTTCTTTATCTGAACGATATTTATCTACTTTATTTATCAAATTATCATCTTGTAAGTTTATATTCTCATAAGGCAAGGGAGAGTATTCCCATGCCAGTGAAATCTAAGGTAGGTAGAACAAAGAAGAAATCCAGCCATCATCAGGGATGATTTCAATCGTTCTTAAACTTTGTTGAGTATGGTTGTACTTTAAGAAAACTTTTTCAGTTTTCAAAGAGAAAAAAAATAAGAATTCACTCTCACGCGTTAGGAAAGTCTGACCATGGTGTCCCTTTATTCTACTTGCCTTTGTTGTCACTGCTCTTTTTCGCAACTAAGAAGCTTGATAACGGTTTGGAATCCATGATGAAAATTGGGATAAAAAATTTGATATTGATTATGAGGAACCATAAAATTGTTATTGTAAAAAAGTAAGGTAATGAAATCAGGGAGCATTCTCTTGCTGGTTTATTTTTTGTACAGTCACTTATCAAAAGTGAATTTGGTTGTTCAGTTTCTTTAAGAGTTATTCTTTCTTTATAAGCAGGCGAAAATCTTATCGATACTCCAGTTCAGCTGAAAATGTTATTTTATGCAGTTTTTGCATAAAACTGTTAATATTCATGATTGTCACCTGTTTTTGTTTCATCCTTAACCCTCATTGAAGTTTAAATCCTCCCATTTTACTTAAATCCCCCACCCTTTATTTTTCTCTCTGCCTTGCATCCGATTGATTCGTCTTTAAAATATGCACACTCTATTCATCATTATTTCTTTGCAGATTTTTCGCTCCATTTTATTTTTGGTTTGACTATTGTAACATTAGGTATAAGCTTACCATTTTGGGTTAATAAACTGTAATATATTCTGAAAGTTTTGACTTCCTATTTTACCCAGTTATCAATGTTGTAAGATGAAATATTGACGATGAAACTTTCAAACCACGCATCTCGGTTTGCCACATTGCAGACTTCTTGTCATACTTTATTTTTTAGATGGAAAACTACTCAACGTCAATTCTTGAAAACTTCCATGATTTTCCTTCTGTATGTAACGAAAATCTGTGAAAACTTCAAGGAATGATATTGATTTGTTCTCCATCACAAAAATAAAATGGGAGTGGAGAATGGGATTTTTGAACACGGCAAACAAGATACGTAGTCTGGTAGTCATTATAAACGTGGTCTGTATAATATCCTTATAATTCTAAAGGTGTTTATCCTAACAAGGTAGAATAAAAAAGAAGAATGTAACACGAATAAAAACAATTTATTCAATTCAAAATTCAATAACTAAAAAAAGAAAAAAAAACGAAAAAAAATTATTAGAAAATAATTTGTTGTGGCATTTCAATGATATGTTAAGTTATTGCATTTATCAATGCAAGTAGCAATAGCACTTAAATAAACTAAACAACAGCGTCAGTTAAAATTAAAATTTCAACGAGAACAACAACAACACTTAGCAAGCAATTACAACTAACGATCGGAGAAACCTTATCAATACAGTTCCCTCCTAAATCTGGAGAAAGTTCGGAAGTAATTCAAGTTACTTTGATTTCCCGTTGCAGATGCATTAAGTCGATGTCTTGGCACTCAACTGTTGTGTTTTGATTTTACCTTCTTTTTTTTTGAGTGACCAGCTAGACCTCTCAGGATTCATGAATTGATAATCTTAAAGATGTAGAAAAATGATCCATAACAAGAGGGTAGGAGGATTCTAGGTTTTGCCTTCCTCTCAATTTTTCTTTTTAGTAAACAACCTGACAAACCTCACTAGGAAGGAAGGGTGCCCTAATTTCTTAATCAATAGGTATGAAATTGAGCTAGGACATGGTTCGTGCAGCCTTGAGAATTGGAAACCATGCACTTTTAAAGCACTGTTAACAAAATTACTCCTAATAATAATACTAGAGAAGAACTAAAACTTTTTGGGTAATTTTTCCCAGACGTACGAATTTCTCTCCGTATCGAGCGTCCTAGTCAGGAATTTTGGGTACTCTTTGAAAAAAAAATCACGATTTTGTTCGTAGATAAGATGTGTTTCTAAACAATCTATTTGGAATCAAATGTTTTGATATCCCTTAAAAGATAGAATTTATTGTGATAATTATCATGGTAATTAAGGGATTTTTCAAGGACATACTATGAAATCAGGCACATTCAAGGTGATAAAAAACAATTGAAAAATCGAGCTTTTTTCGAGGCCGCACGAATTATGTTGAAGACCCAAGTTTTCAAACCCCAGACAAGGTAGTTCAAACTTTCAGCAAGGCTGAAGATGAGATTTTTTTCCATTGTGTCCAGTCTCAATGTCTTGGTTTCTGAACCCTTCAGCAGATTTTCAGACGAGAAATTAAAACACATTTTGATAGATTTCTGTAAATTACAATATACAGAGATTATTTTGGCAGAATATTCCATTCTTTTACAAAGCAAATTAAATACAAGGTAAGACGTTAATGAAAAATATAATTTTGAAATTCATGACAGAATTCAATATTAATTTAAAAATTTCAACATTGGTAATTGAAACCCTTGCAACTCTTTCTTTCGATGGCAATCAAAATAGGTAGTTATAAAAAGTTCCTCCAAAGACTCAGGGCAAAATTAATTTGTGCTAAAAATCCTCTTATAAAAATATGCGTGAGCAAACAAGGAATGCTCAGGATGGCTGAAATTTAAAATTACAGCCACACCGATTAGAGGTTTCATAGGACTAGAATTCACCTGAATGGGATCATGAAGTTAAATATTAGGGCATCATCCTGAAGGATTAGTGAGATGACGAACAAAGCTATGGGAATATTCGGCAGAATAAATAGTTTAACTGTCGTAGTCTTACAGAATATACATTTTGGGTGGCACGCCTTCCCATCGCGTTGATCCAATAAGAAATGACTGAACAATGGTAATTAGGTTAAGATAGCTCACACTCATCATCATCATCATCATCATCATAAATATTTTATCATAAGTAATAAGAAAAATTTGATTCAGTCACTAAAAAATCATGGTTCCAAATAAAGTCTCTCTATAGTTCGAAACTTTAAGAAAATTGGCAAATCAGTGAGAAAAAGAGGAACAAAGATCAAAAAAATCTCGAAAACTGGCCATAAGACCAGATTACAAATAAACATAATCTTGATCAGTGAAACTAAGAGATTTGAAGCTCTGTGCATTGCAGAAATGATAAAAAAAAAGTGACAAAAGTTATTCAAGTTAAGTCAATTTTTTTTTCCTGAATAGATTTCACAGTTATGTAGCAGCTCCTACATTCCAAAAATATTTTTACAAATAAATAAACATTTGAATGCGTAATCTAAATGCAGGCTAAAGACACATGTGCTGTTATATTAGATACAATTATATTTTTTAAAGAAAAAAAAAATAAATACCGACTTGAAGCTGAGAAAGTACCTAACATTCTCCGGTGATATGTCCTTCACCAAGTCAAATTATAGTCTTGTATTCACACGTAAACGGAGCAATAGTTCTCTTCTTTCTAGCATGAATCAATCATGCTTTCTCTTCATCCAATCACTGTACATAACAATTTGAATCAGAATTTTACTGATTATTTTATCAACCATTCTGGGAAAAACTTTTGCACAAAATTTAAAACAATCATTACTTTGCGATACGACTTGTGAAGCCAAACTGGTAAAAATTTTGACATCGTTTCTTCTTATTCTGATGCGATAACTAAGAGTTATAAATCCTCCAAGTTGATCTGAAAGGTATTCTCTAGAAAATTTTCCGAAAGTTAAAAATTCATCAGTGGTAAATCATTTGTTTCCAAAAATATTATTGACCATCCAAGTAAATACTAAAGGTTCGTATGATACCTTAGGATACGTAGTCTTTATTTATTATTCAGATAGAAAAAAAAAAACTTAAAAAAACTGGTCTGGTATTTTCCTAAATTGCTCTTTTCTGGCAAATTCCATCGAAGACACCGTAACGGATGCAATGCTCAAAATAAGTGTTCCCCGATTGAAATAAACTAAGTCACTACTGGTACAAAAACTGGCGTGAGTCAATTTCTAGTTGAAAAATAATAATACAACTTCGTCAAGGCCGAAGAATTTTACATTTGCACTAATTTTCATTTTTGAATTTTTTCTCTCTCTCCTCACGAATCTAAATGAGTTACTCCAAAATTTTCCCAGAGATTTTTTGGCCAAACCCTCTGGCTTCGGAACGATTCTGAGCATTCAATAATAGAATAATACATCAAATTGTAATGTAAATATCTGTGGAATGAATATAATGTATGTACATGTATATTTTTTCTTACCTCAATAATGTTTTTACAATCAATATTTTGCTTGAATATCCTTAAAAGCTGTTGAATTTTGAGATGAGAAAATAGCTGTTTGCTTTGTAGTTCAACTTTTCCAAAAAAATATGAAATCATAATTTTTCCCCCATTACAATCTACTTGTGCTGCATTAAAATGTGCTAAATCCAAATTTTTTGGTTTAAAAAAAAAAGGAAACAAACATATTAAAATATCCTTGCGTGATGTTTATAGAGTGACAAAATTAATTTGCTAGCAAATGTCAGACAAAATCTCTCATTTCTGAAACCTTACTATGAGTTATACAAGTTCATTTAGATGTCCTAAAGGTTTCATTAGTTCCCTTTCTATACTTTCAAATAAGTTTCTACATCTAAAATTGATGAGCAATTTTGAGAAAGCAGTCAAGAATAGTGGTCTAGAACAATCGATGTGAGAAATTATAACAAGTGTTACAAAGAATTGATTTTCCAAAAGACTTACGTCGGAATGCAACAACTATCTGATAGCAACTAGAATGTAATTGAACTACTGGAGATCATACAATTCTCGCTTGTGAGGTAATAAATATGTTTACAATACATTACTGAGGGTGAGATGCCCAGAAATAGGTTGAACAGTACAGCAAGGGAGGTTCCCGAGTTTAATGAAAACCATTAACTCATACAGAATAAATACAACCTAACTTAATAATTAACCAAGACATACTTCTTGGCTATTATCGCAAAAAAAATTTAGAGAGAACCAGATCCTCAAAGTGCCTTGCTGTATTATTCTCTCAGGGATCTTTTTTGACCTACTACAACTATTTTACGACTCGGGGCGGTTTTTGAAAAGAGCTTCTACAACACTTTCATCAGCTAGCGTAGAGATATCCCCAACGTTTCTGTCGTTGACAGCAATTTTTCGCAATATCCTGCGCATAATTTTCCCCGAACGAGTTTTGGGGAGACCAGGAGCATACTGGATTACATCAGGAACGGCAAAAGCTGCAATTTTCTCTCGCACTGAAATAAAAGACCGAAACTAATTAGGAAAAAAAAAAAACGGCAAATGCGTTTGATACTTCGCAATGAATTAGTTTGCGAGCAAAATCTGGGCTTTTTGAGATATTTTTAGAATTCAATAGCATAGCTCCTCCCAGTTGGCAAGACATAGAGATTTTATAATTACGGATAAAAGCATAAAAAACGAAGGAAAATGAGAAAAAAATCTGAGAACATGATTTGGCCTTTTCATAAGAATTATAAGCAAAAATATGAATGGTATTGTCTTTTCTTTCTTCATTTGCGCACAAAAAAGAAAGCCTCCCAAAAAGTTGGCCCTTTCTGTGAGGCCCATGGAGAATTTTTATGAAACCTTGAATGAGAAAAGTTTCGACTATAATTGAGTCTGTGAGAACGGAACTGTGTGACTGCAGTAGGTACTTATAAAAGAACGCCGCATTAACAATCAAATGATACTAAATTTCCTCTTGGAGAATACTTATTTTTGACGAAAGTTTTGAATACTCTCTGGGGCCGGATTTAGGGGGCGGCAAATTTTACAATTTTTTAAGATGTTGGTATAAAAAAATCGGATTCAGAAAAAAAATTACAAACGAGAAAAGGCGACAAAATCTCTCATTTCCTGAGAGTATAGTAATTTCTAATTTTGCTGTCTTTCGGAGATACAAAAGACAGCACCTTTAATTAGTCGAGTTAAGAGAGAAATCAAACACGCAATCTGGCCTAGAACAGCACGACGTAGAGAGCAATAATGACGAGGACTTGAGATGAAAAGGAGAAGCCCTTGGCGCGGCGGTCGGCATGTAACACATATTAGCGCCTACATAACTGCATAGATACTTCACGCAATGCGTCAAACATCAATGCGGTCAGCAGCGGTCGGCGTGAAACGCATAGCGCCTACAAGACTGTAGGAATACTTCACGCATTGCGCCAAACACAGTGCAGTCTGCGCGGCACGGCGGCGGCAGAAGTTAAGATTATTAAACTACATTTATGTTTGTTCTTTCATAATTTTTTTTCGTTCATTTCTTATAAATGGGAGGCCTTGTCCACACAGAGATACATTTACGGAACTTAACTTTCGCGCATAGTTCCGTGAACTTTAGCTAGTAGTGTTGACAGGGCTTTTGCAAAAAATGTGTGTCCAACACGAGTAAACACGTTTCATGCACCCCACCCCCACCGGCACGTTCACTTAATGGTTTTTATTGATGTTTCAAAACGAAAGAGAAGGGGGCGGCAAAATACAGGTGGCCCATGGTACACAAGGAGGTAAATCCGGCTTTGATACTCTCCCTTAAAATTTGTAGAAACTTCTGATAAAATTACGAACACAATTCTCAAGAAAATCGAAAGAAAACTAATTACAAAATTTCTCAAAAATTCGTGATTCGTCAAAGAATATTTGGCAACGTCTGAAGGCTCGTAGGACGTTCTTCCTCAGCACGGCAGCATAGCTAAACTATCAATCGATGCAAATTGATTACAGATACTAACCTGACTGCTTGAGCTCTTTGACTAGGGTATCAGAGAATTCAACGCCTTGGTTAGGTGTAACGAAACAATAGAGGCATTCGCCTTTCGTTGCATGTGGCCGCGCAACAACTGCAGCTTCTGCGACTGATGGATGCTCTGTTAAAAGTGCCTCGACTGATGCAGTAGACATAAGATGACCGGAAACATTCAGCATGTCATCCACTCGACCAGTTATCCACAAATACCCATCTGCATCTCTTCTTGCGCCTGGAATAAAATAAGTAATATTATGAATACTTCCTCCAGGCTGCTATGAGCCTCAAGTACGTATACTAATTTATAATTGCTAAAAAATGTAGCTCTTGGAGAATCTCATTTTTTAAGGCTCCATGACATTGGGTAACTCTTAGAGATCTTGCTTTCACTAACGTTCAAGCAAAAGATTGTTGTTATCAATGTGCTGCAGCTATCAGCAAGATCTTACTTCAACATGAGAAGGAAGATTACTACCGTGCTATGGAAGAACACCATATGAACATTCGAGAGTTGCCAAATTTCCTTCAATTAAATGCTTATTTTTTAGGAAAGTTATGAATATTTTTTCTTGAAATTTTCAGACACTTTTGATCAAATTACAAACCAAGTTATCTGAGAAATTGGTAGAAAAATAGTATAAAAAATGTCCTAAAAATTAGTGATTAGCCATAGGAAACTTGGCAGCGCCTGATGGCTCATACAGCGTTTTTCCTTAGCACGGCAGATTATGTCTATTGGTAGAGATGATTCTGCAGACATTTCTGATAGAAAAATGATGCCGCTAAATGCAAACGGTGCTCCAAACGGAGCATGATTTAACTCGACCAATCTCTCTCCACGCTGGACAGCGTTCAGCAAAAGGGAGCCACGTACATTTTCAAAGAAGGAAACTGTTGGGAAAAATTTTGAGCTCTCTAAAATTAATTTTAGGGCTACAATTTCGTCTTCTCCTCGCATGTTTCACGACCATCTCTCGAAAGTCCAGCCAATTACTGAGTCCATTAAACATATTTAAGTATGTAGTGTGCAAAAATTTAACTGGAAGTTTTTTTTCACACTGAACCTTGCAGCACAACCAAAACTTCAAACCTTTATTTTTCCGTTCCAAGTTCATGTGAATTGATTCCTATTTACTGGATGCTGCCTAACTGTAGATGTGAAGTGCTGTATTGGAAATGTAAATTTTGGAATTGAAGACAAACTTTTTTGTGTTCGCTCCTAAAAAGATTTATTTTTCTACTTCCTGGGTGCAATTAGTCCACTTCCCCTTTAAAAGCTACGACTCCCAGTACTTATATATGTACTTAATATTACAGGTAACTTCAAATTCAGACCCATTAATTATAGCGTATGAAAAAATTTCATTAGTAATTAAAGAGGTGATACTAGGCAGAAGAAAAAATGATTACCATCTCCGGTGCAGTAGTAACCAGGGAACCTCGAGAAGTATACAGACTCAAAACGCTCATGGTTTCCAAACAGCGTTCGCATGATTCCAGGCCATGGCTGTTTAAAGACTAGATAACCTTCACCCTCACCTTCAATTAGTTCACCTTCCTCACTGAGTAATTCAGGGATGACTCCAAAGAAGGGGAAAGTCTGCAAAAAAACGAATAGAATGTGATCAGACCACGTAATTGATTCAATTTCCCTCTAAACGCCAGAACTACCTATCCCATTAACTCGAAAAAATTTAGACACTGTACGACACTGGCAAGGGGTAAACATTGTGAATCCTGCCTCCATTCCTATATGGTGGCAAGGCTACATATCGATGGTAGATAAGCAAAACCACGAATTGCAGCGTTTCAAACTTTCTGCTCCTATTTTATTTTTTGAAGAGAAACAAGCCAGCTTAATAGCTTGAAATTTATATAGATTATTCTGAAATCAGAGAAGATACATTCTCCTTAAAAAAATCTCAGGTAGTAAAAAAGACTTTTGGGAGCCCCTAGAAATTTTGACGGGACCACCATGAAACGATGCAAAAGCTCAGGGGGTTATTTGGCTGATTCAGGACTTTTGGACCACCCTGTATGATAGAATCAGAATGATTGAATGCTCGAATGATCGTATGATCGAAGCTACAAATCGATGGTCAAAGTGCAAAATTACGAATTGCGGTGTTTTAAAATTTCTACTCTTATTTTATTTTTTGAAGAGAAACAAGCTAACTTAATAGCTTGAAATGTATACAGAATATCATAATATCAGAAAAGAAAAATTCTCCTTAAAAAATCTTAGGTAATGATAAAGACTTTTGGAAGCCCCTTGAAATTTTGACGGGACCACCATGAACCAGTGTGCGAACTTAGCGAGTTGTATGGGTGGTACAGGACTTTTTGATCACCCTGTATGATAGCAAATTGATTCTTACAGCAGATCCAGGCTTCATTGGTGTAGCGCCAGGGAGAGGAGTGATGACATGTCCACCTGTTTCTGTTTGCCAGAAAGTGTCCGATATCGAACATTTCTCACCTCCAATGAGGTTGTAAAACCAATACCAAGCCTCTGGATTGATTGGTTCTCCTACGGAACCAAGGACTTTTAAGGAACTCAAATCATACCTGAAACAAATATTTAACAATCTCTGTGGATTAACTCCTTCATAAATACTTAAAAGTATTTTATGTATTATAAATTAGTACATTAGCCTGAATGATAAAACGGCTGAATGCAAGTCAAATTAGAAAAAATTATAAAACAAACAAATATAAAAACGCTTGCTTGGTGCAGTATGCGTTTTGTAAGAAGTGCTCTTTTAATTTACATATATTAAAAGATAAATTTGGAGACTCAGTTTCGACGAAAAGGTCTTTCAACTCCTTAGGTAATTTGTTGAAATACCCTCGGTGAGGTAATTTAGAGGTTTTAACATATCCTGGTAAGGAATAAGACAGAGGTCTGACATCTAATGTAATAAAGTATGAAAAGTATCTAACTAAACTGTTCAGAGAATTAATGATAAATACAATAAAACTAAAGAGGTACTCTCAGATTGCATTAATAAAGCACAACTCTTGATTGAAATTCTGACTACCTGAAATGCAGTGCAGCTGCGGATAATAGCTCATATTGATGGTGAAACTATGTAAATGATCGTTTAAATAATTGCAGTGACAAAAATTTTCGCTCCTTCTTTGTGTCTTTCAAAGAGTAGGGCTGCATATTCTTGAGAAAAATTTTCAGAGAACAATCTCTCAAAGGGAAAGGAAAATTACACATAATCGTTTGCTGTAAAAATAATTTGCCATCCTTGAAACGTACAATGAGAAGGCAATCTGCGACATTACTAACCAAGAAACATGGTTTTGTAGTTTTGCAATTGATGCAGAGTTAAAGGCACATACTTATTCTTACATGTTATAAACTTGATTCAATCAAGATTAAGTCATAGCAACTTCACTACGTTGAGGGGCTACTCGGTAATTTTTTTAATCAAAGTTCCTTTACGGCTAAAATATAAACTTTTAGATTTTAAGTATAATTGGCGTGAAAGGTAAACTGTGCAAAGATGCTCTTTCTCTTTTGAATTGTCCAGATATTTATCAGACCTATGTCTTATTCTTCACCAGGATATGTTAAAACCTCTAAATTTCCTCACTGTGGGTATTCCTGATATTTACTACAATGCTTTAAATGAATTTAAGTATTTGCTAAAGTTGACTTACTTTTTTACAGGTTCATCGCCAAACTTCATTAATGCTCGAATGGCTGTAGGGGCCGTGTAAAATTGGTTCACCTTATATCGTTGAATCACAGACCAAAACCTGTCATTGCTTGGGTAAAATGGTGTGCCTTCAAACTGGAAAGGACGCAATAAATAAATAAATAAATAAAAAAAGGAAAGCCGTTAAATAAATTCTAAATAGGAGACATAGTTAAAAGAATATTCTTGCTTTTCTTGCTTTCTTACATGACCACCTAGATCTTTGGCTTAAAAAAAAGTGTACTTGGGGAAAATACATTGCATGAGGGGTTGTTTATAAGTCTAATTATTTCTTCAAATATCTGCATATTTAGAAACTGCTCTTCAAAAGTAGTGTATATTGAATTATGAGCTCATTTCTTGTCATACCAAAAAAAAAAAAATTAAATTCTTACGGTCTTGGAACCCAATTGAAACTTGAAAAACTATTTTGGAAAAAGTGAGAAATTTTAAGTGAGAGCTAGTTTCATAACAATATGGATTTGTAGGGAAGAGAAATAGCTTCAACTGAAATGATGGAGAACAAAATTCCTGAAAATTATTCAGAACAAAAACAAATACAGTTTCTTACAATAACAGAAGTTGCTCCATTTGCAAGGGGTCCATAGACAACATATGTGTGACCGGTGATCCAACCAATATCTGCGGTGCACCAGTAAACATCCCCAGGTTTGTAATCAAACACATACTTGTGGGTTGTTGCAGCGTACAGTAAGTAACCACCAGTCGTGTGTAAAACACCTTTTGGCTTGCCTGTTGAGCCACTGAAACAGAAATTGAGAATTTTACATCAAAATTTAACAGGTAAGACTTTTGTTAACTGCTGAAGATATTTTGATACTTTTAACCGAGTCACACAACAGTAATTCTGCGATACATTGAAGGATATTTTTGTTGTATTGCAATGATTTCATTTTCCAGACTGCTCTTCATATAGAACAAAACGAAATCTAGGATATATAAATAGTAAATGTAGGAGGTGACAGACTATGAGAACTTATAAAAGAAGAAACATAAAATAACATTTTGTATTATTTGATGTTGTTGACAAAGATAATATTATTTTATTGGCTTGTTGTTTCACGTCTAGGTGCTCCATCTACCTGTAGATGCAAAAAAAACCAAAGATTGCTATTATGATTACAGTTTAAGAAGAATTTAATTTTTCAATCATTGGGAAAGAAAAGCTCTCTTACTTAAAAAAATAAACAGAAATAAAATCCAAAATTACGAATGTCATCATTTTAAACGGTAGAGACAGGGTCTGACAAGGTGGGTATTTTATGATCATTTCATACTTTGAGAATAATATAAATTTCTTGTGGTAGACAATATTTTGAACAATAGAGACAATTAAAAAACATGCGATTAAAGGCGATCAACTTGTTCTTCATTTTAAGTCAGCAGTTAAGAATTTCGTTTGGTCAAACCTATTACCTTGTGTAAAGCATGAATAATGGGTCTTCAGCGCTGACCCAGACAGGATAGCAGAAGTCTGACGCTTCCTCCATTTCTTCATGCCACCAAACATCTCGACCCTCTACCCACTCCACATCTTGACTTGAGCCGTTAACTCCATTCACCTTGTTGTTATTGGCCGAAATCGAAGCGCTCAATCTTGAAAGGTGTTTCACAACAACACAAGTTTCAACTTCATGGCCCATTTTCTTGCATCCCTCCAGGGCTGTAAAAAAGTTCAGTAGGTAAGTTCATTGATAAAATATAATTAAGGAGCAAGGATTGAAAACAATGATGTGGCTACATGATGAACATTTATCAAAATTTTGATACTTCAGGGAAACATTATTCCGAAAAAACGTGCTAGCAAATGAGAAGAAAAATAGGTATGTTTTAAAATTAATGGGTATAGACATGTTTCTCGCTATGAGAAAAGAGTGAAAATTATTCGAGTATATAGGATACTGTAAATGAAGGAAAATTTAAAGAAACTTTAAAGGAAAAGTTCCTGCTGAAGATTTCTGATCGGCCTTTCTACAAGGAATGAATTAAAGTACATAACTTCCTTTTAAATCAGTTACCCACGGTGGTTACTCAGTAAATTTTTACAAATTTTATCCCAGAAAGAACTGATAAGCCTCTCTAAAAAATTTGAGAACACTGAAAATCGAGATATATATATTTAATAAGTAATTAATGTGTTTTTGCAATGGAGTCATCAAAAGTGCAAAAGGTGTGCTGAAAGCTTCAATGAGCAGTAAAAAAAAAGGGTGACAACTGCTTACCAGCATCACAGATGTCCTTAAGTTTGAGAAGTTTCTCTCCTCGATACACAAAGTCAGCCGTGATCAAGACTTTAGCTTGACAGTCATGCATTCTCTCTGCTAGTGAATCTTTTGAGAATCCTGCGAACTATAAATGACGAGAAAATTACGAAACAGCACGAAAATATGTGCAGAAAAAATAATGAATTTCTAAATTTTTTTAAGAACATGGAACGGACGAACTCAGCTTATCTGCAATCAAACAGCAAAATTTCGGTAGT